GCTGGATAACCTCATAATAAATAAAGTCAATTTGCACTAAATGCATAGTGGAATTATCTATAGATACAACAGTGTGATTCAGTTTACACTGCACCTGCAGATTTTCCTTCATTCTTTCCTCACTAACAGTCTTAGGAATAACTGCATAGCCCCTCTGGATCCCCCAGCGCAGGACAACCTACAACAATGGAATAAACTTATAAGTAGTATTTAAACAGAAGGCTGATATGAAATTTAACATTTTTCGTTTTTTAAATTCAGAAATAAAAGCTGTGTTGATAGACTGTTCTGGTTGGTAAATTTGCCTTGTGCCCTCAACAAGATGTAGTGAATGCTTTTAAATAAAATTTGGAAACCTTAACATAAAATTTATTAGGTGAGAATTTGCATTTACGTGTAGTGCTTTATCTATCCATGGACATAGACCTTAAAAATATGTCAACTGCATGGTATTTGAATCATATAGAAAACACATGCAGAAAATATAAACACTGTATGCCACTCATTTTAAGATCAATTACTGAGAATACACTGGATGCTTTCTCAAATATCTGCACTGGTCATGTCAAGAGATGCTAGTGAATCATCAATATTTTTTTCATCATATCAAATTATCATGAAATAAATACCTGAGCAGGACTTTTTCCAACTTTTTTGGCAATTTCCAGAAGCCTTGGGTCCTCCAACAGCTTGGGGTCATCTGGCTTTGCCCTTGAATCCATAATGATAAAATACATATGAATGCCAAATATAACATGTTTTCTACATTTAAACTATTGACACATAACCATTCAACATCAGTAAAACTCATACATGTACAATTTATCTTATAACTGTCAAACAATCTGTGTTTAAAGACTTTGTATGTTCACTCTTTAATTCATGACACTATCTACTCTTAATTTGAGATGTTTGGTAAGAAAAATAACACTAAATTGTTAAAAAACAAACTACATGCTATTCTCAGCAAATCACACAAGTGATTTATTACTGTTACAGCAAGTAATGTCAACAAATATGAGAGTAATATAAATATCAGCAAAATATTATTCATATATCTTCAAGGGATAGAATGTGAAACAAGAACAGGAATCAAATGATTTAAAAATTAAAATCTGTAAGATAGCAATTAATACAGTCAAGAGTGCCTTATACCAATGACCTTAAGCTTGTTAGAGAGACAGTTTACTCTTTATTGGTCATTGCTCACACTCAGTGCCCTACATAAAAGATGTAGTTAGAGACGGTCCGCTCTATCTAAGATATTGCTCGCATTCGGTGCCCTATACCAATGACCTAGATGGAGACTGCCCTTTGTATCTCAGTTCTATCTTCTACTCACCACGGCCTATCATTGGAACCCAAACAACTATGAGCTGTCACTGTCAATCCCTTTTCATGGGCAAAATTGACCAAACGTTCATTGCTAAGATATGGATTAATCTCGATCTGTAATGTAAGATATGTGCACTTTACATAGTTTCACTTGAAAACAGTTGCATAAACGCTATGATTAATATCTTTAAAAGATTTGTTTTCGATACTGATTAATGCAGGAATACATTCAAGCTAAATCAATCAAAAATCTCAAATACCCAAATGAATGTTGGTACCAGATCACATGAAACAGAACCCTATATGAAATAAAAATGAATAAAATTCTGAAATCATCTTTAAAATCAAATCTTAATTCTACAAAATGAGATTTTGTGAATCGGTTGTACCTGCAAGTTAGCAGGTTTGATTCTGCAGTTGTCAAAGATTCTCTGAACCTGCTTGCTGTTGAAATTTGACAACCCAATGGCCTTGGTCAAACCCTCATCAACAAGTTTTTCCATTTCCTTTAAAAGGAACAAAATACTATACATTAACTGTTTCATTATGATAAAGATGATAATTAATGGATTCATGGATAACAAATATTATATCAAAGGGTAAAGATATTAAATTTAAACTCATAGTGCATTAAATGTTTATATCAGTCCCATAAATAATTTATATAAAACATTAAAAACTATCATTCTTAGTTTTCAGGCTGAAAAATCAATTTTATCTTCACACTGTTATCGGTATATTTGTTCAATAATAAAATCACACAATGAACTACCCCTTGGGAAACAAAAAATACTTAATTGAAATAAGAATTGGAGATCCTGGGAGGTGTGGGCTCCTTCCTTCAAAATTTTGGTGTGATATTTTAGGCTTACTAGTATATTGATGCTTTTAAGTGATATCAAACCTTCCAAGCTTCCAAGAAGTCAATTTCAGACAGGATTATATTTCCATCTTCATCCCTTGGTACATTTTCTCCATCTTCCTTTCAGTTTGAAAAGGAAAATTAATGTGAATTATAAGACATTCACTGAAAACACATTATTAACATAATAATACAATAACACTGTGTGACAATAATTAACTATCTGAACCTTTACTTCCACAGCATCCAATTAAGCAAGTGAATCTGTTAAGTTTTACAATGTGCTGATAAAAAAATTCAATAACTACATACTATCAACTGTTAATATTCTGTCGTAGATCCACTGCTTTTCTGTATAGCTTAACCCAATTAAAATTCAAAATCATCTTCTTATCCATTATTGCTTCTATGATCTCACAAATTATTTTACCTTATATGCCATTGGCCAGTGCATTAAATAGATATCCAGGTAATCCAGTTGTAGATTATTCAAGGTCTGTGTTATACACTTTTTCACCAAATCTTTTCGATGGTAGGTGTTCCAAAGCTGAAATATTCATTCTAGTGTCAGTTATTATATCTAAAAAAATACTGTTATTATCTGTAAAATTCTTCAACAAATGTTTATTATCTCATATAACATTTTATTGTTATTACTGTGAGATAATAAGGAGTACAGGTACATGTACTAGTACCTGTAAAGCATAGGGAATTAGCAATGGCAATGAACCTTAACTTCATCAAAAAAGAGTTAATAGGTGCATAATATCACATTCATTATTACAGATTCACAAAACCAGCAATTTGATGCAGGAATTTCATGTCTTGTTGCTTCATTTCCTATTCTTCATTCCATTTTTACCTTGCTAATTATAAATAGCTCTTCTCTCTTCACTGTTCCATCACTGATCTTTTCCTTTATAGCAGGCCCTATCTCTGGTTCATTCCCATAGATGAAGGCACAGTCTATCATTCTATAGCCAACACCAATGGCCTTCTTCACAGCTTCTGCAACCTCACCAGGCTTTGACTAGAAAAGATATCATTTAAATATCACTTAAAAGTTGCAGCAAACACCATACTATGATACAACATGTGTATCTAGGATTCCTAGTCCTAAAGATTCATTACAAAAATAAGAATAACATATAGGACTAGGAATCCTAGATACACATGTTGTATGGTGTTTAGTGTTTGTGTACATGTATAAGTTTGGACATGTAGTTGTTATGCAGGCTATAAAATATTAAAACAAAACAGAGTTATCATAACATTCTATATTGCATTTGTGGAACACTGGCTTAGTTCAGTACTTTTATCTATCCTAGAGGTATTCATTTTACAGACTGCACATGGATATTACAATGTACAAATATAATAATTTCTGTGATTTTTAATCAAATGAACCCCTCATCATCCTATACCACTGACTAACCACTTTATTAAACAATAATCAGGTATATTTGTTTTTTACAGATGGTTGCTTGAAAGCAAAAATATGAAAAAAATTTTTTAACCATTTCAATCCATAGAGTTGACAACCCTAAATATAAAACAATTGATAAGATACATGAAATGCAAGCTTGATGGACCTCCCATATAATATCTGACCAATACATACATGTATACCAGTATGTGCAAGTTTTTGCAAACATTGATCTTTATTTAGGCATTTAAAATATTTGCCTGTTCAATCTAAAAACAAGAACATGTAATACTGCGTGTGGACGTTTAGGGATCATCAGGGAACTTTAACATGCACACGTAATACTGCATGTAGACGCCGCTCCCATCCCTAAACCCTATCACTGTACAAGGACTGCATTCAGTGCCAAACATGGCAGACACCATGTAGTACAGCATATATTCCCAGCATTTTCTGTTTGCTAAGGAAGCAGAGGTCAAAGATGACTTATCAATCAAACCCTATGCCTTAGTCACAGTTACAGGTTGTGATTGCTGTAACCCTGCCACTACTCTATACTGATAAGATAACAGAATTTGTTCCAACAAGTCCACGCCACAAAAGGACAGCATGGTGTGCACCATGACTGTGCAATATTTCTTGAAATGCTCGACAGCTTTGGGGCCTTGCGGACTTAAAATGACAGTGTAACTAGGTCAGGACAATCCGTATGTCAACCACTTAATGATATACCATGTAAGCACAGTGTATTCTACACACAGCCATGTGTCTGAATTACCCAGGGTAATAGTATATATAAATATATCTCTGCATGTTGAAAGAAAAACTCTTCCATTATTCCTTTGTCCTGTTGGAATAAATGAAAAGAATTCAACAACTTAAATATTAATAAAATGTGGTAATAACTTTAACAACCAGTATGCAAAAATATGTGTGTAACAGTTGTCCCAGAACCCCAATACCATATTTAAGTTGAAAAAAGCACATGATATAAAATCCTTACTCTTCTATTTCACAAAACAAACAGATAAAAAACATTTTCAAATCTTAATCAAATAAATATTTATTAGAGAAAACTGTTCCAGAAAGATAGGTGCATGAATCACTGATTCAATAATTACATTTTGCAATTAAAATAATATTTATTGTTAAAAATGAAGACAAGTCTGATGCTGCTAATGAGTATGACAGAGGCAATTATATGTACACGTATATCATACAAGTCATTCTGATGCTATGATAATGCCTTGGGCCACAAAAAAATTAGGGACATATAATTTTTGGTTCTACGAAATATTTCCTGCATGTACTGTATCTCTTGCTTTGCAATTTCAGTGAAAATACACTATTTTTAAAAAGCCCTTTACAAAAAACATAAAGCCGTATACCTTCCAAGTTCCAAGTCCAACCATTGGCATTTTGGCACCGTTGGCTAAAGTTAAACATTTTACATTTGCCATGGCGTTTCCTTTGGTAATTTTAATCAAGTTGAAATGCGCTCCTTCTCCACTGGTTATTGCCGTGGTTAAGTCTTGCACGCCCTCTAACGGTGACTAAATGAAATAAAAGTAGAAATATGCCAAAACTGGACCCTAATTAAATATTCATATATTGAAAATATTTAGACCTCCACTTTAAGCATGTCAACACATGTACAAAGATATAGGCATAAAAATGATGGTGCTTCAGTAATACAAGATGTTGCTCTTCGTCCTCTTTCAATGTTAACTATTTTTTTCGCGCGTTTATATCAGTATAGCAAAATGGCGGAGGTTTTGAGGTGGGACCTCTCTGTTATCAAACGGGATCTTCTTTTGGCAAACCGGGAATGTTCCGAGAGGGGTTTGATGCAAAGTGCAAAATGGTAAGGCACGCACTTAACACCAAATAATATTTTAAGTGGAAATATCTATATATTGTGTTTGTGAAAACAATAAATGCCATTGGCACCAGTCCCGCCGGTGTGGAGGGAATGGATGTCCGCCGTAATGCATGTTCGTAGGACATGTATTCCTAAGAAATAATGCCCTGCGGACACTAAGTCCTGGGAATGCATGTCCTGGGCCCTCCGTTCCTAGGAATACGTGTCCTGAGATTAGAAGTCCTCCAGACAACTGTTACTTAGTATTCTACTTCCTTCAGACGGGCATCGATGTCCTAGTCGTACATTTTCCCTAGTAAACTAGGAATTGATGTCCCCTGACGTTGCTTTGTGTTTGTAATGTTGGTGAAGAATGTGTAATTTATTTGGTTTAGAATGAGATTGTTATTTTTAATTCCATATAGACAGACTTTATTCGGTTCAATTTCTTAATTTAAAAAAAAAAATGATCACCCAACAAATTAACCGACAAATTAAATAAATGAAAGAGAAAATAAAGAAACAACAATAACAAAATTATATTCAAAATTTTATTTTATTACTTGTGTATTCTTTATTTTATTCACTCGATTCATATCACTCTACAAATATTAAATTTGCTCCATTTACTGCTCCTTTCAGGATATCCCCCTCCACAGTCCTCAACATATAAGCTTTGTTTTTGGTTTGGCCCCATACCACATATGGACCCAGCCATGGATCTTGGTTTTGGTTACCTTTACAGTCTGATCTCCGCATGTTCTTTTTCAACATCTTGGTGCCCTAAGGGATTGTCTGTAATGAGAAGGACATATACTAAAGACTAAAGATGCATTTATGTCCATGGGTCGTTTATCATTTAATGAGACATATATATATATAATAAATATCTTAATATCTGACCTGTAATAAATTACTGGTTACAAATTAACATGTAGCAATTTTAACAAATTTGAAAAGTTACTAGAAAACTAAAATGAAAGTGAAATGTTTATTGTCCGTGGTTTACTTACATCATGGATAATATGCCTTCTGTCATAATCTTGCTTTTGCCTTTCTTGTGCTTGGGCAATATTTTCAAGAGCAGCCTAACCTGCTTTTGACATAGCTTGTGATCTTCTCTCTATGGCTTTTTGGAGGACCTGCAGGCTCACTTCTTGTTCGTCTTCTCCGTCATCTGACCCACTTCAAGTACTGTCCTGTAGAAGTGCAGGTTCTCTGGTGAAGAAACATTATTTTATTTAGAGGATAACATATTATCAAAATTTATCTCCCATCGCTAAAAATCAGCTACAGTTAGTGTGGCATTTCATTGTACTGTAAATATTAATGCATTTAATCAAATGGTGAATCAACAGTTATATAACAAAAGATTAAGACCAAAACGATCTTACATACCTGCCATACATTGCAAAGAATGGTGAGAATTTAGTTGTACTCTGCCTTGCTGTGTTGTAGGTGAAGACCACTTGCTTTAAAAGCACATCCCACTCACTGGTCTCGTCTCTCAATTTCAAGCACATCTTCTCCAATGTTTGATTGAATTTTTTCTGAAATAATATAAGGTTTAATTGTCATCATTTTCTTGGCACATAAAACAATAATTGGCTTATATTTATCAAGAAGTTAAAACTTTTTACCTGTTATCTTATTGCACTGTGGGTGATATGCACTAGTTCTGCGATGGCTTATTTTCAGTAAGTTTGTGATCTCTTCTATAAGGGCGTTATTAAACTCCATTCCCTGGTCACTAATCATCTTCTTTAGGAAACCAAAACTGAAAAAAAACAAGTACTAGTAAAATATCAGTTATATGATTAAACAATTAAATATGCCATTGCATATTTGCATTGATTGAAAAAAATATTCAAATATCTCCTTTTCATTAATATTTTAATCAAAATTTCATTTCTTACTTTAATTTTAAACAATGGTCTATATGTGAGATATCATTACCACAAAAAGATCTAGTAGGAACAAAGCTACTCCTGTGGCATCTTTCAATGGCAAGGCCCCTTGCTTGTGCCCATTTACTGTAATATCATGTCATTGTGCATAGCATATGTATTTATTACCACTGCTGGAAGTTGGTTGCGGCCCAATAAGATCTATTCCTCTCCGTAAAATAAGTTTAAATATTAATTTTTCTGGTAAAAACAATAGCAGACCCTGAGGTGGTCTGGCATTCTCCACCAGGTCTGTCCAGACTTGGTTATCTTGCTTATTGGGTCTAACACAACCTCTCTGAATTAACATCTTTCCTTCTGAAGCATGTTGCAGCATGGAAGATCTTGTTAAAAGATTTAACTGACTATGATGTTGGTGTTCAACACAGTTGTGAAGCAAGTTCATCACAGGATTTGCTTCACTCACCTCTCTTTGAATCCTCAAGTGGATTGGCTTAAGTATTTATTTTCTTCTAAGTATGACACACAGGAATGTATTTTTCTCCTTTCTGGAAAAACAAAGGTTTGCACAATTCCTCCAGCCTACACAGCAATTCTGACAGGACCCACTTTTCTGATGTGTGGCAGCACAACATACAAGCTAAGGATCAGGATTTCATGATTTCTTCTTTTTAGTTTCAGGCCATTTACCAGCATTTTTTCCCATTTCAGTTCAGTAAGAAAACATTTTCACCATATTTTTGTTGATAATATCAGTTAACTATGATTTTTTACTGTATAGTTTTTTCTCATTGTAGGTCTGCTGAAATGATATTTTCATTGAATCAGGTGCCAACAAATGCACTCCAAGTACAGCCAACTGCTTCAGATGTGAGTTGGAAGTCTTTCTCTTTATGACAGAAAGTTAAATTTGATTACAAATTTGACAACTCACCACAAGGCTTTGTGTACAAAAATATTAAAGTTTGAAATTAAATTAAGACTTAACAAGTGTAAGGAAGAGATTATACATTTCAAGGGGAAATCAAAATTTAAATTCACTTGTGCAAGCATGAATATAAGATTATAAAAAATCTTTTGCAGGTTTTCTGCAAAGAATATGATAGGTACACATTAGCAAAAAGCTACTTTGACTTAAAAGAATATGACAGAGCTGCATTTTTTACCGAGGAATGTGAGGATCCAAAGGTTTATTTTCTCAACAAGTTTTCAAGATATTTAGCTGGAGAAAAGAAGAAAACTGATGATATGACAGATTCCATTGGTAAGCACGATATTTGCTGTTTAAAGGGAAACTCAATTTTAATTCTTCATTGGAATAAAACATTTTATTGAGGCAGTTTTGTGAGATGCGTTCGGTACTGATTTTTGAGACATGCATTGTACCCCTATGTCAAATATTGTCTTTGTCAGGTCCCCCAGATTCTGTGGAGAATGATCACCTAAAGCTGCTGAGAACTGAGCTTCATAAAAAGCACAGCACTAATAGTCTTGATGGATATTGTTTGTATTTGTAAGTAAATGTTTTACAGTCAATATATTAATTAACTTATTTGTATAAGTCTTTTTCTAGAAACTTTACATAATGATAAGAATTAAAATTAATCTGAGTATCGTATTTCTAATAGTTTGTTCTAAAATACTGTTATATCCATTAATGAATATTACTATGACCTCATATATGATAACTTATTTAAAAGAATATTAGGGTGCATTCCCAGAGATTTAGATCGATCCAGAGATTAAGATTTAGATCGACCTTACTCCCTGGGGGTTCACGCTAAATTGCAGTCAGCCGAGCGTGCACCATAGTTAATTACCCCCTTACAGCTTTTAGTAGACGGGACAGACGCTTTAGCTGGCTAAGCTGACAGTAATCTAGTGAGACTCCCCACAGGGATAGATTGATCTTAAAATCTCGGGGTTCTCCCCAGAAATTGAAAATAGCCCTTATTTTTTTTCGCGAGAGTACCGAGGCTTGCGAAGCGAGGTACAAAGGGGGGAGGGGGNTGAGTTGGAAAATGCACCTTAAAGTGGATTCATTTTCAGATAAAAAGTTTTTTTTCATACTTGTGAACTCTTGAAGATTTAATCTTGCATATAAGTATGATTTAACATAGTTTCAATCAGGGCTTCTCCTAGGATTTTGGGTACAGGGTCTACTAATTGTAAATCTGCAATTTGATAATAAATTCACATGAAGTTTAACCAAAGCTAAAAAAAATACAGGTGGGGAGGGGGTACTGTCAGATTGATTTTATTAAAATATTCAAAATTTATAATATTTGAATAAAGTTCAATGAAAAATTAAAGAATATTCATTTTATAATACTTTACTTATATTTATGTTAACAATTCAACTTTTTAGGGGTTATCATGTGTTTGATTTTTTTAATATATGAGTTAAATAAAAGCAGTATAAAAAAGTCCCCCTTTTTATTTAAATTCTCATATTTGTTATTACTAATATCTAACTTACATCAATATCACACGGGTATATGACAGCAATGTTAATTTATCATATTCCAGCACTAAATTTTTAACTGTAAATAATATAGGTGATGCTAAAGTCATTATAGAAAACATCATACAAAATTTCATGTTTTATTTTGGCAAATAAACAATATTTCAACAAGATCTTCAGTCCCAAAGATTTCACGTTCTATAGTAAGTAGATAGCATACAACGTATTTGATTGACGGGCAGTATGTTGCCTTGACAACGAACTAGATATATCTAGTTCATCCAGATCAATCTGGCTGTTGTACCCTGCACAGTACTTGTGTAGTTTCTGTTTTTGGAACAGTCTTTATCTCTAGAGCACGAAGATTTTTAACCAAATAAATATTCAGTAGTGAGCCTGTTATGTGAATAAATTTTGTCTTGTGAAGTTCTGGAGGGTGTTCACTTTCATAATTTGGCGGTAAGTTTGTTCACAATTCATTTTGCGACTGCATGTGTTTTGTGCCAAAAGTAGGTCACTCTTTTCAGTACCGTCTAGGAAGAGAAAAAGACGTTAGTATGCATCAAAAATGATTTTTTAAAAGATTTTTGCTCCAAATTTCTCATAAATCATGACCTGTCCATCAGACAGCCAACCCTGCAACTTCACCGAACTGAATTTTTACCTTAAAGAAACGTGTCGGCAAAAAAAGAAGCATATCGGCAAAAAGAAATGTGTATCGCTGCCGATACGCTATAAAGGCCTGGGGAGAACCCTGAATCTATGGGAATGGGGTCTAAGACTCGAGACAACATGATACTGCCAACTGGAAGAATGGCTAAAACTGAACAATTTTCAAATGTGTTTCATATTTATCTCTGTACAGGTATGGAGTGGTGTTAAAGAAGTTGGAACTGTTAAAGGAAGCAGTGGATGTATTCATAGATGCTATTCAAAGTGAACCTCTTCACTGGGGAGCATGGCAGGAGTTGGCAGCTCTGATCACAGATAGAGATATGGTAAGTAATCTGAATCTAACCACCATCTTGCTCCATGAGTACTTTATTCTTGTTATCCTTTATCTTACATGCCACTGTTTAATCTACTTGTTTTGTAATGCAACGGTTCAAGACAAGGAACATCTTTTTCTGTACATATAGCTGTCGATCTGCGTCTGTCGTCGCCGTCGTGCCATTGCTGTGCACTTTTACCAATAACACGATAAGTGGAAAACCATTTTTTTCTTTTGGCTTGTCTTTGTTCTTATTTCCGTTTATTCAAGACCATTGTGGTGCAAAGATATACACAGTGATGAGAGAGTAAGAATCATCATCATAATAATTTGAAAGCATATGAAATATCAAGGTAGCCTTATCATCATTACATGATGGGGGAGCAGAAGAAGTGTTTTTTGGGAACTTCTCAGTATCTAAACTGCTGGTGGTGGTGCTGCTGCTGCTGCATGAAGCGGCTAGGGCTGAATTGGGTCGGAAGGGCTGTAAAGCGTCGCTTGCTGCTCCAGGTCAAGGGAGTCTATTGTATAGCTCGGCTGCACTGGTTGTGTGACCACTCCGTTTCTTGATCATCTGTTCATCAAACCCCGCTTTACACAACTCAGTACAGCAAGTAACTTTGCCACTGTGTCCCATTATATTCCTCCCTCCTATTAATGTCAGCCTCCTCAAACATCTTGGGTAAATATCCTGATAAAGTATTCAGGCCAACTGGCTGTGAACTAAAGGCGATGATCCCATCTTTTCTTGAAATAGGGCGTCTGTAAAATCTTCTTCTTGGTGGCACATGAGAAAGGTAAGCTTCAAATAATGAAACCACGCACAGCTCCTTTCCAGTGCTGTCTGCATAGTGCCAAACCTGCCTGGGGACTGTCTTGCTACTCAGAGAGCGTGTAATGTTCTTTGCCAAAGGTCCATTGTATTGGACATATCAGTGACCATTTTCCTCACCAAAGGAATATTGTTCTGCCATCAAACCTTTGTGTTCGTCTCTGACTCAAAAACCAAAATCTTTTCATTATAAAAGTAGGTAGCATACAACAATCCTGCACTGGTACTCATACTAAGTATGCTGCTCTCCTATAACTGCACTTCGTCATTTTTGTCAAAGAGCCCGCACGGACTGGAGTAGCGCCAATGCCCATCTTGAACAAAAATTTTATTCGGTTGTCCAGTGCCTCCCAAAAACCCTTTAAATGCGGATCATCCCTTTTTACAGCCAGACATCTCTGCAGTCACTCTCATTGCGCAAATACCTTTGTATGCCAGTACACTATACTCGTAACATTTCACATACAGCCCGGCAACTTGTATTGTATCTATCACATAATATTAAGATATTTGTGTCCCTTTTTTAAGCTCTCAACCCTATCCTTACCTGACCACTGGATGAAGCAGTTTTTCCTGGCACACACCTATCTAGAACTACAGCTTAACGATGAGGGTCTTAAACTCCTACAGGCCATCCGTGACCAAGGCTTTGCCAAGAACAGCTATGTGCTTTCACAAATTGCCATTGCCTACCACAACTTCCGAGGTTAGTTTGGTAAACAGTGAATAAATGTAGGCAGAGTTAAGTAATAAATTTGATAAACTAAATATAAACCATGTATTATATGTCACAGTGTGCACATCGATTTGTATTGTAGGATGTCTTTTGATAGCATCTCATTGTTTCAAATCCATTTCTTTTCTAATGTTAAGTTATTTTTCTTTTTCTCCAGAGGTTGATCAGGCTGTCAATGCATTTACTGAACTAAGAAAAGCCGACCCATGCAGGCTTGAAAATATGGATGTGTATTCTAATCTGTTATATGTTAAGGTATAAATCCATTTTAAATCTTTCAAAGAATAAGTCTTATGGATGGATATGGATGTTGTTAGGTGAAGATTACTGTATCAAAAATCAAATTCAGATTTGGTTAATTAAAAAAAGGATACATCCAGTCATCTTAACAGTAATGTATGTAATATCATAATCCCATGACTTCATTCATTTGATTCCCTTTCAGGAAATGAGAGCAGAGTTGGCTCATTTAGCACATCACTGCTGTGATATTGACAAGTATAGAGTGGAGACATGTTGTGTGATAGGTAGGATTAAAGAAGTACTTATTCATTTATGCCTAGTTAGGAAAAGGCTGTGTAGATAGTAAAACTACTGTGTATTAGATTTTATTCTTGTGAGATATTTATTATAATAAAAAAAAAGAAAAGAAAAAGTTGAATATTAATTATTATATGAACCAATTTGATGGCAATTTCCCTTCCTTGGCCTAGAGTTGTAATAAGACTCTAATGGGATATTCATTACTGGTTGCAGGGAATTATTACAGTTTGCGCTGTCAGCATGAGAAAGCTGTGTTGTACTTTCAACGTGCCTTAAAGCTAAACCCACGCTATCTCTCAGCGTGGACACTGATGGGCCATGAATTTATGGAAATGAAAAATACATCTGCAGCTATTCAGGCTTACAGACAGGCAATAGGTAAGTGATACCGTTTCATTGACTTGGAACATTGCATATATCTCATGATTATTTTAAAGATAAAAACTACTGTTTAGTCACACTGAATAATTGGTGACAGTCTGGTTTTGTTTTTGATTGTATATTGTGTTCTTGCTCTTCAGAGGTCAACCTGAGTATTGTATTTGAAGTATTTTGCTTACATGTTTTTTGGTTTTCAGAGGTCAATCGCAGAGACTACAGGGCCTGGTATGGACTGGGGCAAACCTATGAAATTTTGAAAATGCCATTTTATTGTCTGTATTATTACAGACAAGCCCAGATGCTGAAGTAGGTGTCTTCTCTTTAAGTAGCTGCTGGGAAAATAAATATTTCTGCAGCATATATTTATAAATCCCATTATTTGTTTTAAATGCTTAATTACAAGCTTATTGAAATATCGACTCGATGTGGATTCATACAGAACAAATTTGAATTTGCAGTGTATGGCCTCAGTTGTGCCAATTGTTTGTTATTGAACCCACTGATTCACTAGAACTAATTCCAAAAAGCTACCAGTAAAACAAATTATTCTTTTAGGTTAGGTTGTTTGCATCTTTTCGTCTTTATTATTTCAGACCAAATGATTCTAGGATGATTGTAGCCCTTGGAGAATGCTATGAAAAGCTGGACCGTCTTCAAGAAGCCAAGAAGTGTTTTTGGAAGGCACATGCCATGGGAGACCAGGAAGGAACACTGGCACTTATCAAGCTAGCAAAGTTAGTCTACTAAAGCATAAGCTCATGCAGTGATTTGAATAGTGTTTAAAGTGGCATTCAGTTAAAATGGTTATTATAAGACTGAGGAGATTATAGTAATTGATAAGGTCTTTTTAGTTTATCTTTCACATATGCCTCACTATTTTCATCATTGTAGTTTTCCCCAGTTCTTTTAATTTATTTAGATTTGTTTTTTTATTTAGCAATAAGATGTTTAATCTAGTCTTTGATACCAATTCAGGTTGTATGAACGTTTAAGTGAAGAGGACCAAGCTGCTGCAGCCTATACTGACTATATCAATGAAACCATTCGCACTGGAGTAGGTAGCATTAATCTTTTACTGCAACAAGATTTTTGAAGACGTTTGAAATTGCTCATAGAATTTTCCCCCTTTTTTTCAAACTTGAAAAACTAATGTAATAAATGTTTTGATGATTATATGGGAAACAGTTTTGAGGTTGTTGTTTAAACAACTCTTGCAATTCATGGCTATGAAATTGGCATATTTTAGCATATCTTATGTGGGTTCTTCACAGCTGCCTTAACATTTTCAGGCATTCAGCACAGATGAACAAGCCCATGCTTACAAGTACCTGGCCAACTATCACATCAAGCACAATCAGTTAGATGATGCTTATATTGCTGCCCAGAAGTGCACAGAATATAATGAGGTAATGTACCTATGACTGTAATGAGGAGTGAATGAATGTTTTGGAAGAAAATACTACTGAACAAGTTTGCAAAGACATGCAATGAGCATTAAACTTTCATACAGCAAATTTTAATTTTCTTTGAAATCTTTTTTCCTGTTAGTTTCTAGTTTTTGAGTTTCTTTCGTACTGGAGAAAATATTGAATTTTATTTGATAGAAATTAAGAGTGTAAAGGATTTCTAGATTGCAATTATCTCAACAGACTGGATGTGCTTTGCATTGGTGAAATAGGGAAGATTGCTTTAATTCACTTTTTATTTTTTGTTTCTTATATAAAGGTCCAATGTGCATATTACAACCTTAAGCCTAGAGTAGTTGCACTCAGACTGCCTGTACAAATATCCCGAAGCTCACTGATATATGCCAAAATATTGAATTGACATCTCTCAGTTCAGTAAAAAAATTGTTGCTTTCAGACTAGAGAAGAGGGTAAAGCACTTCTTCGACAGATAGCGAGACTACGTCCCCTTGCAGATGGTGCAAATCTTATGAACACAGATGATGTGGGATCAGTAATAACCACTAGAATACGCCCAGAGGTTGACGACATGGCCACCCCACCTGTTAACAGACTTGCACCTATCAATTTGACTTTTCACACGCCTTAATGTTTTGTACTGGTGTGCTTTATTCAAAGTTACTGGTGTCTCCACCCGTATGCTTTTCGAGTTTGGAATCAATAAATGGAGAAGAAACTCTAAGTGGGGAAAATTGCTATTATCAATTGTACATTTATGAAATGGATTTTCAACTGTTCAGAAGAAGAATGTGTTCAGATACTTAGCATATAAATTTATTTATTTGCAAAAACTTATCTTAACATAATTCTTACATGGAATATGTGCAGAATTGTGAGTAAATTGTTAATTATTTTTGAAATAGCTACTTCAGCACTTCAAAGCTTATATAAATATTAATTATAATAATATTATTTATATGCATTCTTAAACATACTTTGGCACATTGGACATAAAAAGCAAAGGTTTCTTTCAACTGTAAAGACATAAATAAAGGGACTTTTTCTGAGAGACTAATTTCAAATGTTTACTACTGTCTTTGGAAGACCAGTTTTGAAACTGTCTATCAAACTCATGTTGGACGGATAACGCACTGGCACATCTATCAAAAACTTGTGCAACCGTTTTTTTTCTGCATCTTGAGGACTACTGATCAATTCTCATGTTAATCATAGACACTTCTTTACATTATAAAGATTTTCAACCAGTCCAATATTAAACCATAAACTTCTTGACTGCAGTTGGTGGAAGTGGTTTGATGGGATTCAACTTTTCCTCGTGGACAGGGGAGCCAGGAAGGGGTTGGAGTCTGTTTAGGGAAGGTGAGCTGGTGTATTTGGTGGGGCCTTTGTCTCCTTTCTTCTTTGGCTGAAAAAGAAATAAAATACTTTATAAAACTGGAAAAAAAAGTGAAATGAAAACTGGCGTTTCTTTCAAATTACTTTTCACCTGAATGATCCAGTCCTGTTACTAGACTGGATATATATTAATACTACACTCAAATAATTGGTCAACACTGAGATGTCACCAAAGGAGCACATGATTGTAGAAAGGAACTAAATCAGGGCCGTTTCCTTTAGTTTTTTACATACTGATGTTGGAATTCTCACCTTCATAAATGGATTGAGGACCCCTACATTAGGCTGTGTATTAAACACTTTGTTGAAGTTGGTTTCTCTATTGACCAATTCCAACTGATAATATTTCTTCTCATCTTCCAGTCTTTTCATGTACTCCTCCCTATCTTCGAGGGCCTTTTGCAACTGTTTTATCATTTCCAAATCTTCTGGTCTTGACTCCCTGTTCCTGTAGTTATCTTCTGCTTCTTCGAGCCTGCAAAGGTAAAATTGTTTGAGAATTATAAAGACGATAAGCTTTTTTCCACGTAACTTTTTAATCAAATTAAAAAAGTTTTTAAAAAATTAAAGGATTCTGCCATGACTGGTCTTAGAATGTCATTAATTTTCAACCATTTCAAAACAATAAGTGTGTATACTTACATGATTTGCAGTGCAGAAATCTTGTCCTTGAGCAAATCCTGTGCCCTGTTGAATTCTCCCAGCATGTCTTGAGTCTCCCTTAGATGATCTGCAGACAAACTGTTGACTTGCTCTTCATGCTGCTGAGCAAGTTGTTCTTCACGTTTTCTACAGTTTTAAGATGTTTTATTAAAATGAGCAACTTGATTAATTTATATGCTAATTTTTCCTCATGACAAAACTTACACATTAAAAAAAAATTTTTTTGTTAATTTTTTCTGTTCACACTCGAGTAAAAAACAATACTCTTTTTTAATTAATCAATTACTGATGATATCTACGATTATATATTCTTATTCCCAATGTATTCTAAATTGTTCTGTATACATACCTAAGTTGCTGGTTTGCTTCACTCCTGATCTTGAGTATCTCTTTGCCTTTGAATTCTACCTCTCTCCTCATCTGGTCCAAGCCTTCTTGAACCTGCCTTATCTCCGCTTCCAAATTGGATATGTGTTTTTCCCTGTGCCGCACCTCCTCTTGAAGTTCAGTAGACCTAATTTCAAAGTCTCTTTCCTAAAAATAGTATTAATGTAATAATTATAATTTTATTCCTTTTCTACTCTGGGGCATTATAATATAAGTCAAATATGTATCTCTTCTCTGAAAGAATGGTAAAAAAATATTTGACATGAAAACAAACCAAGTCCTTGATAATATCTAAAATACTATGTTGAAACGTTCATCATTATCAAAATATAATCTTGCATACCTTTTGTTTTGAAAGCTCTATGGCTCTTTCAAGCTCCATTCTGGCAGCATTCATCTGTGTATTGTGAGCCTTGTTCATTTGCTCCAACTCCATTGCATGTCTGTGAGCAAGCTCTGACTTCAGTGTTTCTACAAGCAGGCATGATTTTGGGTCATAAGGAATGTTTTTATTCAGTGAAAAAATATACCATTTAAAACACTAAAAAAGTAACAGTATGTCACAGTACAAAAATGATATATATAAGTTTAAAAGCTAATTTTCCATGTATTGAAAAATATATATATATTCTCTCCATTAACTTTATCAGACAGGATAAAACTTTCAGATATCTCATTATTCTAAAAACAAACCTTTTTCTGACAAGTGAATCTTATGCTGTGTTTCCAGGTCCTGATCTCTCTGTTTATCCGCCTGATCTTTCACTGATTCAATCAGGGCCTTCTGTGCCTTTATAGTATTGCTCATTTCTTCCATGTGCTTAGATGTAAGAGTCCTCTCCATTTCCTAAAAGTGGGAAAGGCAAAATTTTATCCAAAACTGTTTAAATTTGTTTAATAAGAAGTAAGTACAAAAAAAAAAAAAAAAAAAAAAAAAAAAAGAGTACTATAAAATTTAAATGGTTAATATCAACTTTGTTTTAATGACTATAGCACTCACATGTGAAAGGTGAATTAATCAGGAGTCTTTTTGCTTAAATTACCTCAACTTCCTTGATTCTTTGAGCTTCAAGATTTTTGATCTTCTCAGCATGAATTCTCTCTAGAGCTTCAACCTTCTTAGCATACTCATCTGCTGCCTCATTCATTTGGTCCCTCAGACGCTTTTCCTCGGCAGCTGCCTTCTGTTTAAGATCAGCTAGGAGTTCTGAAGACTCACTGGATTTGGCATCTATATTCCTTTTGAGCATAGATATCTGCAATTACATAAACAATGTCAGTTAACAGAGCCAAATACCCATATTCATTACTTTTTAGTCGATCATAAGCAGACAAGCTGCAAGGTCACAATGCAACGTTGTAATTACAATGTAATATATGATGTCATCAAAAAGTCATAATCACCATGCACAATAAATTCAAAAAGATTTAAGATAAAATGTATTTAAGTTATAACAGTCTTACCTCATCCAGCAACTGAGTAACTTTCCTCTCCCAGCCCTCTCTGGCTGCTGCTATTTCTTCATCCTTCATCTTAGCTAGCTGCTGTAAGGCTGCACGCTTGTCCTCCTCTTTCTGCTCAGTTAACTCAGATCTCAGCTTCAAACACTCTTTCCTAATAATTAAGATTTAACAAATTGAATTTTAGTAAAATACCCATAGCACATAAATTACTGTATATATAATATGCATTAACAATGCATATCAATTATGGGAGAACATTGCCTTTGCTAAAGAAATAATTTTGAGACTAAAAATTAAATACACACTTCCTTAAATAGTAAATGACAAAATTGGTATAATCCTACGCCCTTTTACCTCAAAGTGTCTGTCCATTTTGCATCCAAATCTTTGGAGAGTTGATCCAATTTTGTCTTTAATTCTAACTGTGCCTCCCTCATCTTAGTGTCATGCATGGCTCTCAGTTTCTCCAGCTCAGCCTGTAGGTTGGACTTTTGGTTTGACACTGCACGGAGCTCGGCTTTGGTGCTATCCAGCTCTGCTTTTAGTTTATCACTGGCTTCCTTCAAACTGTCAATATGTGAGGATGCAGAGCCCAGGCCTTGCTCACTCTCTTTAACCAGTTTCTCAAGCCGCCTCACCTAGAGTATTTTAACACATAGTAAACATTACAGGTTCTTCTCTATGTTTTAACATTAAAACAGCAGTGTATTATGATTAATTTCATAAAAGATCAAATCATGTGTCATCATTTAATTGCAAACTGAAATATTCTTATATTTATTAGTTGATGAAGATTATTCGACATCCATTTCAATTTTTTATCTAAACAAATTTTTCCATCTATTTGTTGACCTTTATTGTCTGTCCATAAATGATTACAATATTCATAGTAATAGCTATTGAAAGGCACTGTTATTTCAGAAATTAGTGTAAAAAATGGAATAACTATTCATATTTTTACATAAGTAAAACATTTTAAATCTTAACATGCATATAAAAACCTACCTCCTCTTCTGCAGTCTTCAATTTATGACTAAGATCTCCCTGTACTCTTTCATATTCTGCTTTCATGGAGGTGATCTCTTCATTATGTTGTTTTTGGAGTGCTTCTATTTTATCCTGGTTTTCCTGGAAAAAATTTCAAATATCAAAGTAAGTGCTGTTCATGCTGTCACTATTCATTATTTAAGTCAAAGGTCATTTTTATTTTTGATTAAAGCGAGTGCTATCAATACACATTTACAGGGAAAATTATGTTGACATGAATAATTTATGATTACAAATTGAAATAGCATCAATATTTAAAATTCTGACCTGCCAACACTCATTTTTATTTTGTTTTGTTTTTATTTTGACACTAAGATGTGGAAATTATGTATATCTAGAGACTGGTAAAATTATTATACCTTTTTCAACTGTGTAATCATTTCTGTAGATGCTTTCCTCTGGTTTTCCAACTCCTCTTTGTGCATCTTTTTCAGCTCCATCATTTCAGCCTCATGGTTGTTTTGAAGTTCCTTTTCCCGTTTGGCATGGGACTCCTCGAGACTATTAAGGTCCCTCTCATACCTTTCTTTAAGAGCCTGTTTCTCAAGTGACAAATCTTCAAGGGACTGCAATTATATTGAAACTAATAAATATCATTTGACAAACTTGAACATATTTTATTTCAAACAAAATAAAAAACCTAAAACACTGTTTTTGCAATAATTTTAAACACTTTATACATCTCTGATCTGACCATGCAAATAATTAATTAAGAAAAAAAATCCCTTGAAAGACTACACCTACCCTCTCCAGTGATTTAAGTTGGTGATTCTTCTCTTCCTCTTGACTTAGTGTCTTGTTTTGCAAACCTTCTCTCTCCTTTTCCAGCCATGCAGACCTGTCTTTTAGCTTTGATAACTGAGATTCTAAGTCTTTGATGGTTGCTTCATTCTGAAGTCTAGTTGCCTCTAACTGCCCAAGAAGGGCTGTTAAATACAAAAAGAAATATGGTTAAAGACATATGATGGTAGTGCTTTAAAAAATGGCCACTATCAGAAATTTATATCTATGAAGTCAAGAATACATTACATTAAAATGAACAATCCACATTTCCACTGAGAACAATTTTGATTTATGCTCTAGTTACAACATCAATCACACACTGTATGTGTAATAATTGAGGCACAACCAAAATATCCAAGGGAAAATGCTTTAAACAATAGCATAGTTGTATTTCACTTATGCAGTGAAACATACACCTCGTGCAAAATACAGTGAAACTATCTTCTTGTTCAAAGCACCAAATGTGGAATAATTCTTCAAATGTTCAGATAACATACATGTGACACAAACTGATATATAAAACACAAAGCAATCCACTTACTTGACTTTTTCAGCATGTCTGCTGCCTGTTCTGAACATCTTTCCTTGGAAGCAGCTAGCTCTCCTTCAACCTCTTTCAATCTGGTGATGGCCTGTGCTGTCTCATGCTTTGCATCTGACAACTATAATACATTAAAAATAATAAAAGTTATAAAAGATCTCAAATGCAGTAATAATTACGCCAGGTGTATTTTGTTTTCACTTTAACCCTTGATCTTTGCACTTAAGGAATTCAGGATATTTTGCAATTTTGCAATTAATAATTTTATTACATTCTGATTTCATTTCAAGAGAAAAAAAAAAAAAAGAAAACATTTCCAATCATTGTCAAGAACACAACTACCAGGGAAAAAATTGAATACCAAATTTTTACCATGCTCCCTTTTTTTATTATAAATATTTAAATGCAAAACAAAGCTTTTAATGCATCACGTTTAAAATCTGCAAACAGCACGATGATTTTTATAATGACAATTCCTTTTCCAAGCACAATATTTAATTACTGACCTGTCTACTGAGTGTATCAGAGTCACTGCTTCTGTCTTGGATCATCTTTTCATAATTTTGTAGCTGTTCTTTTTGCTTTGCAATTTCATCCTCTGACCGAGAAAGTTGTTCAATTAAGTCATCAATTCTCTTTTTAAACTGTCCTTCTTGGTAAGCAAAGTCTTTCTTTATCTTATTCTGTTGAGCTAACAGATCTGAAATCCGACTTTCCATATCAGAATTTTGTGCATTCCGCAATACATCCAGCTCTTTGTCATAAAATGCTTTAGCTTTGCTCAGCTTATCCTCATAGTCATCAGCTATTTTCTTTTTATCGCCATTTAGCTCCTCTATCTGTCCTTTCAGCTGGTCTATTTGTTGGGAGTATAGCTGTTCTAACCTTTCCCTTTCCTTTGATAGATCACTTTGCTGTGAACTCTGCGCATTTCTTAAATCCTCCAATTCTTTTGCATGCACCTTTTTCAGATTTTCAAGAGCTGTCCTTTGGTTAGACTCAAAGTCAGCTTTTACTTGATCAAATTTACTCAGCTGCTCTTCAAAATGTTTCTTTATAGTTAGCACCTCTTGAGACAACTGAATGACTTTCTGAGACTCCTCAGTTTTTAATTGCATTTCCCGTTCTTCGGCTCTTCTTTTAAAATTTTGAAAATCTTCCAGTGCTTGCTGTTTCTGCTGTTGGTGTTCTGCATTAAGTGCTTCCAAGGCTGTGATTTTCTTTTTGAGTTCAACGTCCCCACCCATTCGGGTGCGGTAGTTTTCCAATTTGACTCTTGTTTCTGTGATAAGTTGTTGCATTTCCTCTTCATGATGATCTTTGATACTCTGAATGACTGCTTCATGCTCATCATTTTTAGTGTTGAGTGCATAAATAACCTAGAAAACAGAAAGAATACCATAAAAATTTTAAATAAAAAATATGAAAATGGCTGAGAAACCTACATACAAACCTGAAAAGAATGATCTTAAATTCCAAATATAAGTATAATTTGTTAACTTTTGAAATATCTAGCATCAATACAGTCACAAAATTCGATTTTTCCTTAATTTAAGAATGATAGACTTTTGTCCATGGCTTAAATTTTAAAAAATCACCTAACCATATGTAAGCAATTTGTACGAATCTCTATTGCAAATGGATTTAATAAAAGAGTGAAATGACTCTAAATTAGACTAGTAGTTTTAAAAATACTGTTATAAAAGGGAACAAATATCATCACCATAAAGTAAATAATTTTAAATTTTAATTTTTTCTGCTTTTAGATTAAAATCTAACAGAAAAGCGCTTTTTTACATCTGTGAAACCTTTTTGGTTTTTCATTTTGCATTTCAAAATATGATGGAATGGCCCTTAGATAAGCAAAAAGTCAGAGGACACTGAATAAATCACTTATTTAAGGGTATTTACTGTCTTAATTGAACAGAACACAGCATGTGTGCATCACTCACAGCAGGCTACTGCCAACTGAAAATAAACCTTGACATTTGCCCATCTAAATATCAGGAAAATGGATATGTGCAAATCCAGTAAAATGTGCCCCATGGCACCAGTTTGACATTAGTCAAGACTTAATCTTTCAATCATCAGCTGCCTTAATGGCCAGGTTTGGAAGCAATTTTGCTAGGTGGATAGAATTACTAACCTACTACCCTGGAACTTAATCAGAATCTGGTTTGATTTTCACTAGTTTTTTTATCCTTAAAAGTTTTCCTTAAGCTTGAAACCATATCCTCAGTCATTATGACATTTAAAGAAGGAACTATTTTTCACCCCCTTTACTTTTTATCTGTGCTGACACTTGATTAACACTTAATTAGCAAACTAATCTATATTACAGATCACAGATTTTAATTCAGTAAAGTGAAAATACAGACACATGCACATGTAATATTGTAAGGTCAAAAGTGTTGCCAATTAATATATGTTTGAATAAGACAGATTAATATTATTATTATTAATTTCCAACTTTGAACTGTCATTGAGCTGTCAAAACCACGATTTGTGCCATTGTTTACAATATGTATCCACTTGGTATATTCTTGGCCAAATAACCAGACATGACATTCCCATTTACTATTATGTATATTCAATGTTTTGCAATACAAATACTACACTATTAGTAATTGTGTTTGGTAGCACTATATTCAATACATAAAAAACATTGGAGTGCCAGAGTTAGAGAATGATGACATTCTTGATCACACTCACTGGCTACCTTATACTGTAACAACTGGGCAGTTGATATTACCTTGGTAAGCTGTGCGATTTTCTTTGACATCTTAAGGTGCATATCCTGAGTGATTTCGGCATCCTTAGGGTTTGTCTGAGGTAGAGTGCCATATTTTCCGTTCTGATAAAAGTTGTGTGCCATTTTGGCACCGGACGCCATGATGGATTCTGCCGAGTTACTCCAGTCTCCGCAAAATAAAGTCGTTCTTCGTTTGCCAATAATGTTTGGACACATTTGTATTTTTACAGACCATATGCAAATATTGAGAAAGAACAAATATTATGTTGTAAAAATAACCATTCTTCAAGGCACAATATCCCCAAATAATTCAAAATAATTTTAGCGCAGGAATATGTTCACCTGATAAATAGTCCGACTGTACACAGTTATGTTGTTGCTATGACGGTTGACAGGTGCGAGGTCAAAGTGAAACACAATGCAAGTAGTCACAACCGCACATGGATGCGATTGCGTTCGAGTTCTTGGCGATATTATCGTGTTTGATCGTTATTTGACAGGCTTTGCAGGGGGAAATTTAACTTCTGAGCGAAAATTTAGATAATTTTTCTTTTTGATTAGAGCACAGGAAATGAAGGGCCCCTCTTTCCTAACCTCATAATTATTTGATCACATGAACATCCATCAGCTTTCAAAATTATCAAATTTAAAACTGTCAAATAAGTCCCCGAAACAGTTAATAGAATATTTAGAAGAATAAAATTTACATTTTAATTAAAATTACATCAAATAAGAATAAGACAACCCTCATTTACAGTATAAATGCATTTTTAAAAGTTTATTTCCAACAAGTATTTGTGTTTGCAATCAAGCTGCAACTTTCTAAAGAAATACAAGTATCAATATAGTTCTGTAGGGTAAACAATTTGCAAGGTTCCAGTGACCTGCTAGTTTACCATTAATAACTGTTTTTAATTCACAGTCATGTCAAATGTAAATGCATCACACTCAAAAATCTACACAAATTCACATTTTGCGTAATTCTGATCATTAGTCGTAGCAAAGTTCGTTAAAGATCATACTGCTTGGGAGTCTTAATCCTTCTTGTTCTGGTGGCAGCAATGCTGGTAAGCACAGGTTTAGATGTGGTGGAATATGACACGATAGCTGTTGATGGAGCTTTGTTTGAAGGTTTACTACTGCTTGAGCCAGAACTTGATCTCACAAGAGTATTTGTGCTGGCTGGAGATGTAGTTCTGTTAGGTGAGGGTGTAGATGTTTGTTGGAGAGTGGATGCAATGCTATGAAATCCAGACACTGGAAGTTGAGATGGGATGACAGTTGTAACAGCATGACCTGCCTCCTTTGTGATAGGCTTTGAGGTTTCCATGAGGGAAGAGACTTTGCCCAATGTCTCAGTTGAAATGACCAAATGTGTCACAGGCTTAGATATGTCTTTGCTAAATGTGGAAGCCAGTCCACTTTGGCTGGTTCCAACCGGCTGTCTTAAAGACGAGACTGTTGTTATTCCAGAGCTTGGCGTGCTGTTGCCAACTTGCCTGGATCCACCGGAAAGTGTAACCAAGGTACTAGACGTGGACGATGCTGAAGAGGCTAATAGACTCTTGGTCAGTGAGAGGTGTGTGGTTCCTCCCTCACTTCCTGGGTTCAATTTCTTCAGTTCTATGCTAGGAGTGCTGAGAATCTTAGCCTGGGTGAAAGCAACAGTCCCAGTGCTACTGCTTATAGCTGCTGTAGTTAATGGAAAATCATGATATTGTAATCTCTGTATGGCCTGCACTTTCTCATGATCAGGACTGGCCAGGTTTGAGGAAGACTTCTGCTTTGAGTATGCTGACAGCTGATTCAGAGTTAGCTTAGAAGACACTGAAGGAATTGAAGCAATTGTCCTTAATGCTGAGGCATCTGTCTGCTCCTGAGTCACTTTAGTCCCAGATGTAAGTAGCTGCTGTATCTGTGTAACTGTGGTAGATGCAGTGGTCATATGAAATGGTATCCCAGCTATACTCTTCAATGGGCTCCTCTGACGTGCATATGCCGCCAGTGTAGTTAGTGTGTCTGGCAGAGTTGAAGCTGAAGATAAAGATGATGATGATGATGATGATGGTATACCAGATGAGTGCAGCCCCACTGCACTACTTAAAGATATGGGACTCAAGGCTTTCCCAATTCCACTCTGATTGGCAATATGGGTGCTTACTGTCAATGGAATTGATTGGCTAGCTCCACCACCACTGGTTAATTTTTGTCCTTGTCCGTTTGCATTTTCTGTGGTCAGTGGTCTTTGACCTGTGAGTAAACCTGCTAGTTCCACAGAACCCCTTGCTGGTGACATAGGAATGGAACCACTTGTTGCTGTTGAAAAGTCAGAAGATGAACTGAGGGACCGCTGAGCTTTTCTTTTTGTTGGTACTACAGGAGTTGATGTGTTAACAGGACTCTTACTTCTTTTGCGTTTCACAGCTGCTCTTTTACCTAAATACAAAGATTAAAATTTGTCAAATGTCACAATGTTCAATATTCATGGTAACATAATGTTAAACATCAGCAGTTCCCAACACAGCTAAATTATTTTCATGATAAAAAAGTTCAATAGCTGAACTTCTATAAAAAAATTATAAAAGCTTTTCATATGAAATAAAATGATCAATCCCTGCTATCTACACATTTCAAAATATGATGACTATCTAAACACATGTATTTTACTTATATTTTTATACCTTTCACCATATCCTCAGGTGATACTTTCAGTGGGCTCCTTGGCTCTGTGCTTGCTGCAGAGGAATGGCTGACAGTTCTGCTCCTAGCTTTTGGCTTGGGGCTCAAAGGTGTACCTGGGAGGCTTTGCAAACTCTGCAACAACAACAAACTCTGGTGACCATAAAATCTTTTAAGTTTATAAGTTAAAGAAGGGAAACAAAGGAAAAATAAAGTAATTTAATATGGAACAAAATGCACTCAGTTCTAAAATACAAAATAAGAGCAGGTATTGAAAAATCATCTATTTCAAAGTTGCAAATAAATGTTTAATCATTCATCCAAATATTTTTGTGTTAAGAAGGTGCAAGACATATGAGATAAATATACCTAACATAATGTCAGATCCATCAGAAAATAGAAGAGATACTCAAAGGAATTTTTTTCAACACTGTATCTTACCTCTCCTGGTGTTGAAGGTGTACCCACTCTGTGGAGAGTAGGTGATGATGTATCGCTACGCATTTCCAATGAGAGATCGCGTGAGACTTTTCTTTTCTTCTTTTTGCGAACATCATTTTCAGTCACAAACTCTGGTACATCTGCACTGGAACCTGCAGATTGAGTTAGGACACCACCCAGGAAGTCAGCTATTTCATCCTGAATAATAAATCACATCTAAAGAATAAAGAAGCATAACAGCTCCAATAAAATTGTCAAACTTATTTTAAGAAAGCTTGTCCTGCCAAATACTGAACGTGCCTCATACCCATCTCCATCTGCAAATTTTTATCCACAAATATATTTCAATACAAACCTGTATACATCTATCCACAACACTCTGTGTAATTCCCTCCTGCTTTTTCTTTGTTCTTGACACTCTTAACTGATCGTCAGCTCCCCCTACAACAATCAGACTGTTTTCTGACTTCATCTTTTCTCTCAGGTCCTCTATGTCATCAATGCTACATGTAGTAGAATGTTGCCCTATCACAAACAGTGTGGGGGTCCTGCTGTCTAACAGAGGATCATCTACATCCTGAATCAAAATATACTAATATACTAAAAATATATAAAAAAAAGTCACTAGTTTTTTAATTAGTGTCTCAATAAGACTTCATGAAGCTCAAAACAAATTTTGCACTTTACTTTACAATTCATTATCACAGCATATAGTAATTATTCTTATGGCAACGATATAACTTGTAAATCAAATGAGCATGACAGATCTTCTAAGAATTTTTAAACTGTGAACTTCAACTTACCCCTCTTGGTCCATTTATACCATTGAATGGAAATCCCAGGCAGACAACTGCTGTTACAGACTCGACCAAGGATACCTGGATTTATGAGAGGATTGCATTTGATAAATAAGGAGGGATGATGAATTGTTGTATCAAAATACCTGTTGGTACAACTTAAGCACTGAACAATCATTTAGCTCATTTAAGTGTTTTATATAGAAACAAAATAAAAAACTGTTATCCAAACAGCATACAAAGTGTGCTCTACTCCGTCTCCCACCCCCCCTCCCCAACACGCACTCTTGCAAGTACTGTATTTATGACTAAAAAAAAAACATTTTTCATATTTACAAGTATAAAATCACTTACATGACATGCAACAAGTGCACCAATGTTCCACCCCAGCAAAACTATCGGTCTATTAGAAAAGTGACTTTTCAGCTGGAAATGAAATCAACATGAAGATTAATATATTCTTTTATCTGTGAAAATTTGTTAACATCCAAACTATTTCTAGTTAATCCTTCCTTGCCAGCATATTTCTACATATCCTTTTACTCATGGTAATACATTTTTAAAAATACTTAATATACAAATAGTTTCAAGTCTTTAAGTCATAGACCTGTGAGTTTGACCTAATGAAACAAAGGTTAGTAAGACAGTGTCATGGGTAGTCCAATATATAACAGTCTAACAGCTACCCACCTCCAGCACCTTGGTCCTGACTGCTCCTATCATGTGTTCCAGACACTGGGCAATCCCCACACCACTCCCACCATTCACTGTGTGAAGGGTGACTGGTATCACTTTACCCTGATTAGACATCTGAGTGTTCCAGAATTTGTTACGCTTGGAGTTGGCTGCAGTGATGTGTGTGGGTCCACTGGGGGCAATCAGGAGAAGTGGGTTTCCGGGAAGTTTTTTCTAAAAAAAAAGTCCAAAGATTAGGTAACTGCAACTGAATTGGCACAACAAATTATACTTTGCAAATCAAAAGCAGATTTGACAGATTTTGATCAATCTGTTGACATGGTAATAGATCTTAATGCTAAATCCGTATGAAAAAGTATAAAACATTAATGAAGACTTACTGGCTTATGTTGTGACATGACACTAGAAACAGGATCCCATGGGCGCTTTAACAGCAAGTTCAGTGCTTCAGCTGTAGTTGCATTTGCCCTGCCACCAGTTGTAGATAAAGCTATCATCTTTTCTATCAGAGAGGGTATCTGAAAGTCAATGCAATGATTTTACTTCATTTCTTGATTATGAAATAAACATCAAGTAACATTTTGTTCATGGTTTTAAATTGACAACACTAGGGAGAAATAGTTTTAAAAATCATAAATACTGAGTTCACAACCTTAGTTAAAATGTTTTAAAATGAAGATACAGAAAAAGTTACAGAGGAAAGAGACCAACTACCTTAGATTTTAAGGTCTGAAGAATATCTAAATAAGCTGACAAGAATGACAGACTAAGGTGATCCACCAATACTCCATGTAACCACTGGGTTAGTTTTGTGTCCTGAAAAATTAAAAACAGTAGCAAATACCAAGCAGAATATTATATTGCACAAATAACTAATTAAGTGNGTTTTCCATTTATCGTGTTATCGGTAAAAGTGCACGGCGACGGCGACGACGGCGACGACAGACGCAGATGATGGCTATATGTACAGACACATCTGTGTCTGTACATAAAAAATACTTTAAAACACCTTAAATAAGAAAGGTAACACCAAAATAACAGATATTTGAAAAAATACTTTAAAACACCTTAAATAAGAAAGGTAACACCAAAATAACAGATATTTGAGTTTAAAGACAGACAGATACAATGAAACAAAATTTTATTTGATAATTTTAAATAAATTTTAAAGAAAAGTCAATAACTTACCCATCCTACTGAACCCATGGCTTGTCTAAACCTTTTGGCTGTTTTATCCACACTTAATCTTCTCATTATGGGTTCATTGTTGTGCTGAAATACATAAACATGAAGAAAGGTATGTTTCAGATATTAAATGCATGCATACCACTGATACCAGTAATGCAATTTTTCCATAAAATTAGAGTAGTCAAAACAAAAAGCTTGAATTTTGTTTTCAAAATCAAATTTTCTATTTATAAACAACTTCTCACCCCTTCATATGCCAATCTAGACAGTCTGTCAGACTGAAGAATTTTGATGACTTTATTGAAGAGTTTATTTTGCTGTAAGGTCCATCCAGTCCTAAAAATACATGAATAAAATTTTGTGTACATATTCCATCTTGATGTAATGTTTATGTAAAAAATGGACTTACAGTTTCTAAAAATCCAAATCATACATACTCTATTAAAACATATGCATCACAACAATATAACATGAGTGATCTACTTCAATACATTAAAATGCATTTATTGCATCATTCACACCTTTTACTGAAAATTTGATTTGGTTATAATTAAACAAATGCAAATATTCAAATTCATTAATATATAAGACCGATAATAGGTAAAAATTACTTATAAGAAACAAACCTTGTTACAGTATCTTCCCAATCTCCAGGCTTTTCTTCCATCCTGGCAAAATTGACATGTCTCTCGCATTCATTCATCACTGATCTAGCTTTCACTGGGTCATAGATAGGAGCTGATTGGAAAGAAGGGTTTACCACATCCACCTGCATATCCCCTGAGCTAAAAGTACAGAAAAAGTTCTCTCTAATAATTTCTGTAATTCTCAGAGATTTCAACCACTGTCAACATAAATATCATAGAGATAAATATTTTATGAAGTATGAAAATCTCTAGAATTTCATTTAGTTAAAAGTAAAAATCCTTGGCTGGAAGGAAAAAATATTGGGGGGGGGGGGGATAAGACAAGCACACAAACCAAATCACATCAGAACTTACACATGTTGTTCTGCATTTTGTCCTCTCTGAAATTTAGTCATGAAGAGCATCTTCAGAGGTTTTGCATTGCTGGCATCTGGATGTGCACTCCATGGCTTAGCATAACAATGGTCAAGCAACACGAGATCAACCTCATCTTCTTGGCCAGCAAGTTGTAAAAGAAACCTCTGCTGTTGCTGTTGGCCTGCATCTCCTCCTACCCCCACAGTATGTGAACTACTCATTGTGGATTTTATTGCAGAACTCATTATCCAGCTTGACGTAATCCTAGAAAAAAACAAAATGCAAGCTAAAGAAAGTACAGTTTATTATACATACATCATACAGTAACTTAATTAAACAGTATATATGAAAGTAGTGAAAAGTACGATTGCCACGAATGGTATCTTAATACACAAAACTTATGCAAGAAGTTTTAACACCCATCAAAATAATTAAATAATGCATTAGTTCTGATACACTGTCTCCTGTCATACAGTAGATTTAATTGCACATTACCACACTGTATGTTTAAACGAGCAAAGTTTCCAAATGGTTAAAATGTTATCTTTTCTGAGAGGTTGGCATAACAACGGTAAATCAGAGAAGCCCTTCAACCGACAAGAGAGAACAATAACCTGACAATGATAGTGACAATAATCATACAACTCCCTCTACTAATTCTTGCTAAACAATGTCAAAATAAGTACCGACTCTCATTGAGTAACCATAACGTCATTTCGCATTAAATAATCAAATGCACGTAATCAAAATTAGCTTTTATCATCCCTAAATCATCTGGAATGAATTCCATCATTTACTGATTATGAAATGTTCTGTTTTTAGTAATAAACTTTACCTAAATTGACGCAGAGAGACTTCCCTGCATGACCGTAGAGCATCGGAAATTCTTATTTTCTACGCAAATAAAGTAGTTACTATATATTGGATTCACCAGAATAGCTATACCAAACAAAATTGATATATCATTTCTATTTTCTTTAGAACAAAAGAAATGGTGAAAGATTAACTGAAAATTGCATCGTGTATTACCATTTTGATTTTAATTGTAAAGCGGATGAATCTGACGGACTACAGTCCAGTACCCATTGACAGTTATCGTAAATTTTGCACATGGTGCTGTGGTGCTCGAAAGCCAGCAGATGGGTAGGTATGATGATACGGTTTCTTTTCGTGTTATGGCGGATGGCTGTTTGGAAGCATCATGATAAAATTCTACTTAAAAAAAATCCAGCGAATCACGATTTTTCTTCCATGGGATTGAGAAAATAAGTAAAATGTCTGATTAAGAACATGCCCCAACTTGTTCTCGCGCCAATTTTTTTCTTCATTACACTCCCACAGATCAGATTCAACTGCATGATATTAGGGTAAGTTTAAAACTCCAGTGAACAAATTCCCGTTTTTACCATTTACAGACTGTCGTTGAAGGAGCCCACACCTCATCTGCGAGTCGGAGACAGCTTACTATTTTGGGTCAGAAAGGGACATGCCAGTTCCATTTTGCAAGATGAATTCTTTTACTGAAAGACAGTTTCTGACTTTTCAAGAAGCAAAGGAGCTGATGTCCGACTCATATTCATGCTTTAAACTTCAGACCAGTGTAAAACATGTATTACTGTCCCCAAGATATATCGGAAATGTCAAGCAAGGAGTAGTGGAGCAACTGTCAATGGAACTGCAGCTGTATATTGATAAAATGGAAGGAGTCTTGATAGCATTTGATAATGTCAGGTTGCTCCAGAACACTGGGAATGTAATTGAGTCTCAGCCCTGGGTACACATGGACATTCAGGCAGATTTCATAGTCTTCCAGCCAGGCAAGGGCAGTGTTCTGAAGGGTGTGATCAACAAACTTGGCAGAGACCACATTGGCTGTATAGTGCACCGGTGCTTCAATGCTTCTATACTCAAACCAAGGGATGCAGATAGTGACTGGCAAAATAACTTTAAAGTTGGACAAGAAGTCACATTCCAAGTCTTGAACTTGTATTCTAATAACAGAGTGCTCTCTTTGAGGGGCAGGTTACATCACACAGGAGAGGAATCTTTCCAAACTCCCAACAGATCTAGTCAAACCTTGAATCAATTTTTAAGCCCAACTCCCATAAAAGGATCATCTTTAAAGAGAAAAAATGATGAGTTATCCATTGCCTTTGACACAAGCACACCTGATCATCATAGTAAAAAACAGAAAGTTGAACACATTAAGTCTGAAAGTATTCGAGTTGAAACTTTGACATCAAGCGTCTTAGAGAGTACAGTTGACTCAAGCACTGATGATCCAAATACTTCTAAAAAACACAAAAAGAAGAAGAAAAAGAAAGAAAAAGATATGTCAAACTATATTTCATCAATAAAATCAGAAAAATTAGGAAGCGATGACTCTGGAATTGGATCCCATAAAAGTCACAAGAAGAAGAAAAAACGTAAACACAAAGAAATTGTTGACTAGATTGTTTTATTTATTGGTTGCCATTAACAGATTGATCAGGATTGTACAGACAATATCCCTAAACAAAACAGTGTTTCTGTTGCAATATTTGAATTATGCTTAACACTGCTTTGAAACAAATATTTATATTAAATGAAACATTGTACTACATATGGTAAGCATTATGTTGCTACTGCGTATATTTGTGTGCAATAAATGTGTAAGATTAGTAATGAGCACATTTTTATTCTTTATGAAAAATGTATGATATGGAGAAATAAATTGTTTGAACAGCATTGATTAGTGTTGGATGCTTGAATAATAAATGTAAATGGGCATAATTAACTTGGTACTCTTTAGTGAAAGTTCTGCACGTTAATTTATATCATAACCATTCAATGACATTTTCAGCATTAATCTAGCTTTAAGGTGAAGTGAGGTGTTCAAGAAAACTTGTGCAAATCTATTACATTTCACTGTTTGACAAAGTAATAACATAAACTTTATGAAAAACGATAAAACTCGTCTTGAAAAAAGCTGAGATGCAATGGGAAGTGACTAAGAAAGATATAATTAAATTGACTGATGTGCTATACTGCATTTAACAGTTAAAGTACAGTAGTAGGTCACTAATATTCCAAACAGTGAAACGTGTAGATAATAATTCAGTGATTGGTCTTGCTTTAAAGGATAGATTGTATTTCACTAAAATGGGCAAAACTGAAGGCCAAGTCTAGTAAACATTTTTTTAAAGCAAATAACAGGGACTGTAAAAAAAAGTAGACCTTTCTTGAAGATTGCATTTGTTAGCTAATTGATTTTAGCTTAGCATGCATAAATTGGATACCTACGACAAAAATAGTTGAAACTAATACATGTATCTATTGGGCTTTCCTTTCAGCCTCAGCCTTGCAAGTCAAATGTCTCTGCCTGATGCCCACTTTCCCTGGGCATACAGCCCCCACAGGAAGGAAAGAGACTTGTTTGCTGAATATGGAAGCCATGGTGCAGTAGATGTCAGGCTCATAGATGGGCAAGTCAAGGTATTAGCCCAGAAGTTGCACCAGGTGAGGTTTTACTACGTGACTGTAAGTAATATACAAAATAACAGAGTTGCAAGCTGTGTATGATATACACAAGCATATGGATACTAGTATAGCCCAAATCCAAAGCTGTATGCATTATACACCAGTGCAAAGCACAAATGTTGTCGCATCTTACTGATGTTTGGCATTTGTCAGAAATATGTTGGATGTCAAGAACAAAATGTCCATGGCATGGCACATGGGTATGTGAGATAAGCCAGGATTATTATTATTATTATTATTATTGACATCTGATCATGACATTTATTTTTTGAAATATTTTTCTTTTCAGATAGATGTGCAATTAAAAAGCAGTCAACCATTTGTCCCATTTACCCCACCCAATTTTGTCCCATGTCCTTGGTCAGATAGATGTATGGGAGACCTGCATAATAAAAGGAAACAATTAGCAGAATTATATTACAGAATTAAAAGTCATCAAGGCAATGTGAAACATAGCGAAACAAGATGGACTGACTTGAAAAATAGTTTGAAAAGATTGCAGTGCATTAAAGAGAGCGAGGAAGAATCCAGTTCTGACATAGATTTATTGGAGGCATTCATGCTGGTGCCTAAGTCTCTAAGACAGTTGATTTCTGATGTGAAACAGTGTAAAGCATACACACAGTTACCAGTGGTTAATTCAGCATACACTGGTGGTTGTCTTGCCTTCTGCTCTCAGGGCGAAAGAAATTTGGGGACATTGATATACCTCAGTGGGCAAAGATTAGAAAACATAGTTTTTGATCAAGTTTCTGTAGAAAACAGTGGCATCAAAAGAACAGGTCAGAGTTCACATGTTCAAGTGAGTGGAGTTGTCCGTGAAATTGCTTCGTACAATTTTCAGTGTGCTGTGAGGACAGAAAATGAGGTGCAGATATTTTCTGCAGATAACAATTATGGTGTATGGGAGAGAAAGCATGGACTAAAATTCACAGATGATCCCTCATCAATTGCTCTTAGTCCTTTCATAAAAGGGGATGTTCTGGTCGCCAATAGGCTTGGCACTGTGAGATTATGGACGTGTGGACATCAACCAAAGGTTGTCTGTGAGGAAGTTGGTACCAGATTCAGTTGTAATGAATCCTGGAGGCAGTGTCATTTTGGTGCTCATCCACGACTTGGAGTTCTGGCAGATAGAAGTGGTGTGGGGATGTTTGATATGAGGTAAAACCTACAAGACAGCTACATTGCATATTTTACATAAAGAATGTTACATGTTGTCAGGTTGTGCTGACCACTTTACTCTGGAAGTGGACAACAGGGATGTATGGATTTTGCTCTAGAAGTGAATAATCTACATCTAATTGATAACATAAAACAAAGACTTTGATTTCTATAGTTTCTGAATGCATCAAAATTATCTGAAAATCTTCACATTATAGAACCAGTCACCTATTTCTTAGTATTGATTAAAGATTTTTTTTTTGAAAATATTACTTGAAAAATTTTAATCAACAATTCCCTACCATATTTCTAAAATTTGAATGATATAGCTGAATGAAAAATCCAGCAAAGTTAAGAAGCAATCAGTTTCTTAGTCATAGCTTCAATAGGTAAATAATTATAAAAGTATGATAAGAGAGAAAATTGTTTTTTAAAAGTGGTGGCTAAACGTAATTTTTGAAATTTTTTCTTTGTTTTCAGAGTTCAGAATTGCCAAGATGTAAATGACCTGTTTGTGTTGCCGAGTAAACACCTCAGTGTAAAAGAGAGGGTAATGGCAACTAAGCAGCACCCAGAGTCTTACTTTTATCATGTTGTTGCCACAGATTACTCACTGATTCTTGTGGATGAAAGATTCTGTAATGTACCTGTAAGTACGATTTTTATAACCAATGGGGATTTTAGTATACTTCATGTCAATGAGTTGGGTATGAAAATTTCAAAGCTTGTGAAAGATTTTAAATGTAAAAAACTGTTGTCTGTTATACATTGTAAAACATCGCCATCTATTTTGCAAGTAAAGTTTTAGTTGTGGATAATGGTTTGAAGCACCCTTTAAGCTTTTGTACTTTTTCCCTTTGTGTGGCTTTCTATCATTAAGACTGAGTTCCCACAGATTTAGATCGATCCATCTGGATCGACCTAACTCCCTGGGGGTTGACGCTAAATTGCTGTCAGGTTCTGGGAGCCGAGCACGCACAAAAGTTTATTACCCCCTTACAGCTTTTAGTAGGCGGGTCAGACATTTATGCCGATTAAGCTGACAGCAATCTAGTGAGACTCCCCAGGGGGATAGATTGATCTAAATATCTGTGGGAATGGTCTCTTAGTGTTCTTTGAAGAGTATTACAGTATTGAAAAAAACTTTGTTTTAGGTTCTCCAGTGGAATCATAGCCTGTTAACACCTCCACAGTACATGGACATAGTGGCATCAGTAGACCTCCATGGAACAGAGGAGGACATACTCCTTCTCTCCAGTCAAGAAAGTTGTGAGACCAACTGTTTCCAGTTCTCTGTATGTCATGATACACATGCCCGGGACTCTCACACACCTCAGGCCACCTGCCCAATGTGGAGAAGCTCTAAAATCAGTGATTTTACTTGTTTTCCTAATATCGCTGGTGCCGACAAAGCTGTTATTGAACAGAGGTTGGAAGCCATGTCTCTGATGGGTGTTTGTGGTGTCAGGCACTTGGACGGGAAAGGTCTCTCCATATTTCAGATGAATTCTTTAGGGGATGTTATGCACCAGCCATACACCCCATCCAGTGATGATAAACTTGATAAGACATTCAGTGCTGGGCCAGGAAGCAGCAGTCTCAGATTAAGCAAAGAAGTAGAATCAGAATGTGTTAAGTGGTTGAAAGAGTTGCAGAGACAAGTAGACCTGACACCAGTCACAACTGAAGGATCTGAGACATACGATGCTTTTTCCTCATTGGATGCAGTAACAGTTCAGTGCTACCCCCACATTGGGTGCAGCCTGTGTATGCCCCAGACCAGTACACATGTTGAGTTAACCCAACAGACTGAGGAGGAAACATGCATGGCCTGTGAATTAAAGTTAAAAATTGGACAGGATATGCAGAAAGCATGTCAGTCTGGTGAACTGCTAAATTTAGTGGAAACCCTGAACTCCTCAGTGAACATTGACCATATTCTTCCCTCCATTAATGTGAGTAATTTTAAAGATCCCACCAGTCAACTGTTGGTGAAAGAGTGGGAAGGAGATGGAGAAATCCAGGACCTTCTCAAAGAAAGAGATGAATTATTCATAAAAAATAAGGAAGCAAAGCTGAAAAAGAAAAGAGAGAGATCAGAGCAAAACATTTCAGATGAATTTGGAGCCCCTGATGTACCTCTGCCAATGAAAAGCAGAGAACGTCTCTCCTCCAGCTCCAGTAGAGCCAGTAGTTCCGCCTCCCCATTAAGAACTCCTGGGTTTTTATCAACACCATCAAAAGTTGTTCAACAGTCTATGTCTCCTAAGAAACCTAACATTTCCTCCATCTCCCCTCTAAAGTTCAGTGCCCCAATTGGTTTACTTATGCATACAATTGATACAGATACACCAAGTGTGTCCACTTTTATCCCAAACCAGCAAAAGAGGGAAATGTTCGAGTTCAATACACCGGCTCCATCCTCACAGCTCTTTAGCACACCCTCACAAACAGCTGTCAGAACAAAGCTTGAATCATCTGCAAGTATTTCTAACCCCGATATAGAGGAAGAAACCATGGTTACTGAAGGTGATATGTTTAGGTCACAATCTCAAAATTCACAGACACATTCAAGTCTCAGAAAGAAGGATTTGGACAGTTCCCAACAGTCTCCAGGAAAAAGAAATACTTCACCAAAGAAAGCAAAGAAAAAGTTTGTTATGGGCTTCTGAAGAAATTATTTGAGGGAAATTGTGCAGAGGTTTTATCATTTTTATCTCAAGATGCTTGGCAGTATTTATCAACTATTAATAAATCGAGTTCCAAATGCAGCAATGCTCTTTGATACAATTTTTAAATTCCTATCTGGGCTTTAGCCCAGTAAATGATCAACTTTGTTCCTTGTGTTTTGATTGAGGGGTGTAAATTACAATTTAAAAGGATGTAACATACATAGAGAATACAATTTCGAGGCGATTTCCAAATTAAAGATGACAGGAATACTAAGTAGCGTCCCATTTACTGGATTTTTTTTTCATAAAACAAGACCAAATTTTAATGTAAATATTATAGAAGACTGTATTTAATGCATGTTTGTCATTTTTATTACTTACAATTTTATAGCACTGGATTTGTACATCATTATTATTGGAAAAAATTTATATTGCTCTTTTTTGCCACCAATGGCAGATAGTTTTTAAAGTATCAGAAATATAAATTGTGATGAAAGGTATAACAAGAAATGTTTCTGTTAACAAACAGCTGTGACTAGATGTCAAAAAGCATATCAAACGAAAATCTGTTCAGTGTGCCAGGTGAATTATTATGACAGAACAATTCAGTAGCAGACTGGTTTTAGCAGTTTACTTGAGATGAGTGTGCCCATATTTGCATCTCGTACCTATTTTTGCAGTGTTAATTAAGTGACACGAGACTTGTTAAAAATGTTTTAAACTGATGAGATGGCCAAATGGTAATCTTTATGTGTAATTTCATCATTCCATGAGACAAATGTGTATATTTATTTTACATATAAAAATAGAAATGCTAAAGAAGTGATTTTGTAAATATTACTTTACATATCATTAACACATTGAACTCCCTTAAATAAAAATATGCAATAAATTTATTATAGCATCGTTAGAAATGGGTCCATTGAACTGAGTAAAATGAAAGATGGTAAGCATAATAATGGTTCAAATGGCATAGTCACGTAAATTTTGGCCTTTAGAAATCATATTCCATAACAAACTTTGATAACAATGATATGAAAATTAAAATTGATAAAGTGGGTATTGCAGCCTGTTGTAATCAGAATTGCCCTTGTTGTATGTTGTGATAAGCTATCAAGTCTTCTATGTTATCACCATCATCAGAGTGCCCCAGACTTTGTCCTAAGGAGAGTTCAGAGATTCCTGTGATGATGTCAACTGACTGTTTTTTATCATGACTGGATGCACTGTCAGACCTACTTGTAGATAGACCTTTTATATCAGTGCCTGTTGAATCGGTCCATTCTGTATCTAACTCTGTAGCCAAGTCCTGCTCTGCTTCTGACTTACTCACTGATACAACATTTTTATCATCTCCTGAGACATGCTGTGCCTTTTTGGCAAACAATCTTTCATTAATTCGCAACTCGCAGCCATCTTTTAGCATGCAGAGTAAAATGCGAGCTATATTTTTTGCATCGTCTATGCCTCGATGTTGTTCCCCTTCAAACTCCATCCCCAAGTATTCTAGCATTGTGGTCAGTTTCACTTGGCGGACACTATAACAGTTACCAAAGGCTTTTCTTACATTTATCCATTTTCGACCCCACTTAGGGAAAGGTACATTGGACAGGTGACACTGTTGGTAAAGGAATCGACTCATATCCCAAGGTCTGCAAGATAAAAAGAGACAGTATAAGGTGTGTTGCCAATTTGTAAACAATGCACAGAAAAAGCTGGAAACATGAATCAAAATATATCTATGTAAAATTTACAAAAAAAGACTTAATAACAACATTATTTGAACAAAATTAACTGTTAGTAACTGTCAACTTCGCCCAATGAAACCTTGCATATCACACTTACCCGTCTGTTGCTACAGCAAACTTGACTCCTTTATCCTTCAATCCTACAGTCTGCATCCAGTCTTCCAGCTGAGACATCACTTCTGTGAACAATGGAGCATTATTCACCACACTCTAGAAAAAAGACAACAACTTATACATTCCTTTCTATCTTTTCTATATATGCATCCAAAATTGGTGAGGAATATATGTCATTGATAGACCCTAATCATTTGTCAGGAAATCATTTGAGAAAAAAATAGATCAGTCTTCCAAGAAGTTATTCCTCAGTATGTTTTCTTTTAGTTATATATTTCAGTGATAACTGCACCTCAAATTTTAAGAAAAAAAAAAGAGAGGGAGAGAGAAGGAGGCATCTACACCTTAACTCTCTACAAATTAATTACCCTCTTGTTGGTGAAATAAAAATCATTGTACAAGATTCTTCTCAAAACCTTATATAGATTCAAATTCAGTCAAAGGAAGGCAATGTGAGTGCAGATATACTAGTACCTGTGTAATTCCTGTTAAATGAATACAAAATGAACTGAGTTTGGGATTTAGTGTTGGTCTACAATAACTGTGGAATGTATGTACCTAAAATAAAATAAGATTGTCTTGCTTTAAATTGTGTAAAAATAGGAAAAAGAGACACTTATTGGGAATTGGAATATAACTGCCTAATATACAAATACCAGTAATTATAAAAAGAAAAATACTGAAGGTGAGAATATGAGATTTCATACCACTGTTAAGCATAGTAAAAAAAATGATTAGGGTTTTAAAATGTAATACAAAAAAAAAAAAAAATAAAATTTTGTAAACTTACCACTCTCATTTCTGTCATGCATATCATAACAACAGGAAACTCGATGACCTCAAAGTTAAAACCAGGGATGTTGACCTCATTACATGTTGCTTCAAAATCAATAACAAGGATGTAATCATAGAACATATCTGCTTCACTATGATATTTGAAATTAGCTTTGAGAAGCTTTTGGCGCTTGTAGTAGTTTTTCAGTCTCTTCTTAAGAACCTCCTTTACACCTCTGTAATAAACATGTATAAAATATTTCAGATTAAAATGTCACAGAAAAGCTGACTATGTACAATACCAATATATACACTGATATTATGCAATAATATATCAAAAGTCAAAATTTATTCAGATCTTTTACAAATTCTAAAATAATAGCAATAATATTCACTAACAATTTGAAGCTACATGACTAATATAGCATAAGAAACACAAAGAACATATACTTAAAATGCTGAGTAACCACAAAGTATTGTACTGGTACACGAAAACCTCTCATATTAATCATATATACTTCTCAGCTATATAAACTTAGTACAAACCTTGTTCCTAAACGAAGCTCTGCAAGTTTTTCTTGAATCTTCTCCTTTGTCATTTTATTTATTTCCCCATTTCTCAAAGAAATTTGCTTGTAAATGGGATTACTAAATGGAGTATCACGGCGTACTTTTGACTTGGGTCTGCATCCCTAGAAGATAAAATTTAAAAAGTAAACATGCCACATAAACTGTCATACAGTAGTAAGTTTTTGACTATACATTGTAGTTCTCCATTTCACATCTGAATGTACATTTAGTGGGCATACTACAGTCAGAAAGTTGAAACTATAAAATCAACATGACAGTATGCATATTTGTTACTGTAAATTAGAAGACAAAAACACACAAAAAACTGATCAGTGCTTGATAGATCACTACATGTACATGTAGATTGAATACTGTTACATGTACTAGACCAGCACAATATTGCAAGAAAGAAGTGGGAGATTTACAAGGCTGTATCAACAGTTAAGAAGGTCGTGTTGAAGGAGAGATGGCCTCAGAGAGGTCTGTAAATGGCTTTAAAATTAAACTACTTACTGCGCTGCCATTCTGATGGAGAGTTTGATCTAGAATAATGCTCGATTCGTCTTCCGTCAACTTTCCATCAGAGGCCATTTTCAATAACAACTACTACCAGCAAGCAAGCCTCTAAATCCAACATTTCATGTTACAAGTAAAACACTTGAAATGTGTGATTCACATTTAACTCAGTATGACTAGAATACTCCAGTTTTGTTTAAACTTCATACCGTCGGCTACCGTCGGCACCTCACAATCGTTGGATTACTTGAGTCGCTTAGGATAATAAAAACCGGCTTCCTCCCGGAAGTACAAAAACAGAGCACTCTTGAAATCACATGACTTCAAAAGTCACCTGCCAATCGACCTAGTTTCATTTGTCACTTGTGTACACTGGACGCAGGGTTACTAATGGTATACATAAACCAGTTGACAGGGTTAATGTGAAAAAGTGACAACATGGGAGGACTCTGCTGTTGTCTCGAATCTGCTAAAGTAAGTAATTCTGACCGATTGAACCGATCTTGCACAAGATGTCTTGAACTGTGAGAAAACTTATCAATGTGATTATAGTTCACCGATACTAGTTCGATTGTGCGACCATGTAATGAGCTGTATTACTATGATCAGTATGCTATCTAAGGATAGGTTTTACAATACAAGAGGGATCTTGACATATTTTCAACATTGCTGCCTTTCTAAACACCGGCAAAGCATAAGGGATTGGTTTCGTTTTATTATATAATTACGTATTTTTGTTTTTATGTTTTGATCACTTCCATTATACCTATCTTATCATTTAGTGTGCTGTACCCCCTCTCTCTCTCACCCTCTCTCCAACCGCCACCGCACGAAACCGCACCTCTTTTATCACATTTTTATTTGTAACGAAGATCGGGCGCTACGTGCTTTGCACCATCCTGATCATCAATAGCAATAGAATTCGAAAATGAGAAAACATCTAGCCCGCTCTGCCTGGATTTGCACATGCCATGGTAACAATACCGCCGATCGTCATTAAATAGACCCTATTAATTATTGTTTATCAGCTAGTAGTGAGGTCTCGTTAGATCTAACGTATATAGTACAAGTTGACCTGCAATAAACGCACATTAAATGTCATCTAACGATAGGGCCTAAGTTTCAGGAAGAAGTGTGTCAGTTTAAAATTCCGTACAAAAAATTCTACTTTAGCCAATATACAGAGGACCCCCACTTACGATGGAGTTCCATTCATAGCGACGCGCTGTAAAACGAAATTCCGTGTTTACAAGTCAAAACAGATCTATAAAGCAGTTGCAGAAAAAGCTTCATAGACAATATGATAACATAAGTGCACACACACCGAGGGCATAGATTATATATATATATATATATATATATATATATATATATATATATATATATATATATATATATATATATATATATACTACTGGGTAGGGCCTATATACTGCGAATTCGTATAAATTTACAACCTTAACGACAAGAATTGAAACCAGGATTTTTTCAATGGAAGATTTGTCGTAGGCCCATAATGTCTAAAAACTTTCGTAACTGGAGGAACCTAGTCTATGCTTATTGCTTTTTTTAAAAGAGGTAATGTCATCGATTAAAATGTTTTACTTGTCCCTTTTTTCAAATAGTTTAGAGATACTTCCTTTGTAACGGCCCGAAAAACAGGAGTCAAAACGGCCAGCTCTCTTACAAGTACATGTGAAATAAAATTCTCGAATGATACCCTTGCGTAAGAAGTGGACTGGTTCATGTAAGTGATGCATACCTTTACACACAGGTTTTGACCCTTCGGGGATTACTTCCTTTAAGCAGTACCCCTTCGAGGATTGCTTCCTTTAAGCATTACCGAGAAAGATAACCAACAATGATAAAGGCGTACCATGGCATTGCACTGTATTTTGCTCACTGGGACTAACGTTGGTTTACCCTCCAGTGTCCCTTGGTTAGATCGTCATCATGGTTAGACTGCCATGTGAAAACTGAATTGAAGATCGACGTCATTTTTATGATTTATTATCGGTACTCTTCAGTCTTAACCGTAAGATCTACTGATGCAATTTAACATGTAATCCATTATAACGAAGGTGACGTTTAAATAAATAACTAATTTTGTCGCGACAGCTCCTGCGCGATTATGCCTGCCTAGACCGTCATCGATATTCTTCCATAAAATAGGTCTAAAATTTTCGAATCGGGTAAAGTCCTTCGTCTCTGAAAGCAGTATTTATTTTATGAGCTTAACAACATTCTGATCATGCATGATGCTGGTACAGAAATAAACTGTTCAAATGAGTAAAGAATTGATCTCACAGTTTTGAAATGAGCGACTTTTACTAGTTTTAGCTTTCTTATTTTAACACTGCCCAACTTATGTAAGTGGTATCAGAGCCAAGGTAGTTCGTTCAACTCGGATTGTTTTGATAGGTTAAAGTGATTTATGTCAGGACCTACTGGTCGTAAAGGCCTACTGCTCCCAAATAATCGCTATACGTCCATTTTTCATTTAATGACAGAGTTTTTTTTTATTATACAACGGAATTTTGTTTTAGAGAAAAATGACCTTGCCAAGAATACTTTGGTCTTGTTTATCAATGAAAAATGAGAATTAATGAAATCATAAGACAAACTGTGTTCATGCGCCAGAGAAATAATGCATTGTTCTTGCTCCATATATATCATCATTAAGGAAAACGCAGCTTAAGAGAACTCTTAACTCGAGCTTATGTCTTATCTCAGCAATAACATTATCCTTATTGAAAGATATCTGACCGGGTGTTGGTATTTAGCATATAATTTGAATCTCCACTGATTTATTTTTTGGACACATACATCGACTTTCGGTTACTTCGTGTCAGCTAGCACGCGACAAATGCTATCTTTCAATTTTGGAGTGAAAAAAGCGCTTTTGTCGTGAGGTTTAACTTTTGATTAGTTAGTGCAACATTTGGTTACACTTTCACATTGCTTTTATTAGATATAGAGAAGTATTCTGTAAATCATATTTCCAGGATGCAGATGAGCCTCGAGCAGAGGCTAACGTGAAGACTCCTCTTCTATCCGGCCAGACAAGTGCCCCTGCAAGCGGCCGCCTGGCAAGGTCAGATTCCGCGTCGACGGCAAGACAGTTTGCACCTCCCTCGAAACCACAAGGTAACTGAACTGAGATTTAAATATAGATTATATTTTATTTTTTCGCCGTTTTTTTTTTTTTTAGATTAAAATTTATACTGAAATTGCTTCGAAAGTTAATATTATGTGTATAATTTTTTTCATGATTTGAAATTAAGCAAACCTTTGTTCTTATCATTATTATGTTCTTTTATCTTGATTTCACGTCTGTAGTGAATTGTGTCTCCCAAAGAAATACTTTTTAGATGCAGTGCAGTAAAAGAGTTCGCACAAATATTTCACTTCAGGAGGCAGTCAAGAAAAGTACGCGAAGGTAGAGCCGAGACCCACACGTGTGTCTTCAGTGGACAAACGTTTGCAAGTAGGCTGCGTTTATCTTCGTGTGTGACATTAGTGGCGGCAAAAACATCTCTTCTCTTCTGACTTGTTGAGAAAGTCGCCTTTTTTCACAGCAAAACTTTAAGACATAGCAAGATAAGAAAGAATGAGAATTTAAGCCTCATGATGAAAAAATGTTAATGCATTACTGCACCGTTCAACGTGAAGAAATTTGAATTGTGGTTGGTATCGTTGCTAATCTCATCTACCACAATGCATCTTTCAGGATCACGCCAAGCTGTATAACGACATTCTCGAAAAGCGGAATACACTTATGAGAACGGTGAATGAATTCAAGACCGAATTAGGCCAGGACAGCGCGTTTGAGATACTTGATAGTTGTTTCAAAGAACTGAAGACACGCTTAGGTGAGACTTTTTTCTTTCTTTTTTTTTTGTGATGAATATGTTCGCCTATGTTTTATGAAATATTAATGTGTGAGGAGTTGTAAACATCAGGCGACAAGAGGGTTTTTGATTTTTTTAAAACTCTTAAAAACTGTCTGCCGTCATGATTGAATCATCAGTGCGGAGGTTAACCCAGGGCATTTTGTATACATTTGTTGTTTCCCCCCTCACCGAAACCGCAAGGTGGGAGTATGTCATGTAGTGATTTCCTTTGCCGGTAGCTTTTTACTGTTGTATCCAACCACACCATCAATTAATTTCAGGCGAAGTTGAAGTGAAGTTAAAGAGGAAGCAGAAACACTGTATGGAAATCGAATTTGACCCCAAGGATATGCCCGACCGTGTGATTCCGGCTTTGACAAACTTCAATAAGGCCAACACATTAATCCGAGACATCATCGACAAGACGCCCTCTGCAGTTGAGTCGATTCAGTTGGTCGTGAAGGAAGAGGACAAGTTACGCAGAGAGATTATGGCGGCCAGTTTGAAAGGAGACGGGCCTGATGCACTGAAGAACTGCATGGAAAATGTCGGAGATTTAAGACGCGCCCCTGAAATTTTGGAGGAAATCAAAAAAGAGAGCAACAAAACATTTGATCTGTTGGTCAGCGGCGCGAGGTTGCTTTTTGAGGAGGAGGACATTTTAATGTAAAACGGTGATTTATTTGGTGGACCAGTGTGTATTATACTTACATAAGGAACAAAACGACTTTTTTCGTTTATACTAGATGATATAACTTAATGACGTTTGTTGAAACTGTTCTATAATTTACAAAGATTTTTCTTAAAAAAGAAGAATTTTACATTTACTTTTAGTTGAACATTCCAGTAGCTATTTAACGTTACAATTACGCGAACAATCATACAGTACCCAACCCTGTTATTTTACGACGATGAACGTAACAATAGCCTAGTAACACCTGTGAAGGGAAATGCAAGTGGGAGATACCAACGCAACGTGAAAACTGACCGTAATAAGAGGCCCTTAATAACGGGTTTGCTTGTGCCATTTTCGCTGCTTTAGGTACGAGTATGAACATGATATGCATTGGGAACTTGAAACTGACCAGAACTGAAGTCTTTCGTAAGCCACTTGCTTTTGGCAAACTGACACGTCCATGTTGTACATACTTGACTCGAATTGCATGAACATAATATTGTGTTACCGCATGTATTGTGTTAGCTAATATAATCTGTGCGGAATTGACAGCTACAAGTATTGCGAGGAATGTTAGTAATTGAGCTTTGATTTGCATGTCTGTGTTGCACTTGATAGTGTCTCAAGAGCATGCCATTACTAACTCAGAACATGGTGTCAGAGATTGTCCGAGTGCACTCGTACCCGATTTTTCCTGTTTGCAAAATATTAATGACAATCAAAAGGTTTTGGGTAGGTTTACAGATCTTTACGATTTTCTGAAGTACAGTATTTGATACACCTCTGATGGTGGTAGTGGTAGTGTTGGTTTAATTATGGAACAATATTATTTAATATATTCGTGTATTTGATGCCGAGGTCGACAGTCAGCTGGGCCAGGAGAGAACTCCACAAAAATTATAAGAAGATCATGTTGTACATATTGATATAATGTTTTATTACGTCCAGTATTACTCACAATTTATATTCATTCATTCATTCATTATTATTTTCAATCATATATATATATATATTATATTATATCGAAATATAACTATTATCACATTTTTTGAATTTGTCGTAATTTATTGCAATTTTTATATAGAACTACCTGTTTAATAAAGTACTCCTTTGAACGTAAACTTTGGTATGAGAAATATTTCAGCACCTCCGTACTGGACATATCAATGGGAGCGAAGTTATTTTGGTTGTGGGCTACATCGGCGGGCTTCGACTTCGTTTACTTTTGTTTAGATAGAACAAAGTGGGCAATTGTTCCTACAGATTTATTGACCCGCGCTGGATATTGAAATGGACATGGCTTTGTGTTGTTGCCTCCGCTTGTTAAGTTAAATAAAGCTCCGAGTTGGACTGGAACAGACTGGAATCGGGGGCCCACCGGCGTGCCTCCTATTTTTCTCAGTATTTGATTGAGTGTTTATTTATGTAGCGTTACTTCGAATTACCGCTATTGACAAGGTGTACTTCTTTGCTTATATTCCCGTATACAGTTACGGTAAATAGAAGCTACAGTATACAGACTTCATTCAACGGTCGAAAAACACTGACGGATCTAAGCGTATTTCAAACATAAATTGTACCCTGAATTTCAAGTACGCAATTTGCGTAAGTCGTCGCTCTCCAGTGACTTTCTTCCTGTTCTGACACGCTTTTAAATTTCGTTAATTGGTCAAAATAAAAACTACCGAAATTCCTTTTTTTTCTGGCCTCATAGTGCAGGAAGACACTAACAGATACAATAAAAACTGAGAAGTGGGCAATTGACCCGACTCCACGGTAAAACATTTCGGGAGCAATTTTGGTCCTTTGTAGATAAACCACATATATTTAAAATAGAGACTACAGTATCGATAACAGCCCATTATGGATGTAGAACAGACTATATACGCCATTTGGATGTTCAGTTTCACCAGAAGAGTCTTGTGGAAATGGGAGGGAACGAAAAGTCAGCCAGGTCGCGACTTTTTAACGAGGAAAAGTCACGGTACATAATGCTTAACAGATAAAGTTGATGTGAAACGCAGAGAAGGGCCGGGTCTGGAAGGGAAATTTGCGTCCCAAACCGTGTTATGATTCAAAGGGATATCAGATTTCGAACATTTCAGAACGTCGTTTGTATTTAATTGAAATGAAATTTAAGACAGTATTTACTAAATCCTGCGGCAACTAAACGAGAGAACCTGCTCTCACTTTTCCGGTAGCAGAAAATATTTTTCATATCATAGCGTGGGCAAGAAGTTTGGTGTGCGTGTAAAATGGTCTTGGTTTGATGTAGTATATACAATTAGCGTTCTCTCTTTTTTTTTTTTTTTTTGATATCGTTTTCGACATAACATTTATGTGGTATCCTTCCCCTTTCAGTTTTGTTTTTATCATGAGTAATCGACAAGCACCTTTAAGTGAAGACGCGAGAACTCATTAGAACTTTCCGGCGCGAAGTTTGCTACTAATTATTGTAATCTAAAACGTTGTGAATCTGCGTTGCTTGACGAGAAACGGGAAGCGTTCAACTCCCCTCATTTGACTCATCTCTCCCAGTTTCTGTTTTAATTTGCTTCCTTGAATTTTTTCACAGCTGTAGAAAAATCCGGTAAGAAAGCACCACGTGCAGGACATCTGACACACATCTACGCCTTGCCGTCCGCCACGTGGATCTGTTGTTTTAGTTGTAACCCGCCCTGTATAATCAGTATAATACCATTTCTTCTGTTTATCAGTCTGATATCTATAGGGAGGGTCTATCGCGATGAGTCGTTTCGACGTTTAAAAAGCAATCATAACCTGATGTTGGTGCGTAATAGGACGCGTGCAGTTGCAATGCGTAGAACAACTGTATGTACTGGTCGTCATTCAACGTAAAATGTGGGACGTGGCATTTCGCATTCACCGAAATGAAAATAAACAAAAGTATAACAACATAAAATTAAAAAAGAATTATATCGCGGTTCTCAATGGGAAAGGAATACTAGAAGGGGATGCTTTTTTGTCAAAGTCAAAACCGTGCGGGCAAATTCAGATGGGTGGTCTTGGCGTTTTTCTCAGTCTTACAACACGTGTGTGTTTTATACCGTATCAATGACCCATTGAAAAAGTCTGAAATGCAGACCCCTTTTACTTTCTGTGGAATCTCACTGCTCAATGTCCCTTTGTCTTTCTGTGGTTATGATCTATATTTAATAGCAAGACACATCTGGAAAAACAAAATATAAAAAAAAAGTGAGAGGAACCGGAAAATAAATGACATTTTGTTAGACCGGGGGCTAGAAGATTGGAACTCAAATTGAAACCCGTTTTTTTATTTTTATTTGTAGAGTTTGAATCATGTTTCTGTCTGTAGAAAACATACGCCCCGTTCCTATAGCTAAAATTAATTAAATCATAAACAATTTGTCATTCGCTGTGAACAAGGGTCAGCCTGCGGTTTACGCTACGCAGTTACTTTACGATGAGAGAACTGCTGCCAGGACAGTGGTGGAGGAACTCACTGAGCATGCGCCTTAGAGAAAGTCTGAGTCAGTGTTTATGTAGCTGTAGTTCCCATATATTCCGTCAGAGCGAACGATCACGCAGACACGTACGGATAACTAGCAGAAAAGCAGGTCAATTACCACAGGACATAGCACAGCGAGTGAAATCGACAGGTAAGTGGTTTTCTTCAACATGTTCATTTTGGGCGGTCGTCCAGCTGAATTAGACAGAAATAAAGGTGTCACATGTGGTTATCGGAAAATACTTGTACCACAGTCTGCATAAAGGCTTCATCTTCGACTATTTCCTTGCCTAGTATAGTAAACAAAATTAGAAAAAGTTGTTTTAAGCAAGCGCGATACATGAACACGAACAATAAATAATATTTATTTGGTATGGAAGGAACGTGATTATTCAGCAGTTTCCCTGATTTCAGGGATTTTTTAAGCCAATCACATCCCTGCATGGCGTAATTATACAGGGAATTCCCGGATTTCAGGGGATAGTCTTACCCCAACATAACTGTGTTTTTAAGGATAGTCTATTTTATCAATTCGTCTAATATTTCACGGGAGAAATGAAATTGTTATTCTGTATCTCGGCTAAATTTTAACTGTGAAGCGGGCGCCGCTGTTCGGTAACCGGAGGGGCCTTATTATTGCTATAAACCGTGGGAGGTTCTGCCGTGTTTAATCTTTACAAGCGTCGGGTGATGGCGAAAAACTAAACAAAATCTCTTGGTGCCTTGCACTTTGAGTTTCTGTTCCCGCAAAAGAGTTTATATATGAAAGAGAGAACCTGAGGTCAAAAAGAGTTATTCTCGTTTGAGAAAAAAAAATCTGCTCATCGATGCGTAGGTGGTAAATAGCTTGGTAATTTCTTCAGTTCTTGATGCTTAAAAGTTTCTCACAGCTGACTGCACGGTTGGCTGGGACCTCACGCTGCAAAGGTTCGATGCAGCTATCAGGCGCTCATTCTTGCAGTTCAACTCACGCTGCGACTGGAAAAACTTTTCAATTCTTATTTGTCTGAGTGTTTTTAGAGTGTTTTTCTCGGGTTTGTTAATGTTCATTCATCCCTGATTTTGTTTACATTTGCTTATTATGTGTTACTTAGAAGAATAGAGTCAACAAAAACCCGTTTGCATGCGTTTCATTGTGGTTTTATTTTATCTATTATTTTTTTCATTTGTTATTTTCATTTTAGTTGTTACTTATGGTTTATCAACAGTGTATTCGTTATAATATTTTGAATCATAGACCTGTCTGCTTCAATATCCACAAGGCTATTCATTTTCCATCTGCGGTTCAATCATATTCTCGTTGTTTCATGGTATTTGGCTTCATGGATTGCTTCCTGTCGACAAGCTTGTCAAAATGTATAGAGTTCTTATTGGAAATTTCAGCAGTTGATAACTGACGGCTGCTACGAACATAATGCAGCCGGTAATCTGTAACGCGATCAGCCAAACGTACTACTGTCATCACCCGACATATATACCCTAAACAAACCATTTAACTTATGCTTGCTAAGAAGTGGAGTAACTTTTTCTGCTGTTGCTACCGTTTCTGGTTTATGATATGTTCTTCGGTGATAAAACAGTATTCAGAAACGTTGCCTTAATCACTTTTTTTCATCTATTGAACTTTTGGAGGAGGGGCTTAATCGATTCTTTCCATGTTAATGCAAACAGGATTTTTTTTTATGAATTCCCACTGCTTGGATGTATTGATAGAAATTTATCTCTTCTATGTCGCATTTCCAAGACATTCCTCTGCCAGTAACGCTTGCCTTTGTTCCGAAATATTTGTCCACCAGCGAGTATGAATCATTGCGACGTCCAAGGATATTTGTCACTCTTGTATTCTGAAACGCAAAATTGAGGTTAATATGCGCTTTTGGTCTTATTAATCATAACTTCAATTACTGTTAATAATACACCGTTGTCTTTTATGATCCTGGGCGAATCGACGACACAGGCTTGAAAGCCGTAAGGTATGCCGTAAACTATTCAGTTTGTGTCGTTAAATCTTCCCGTTGCCCAGTCGGGACATCAAAACAGGATGTTTTCTATGGGTGCAGTTGCTTTGTCTCTTTTATGGGCATGTTTTTTCAAGTCATTGTCTTTGCTCTCTTGTTTGGATGTTACTGGTGATATATCAAATCAATAGAGGGTAGCGGTCCAAGGGTTTAGGACACTTGTGTAAAAACAGTGAGCTATATTAAGACTGAGAATTCCAGATCGTAATTCTGAAACTTAAAATTGCTCTAACCCACAGGGAATCAATATTATTGCGGAGAATATGGAAAGGTGATAAGAAAAAAATCACGCCGAGCCGCACAATGCGCAACACGTTGCGAACTGCATGACGAAGACCTGTTTTGGTAAAAGGTGTGAAACAACACACCACTTTAGGTTAGAAAAACAAAAGTCACTTTGAAGAAAATGAACACCGACAATTCATGGCCAGAAACTAAATAAGAGTGTTTATTCCCGTTGTTCAAAATTTAAGTCTTGATTAACATCCCTGTTAACAAGCTATCAGGATTTCAGCCTTTTAGCGTCATAGTGTGGTGTAGTGGAGGTTTTGTGTTTGAGATATCCCACCAATATTTCTCATCAGACGTGTTTTTCTTTCCCTCACAGTCGTGCTAAATCTCAATGATAAACATTTTATCGTTGTATAACAGTCTCTCGCGATAGAACAGATTTTCTTCATTTGCTCCATTCAGTTCAAAAGGATGGTGATGATTTAAAATTTGGTTGTGATCTAAATTTTTTGTCTGTGCTGCGAATGCCTTTATCTTCAGTGCGGTGTTTTCGCACAGGAAGAAAACAATTACATCTACATGATATAATGCAGCAGTTATTCGAGGGGTTTTTACTCGAAATTACCACGTAGAAGAAATACATCATCAACTTCAAAGCTGTTATCTTGGATACAAGGAAATCTTCTTGATGGGACGTCCAGCTAGAGTAGACGACGGGGAAACGGTTGCGCAGACACTTACGTCAATATTTACTGATCCTTTCCGTGAAATACGTCAGGGGAATTCTTTGAAATCAAGATGACATAACGTTATCAAATAAAGGATAGACCTAAGCCGGAAAAACTTGCACAAAAGCTTCGTAATTTTTGACAGGTAGCCGAAGTGCCGAGAAGATCTCTGGTGCCTGCCGACTCGTTGATGATGGATGAGATGTAGTAGCGGGGTGTTTTCCGCGATAAATCGCCGAAGCTCATTTGCAGTCGCATTTTTCAAAATTAATTGGCCACTTCAGACGGAGCGTGCTAGTTCAACAAGTTCATAAGAATATGCACAGGTGAATCAGATTCTATACCTGGCCGACGGCTGCTTAGAGGGCTTAAAATATCGGCGAGAAATTGGCTCTGTGCCTCTTACAAAAACCCCGAGCGAGCCACGCACGTTTTCCCCCGTCGCAGACGCACATGCCTAAGTTTACGTTAAAAGTGTTACATGTAGAGCGCATCAAAAGCGCCGCCGAGTGTATACAATCCCAAAACTTATTTTCTCCTGAAGAAAGTTACACTGTTCGTCAACCTTCAATATTTATTCGCTAAACACACAATGGCCGCCACGGTCGTGCAGTCAGGTGGGTTCGATTGTACGGAGTTTGTATACAGTAGCCGTTGATTGTTGTCTCTAAAAACATGTTTATTCCTAATCAAATAAAATGGAAAGTAATTGTAAACCTCATTCAAACGTCTGTCTGTGTTAAGATATAATCCTGTGGTAGGTCAGCGTCGTAGAAATCACATCAAATCTATTGGCTGCGCTGCCTAGTGAAGCCTTTGCGTTCATATTGTCTGAAATTTGCTTATGACTTAATCAAGTTTACAGTCATTTGGCTAATTAATTTAGACGCGTTTGATTGGCATTTGAAGGCACTTCAATCACAATCCAGGAGTAATTATCCGCATATCAACTCGCTGCTCCTCGGATCAAATGAAATTCAAAATGCATCTGCATACATGGGTAGGCACGTCGCCCTAAACCACAGTGCAGTAATAATGTTTATGGTCAGCAATTTACTTCAAATTCATGCACCGTGTAACTTGGATGGTGTTGCACCACAGGGAGAATTTACATAGCTTTCATTTTCTACACTGGCTATAATGGGTTTGCACCGCCTCTCCATTATTGCACAACAGAATAACACCTGTTATCTCTGCGCTCATAGGGACTTTGATGTGCCGCTGACCAAGCGGCGTCTGTAAGAGATTGATTTTAGCAAGCATACGGTGACGGTGACTTTAAGTGCGCTTTCTTCATTGGTCGACGTATATTGATCACCTTGCGTCTCGTAAAGCACCGGCAGGTTGTACGTGGAGAGTCGTACCCGTTAATTACAGCCTGCTGGATGTAGCAGTTGGCTATAACATCGGTATTTGAGCTATCTGGAGCAAACAGAGCTGGGGTTCCCGCTGGGCAAAGTGACGCACACACGCGCGCAACGCACGCCCAACAAACACGGAAAAATACTTCTATCCGAGAGTTTGCAATGATAATATAATTGGTAAGTGGTCAGTTTGTTACGATTAGCCGTGGCCTTCATTACAGTTAGGCAACACTTTATCTGAAGAAAAACACAGAAGGGTAATGGAAAGGTCTGACCTGTTGATTCGTTCACACTTGAAGGTAACCACGAGCAACACGTCGATTCCCAGATTAACTGGTTCAAAGAAAAGTTGCTGGTAATAGGTAGGTAAACTGGTTGTGATTGTTTAGTTGGAATGGTAAACAGGCTGTTGTGTATCGGCAGATGTAGATGCCAATCGAGAATATTGATACAGGATGACAATCCGCCCTTCAGACGATTAGGCTTCAAGCGCTAGAAACCCCCGTTCTTTTTTACTCTCTGGAAATAGTTAACCGTGGTAATACAATGCATCGTAACAGGGAGAACTTAGGGACCTAAACGAAATCATAAACTAGTCATACTGCTATTGGCACATGTATGAGGAAAATAGTCCATCGGGAAGGTAGACCGTTTAACATTTCTTGGAGGTAAAGCCTTTGATAGTCGTCACGGAGTTTTGAATTATCCTGATATTCCCAACTGAACCGAAATAATTAGAAAACCCCGATTTCCTCGAAATCAGGGGTTATCTTCTTGACAGATACTATTACCAAAACCGCCCGGTGAAAAGCCCTTTTAGCAGATGCTGGCGTAAGACCAATATTCGATATCACCAAGATCATTGAATGAATTGCCTAAAGCAAGCACCTCAGACTCAAATGCTATCATTATATAACTCCGTTTTTTGCAAAATACCCACAGATTCTGAATCATACTAAATGTTTGCACTTAGAGGACAAGAATATATGAGACGTTCACATGAAATGTGGCACCAATATTTTGTATATACTCGTCTCTTAGAAACTGATAAATATTTTCATGCAAATAGTGTCATTGCGGTGCTTGTATACCGAAACGATCACATTTCTGAATAATAAGTCCTGGACCTTTGGGTTGCTCTAATGGGCCTTTTCCTTCAATTTTCAAACCTCTGCCTTTTGTTGGCGACCATAAGTCACCTTTGGTCTGTTCCAATTATTGAAATACCCAAGGCATTCAAACAGGTGTCTCCATAACTGTTTGTGAAGTTTTCGTCTCACTTTGCGGGCACTTATCTTCTTCTAGTGTAGAAAATAAAGCTATTTTTCTTTTATTGTCCTATCACGATAATCTATTGTACTTTATACAGGATAGCCTCGTGGGAAAGGAGACAGACGGGTCATGCAAGTGTGCCATGCTTATTTGTGATGCTCCGATGGGCCGCAGAATAATTTTGCAATCCGATACCTCTCGTTATATTTTCGCTCATATTGAGTCCTACGTGGATCAGAATTGACTGGAGTCTATAAGCTCTGGGTTGTTCATTAACATGTTAGAACCCCCTTTAAATAAATATCAGCAGCACATCATCCTGTGGTTACCGCTATCTGTCTTTTTTTTTTTTTTTTGTACTTGCACAGATATTGTGGCACTTATTGTAACTGGGGATTTTACCGGTAGCTGTGTGCGTATCCACACACCACAAAGAAATGTTTACTTAAAATGTCGCCTGTCAGAGGACAGTATGAAGAAGTCCTCATCAGCTAACGACTTCTTGTTAGGGTGTTTCTCCGCTAATTGGCCGTTTAAAATACATTTAGAAAATGACACCGTATGACCTTTAGCTTACGAACCTTCGCAAAACTACCACGTTCGTTAACCATCTAGTTGTGTTCCTAAGGTGAGACAAAAGCCAAATATGAAATCTGCATGTGTTGGCCAGGGTTGACGAAGTGCACGCACTTTATGACTTGCATTGATTAGCCGGGCTCATTGCGCGCTGGTCGAACGATCAACTGAAGCGCGGCCGAAAAAAAAATCGACAAGCCTTAGGTGCAAACATGCCACCACGTTCCGCACGCGCTTAGTTCAACGAGCCTCGGGGTCCCCAATACTGACGCTCTCGACATTTTTTAAGGAAAATGCGGCATGTTTGTCAACAGCTTATGGTAAGAGCTAACAGCATTGTGCTTGAGAGACACAAGTGTGAACTAAGTGTTACGTTCTTTTTGAACTGCGTCTTCGATTAGACAGGAATGTGGAAAGGGAGAACAGTCTGGTCTTCTTATGTACGCCTAATAACAAAGGGCGTGTCCGGATTCGATTTATCTTAAAGTTCATTGCAATTAAGCCGATGGGTACACAGCTTGCCTTTTAGGCAAATTATTTTCGGTTTATTATTTTGGAGCAGGGGTGGGGGTCTGGCATAGTTGACTGAATTGCAGTTAACACTATTGGTTCAAAACTTTAGTTCAGATAGATTTAGCACCGACCTATACAGCAAACGCGGTTTTATTACACCTGCTCGGTGCACGGGAGTCGAGGGACTGTCACGCCTTGGTACGAAAATAATAAAAAGATGGCACATTGAATGGAAAGCAGTTGATATTTACCCTCTGGCATCGATAATTAGAACCTTTGTTGTTCATGATTATCCTCATTCATCACTCAATGCTGACAACAATTTTTTTAAAACCTGTTAGATGAGGCTCGGAAGAACGGTGTGATTTCGTTTGATGTTGTTTTCTAGACTGTGTTTAAGTAATAAAGTAGTGTGAAGAGGGCAATTCTGTTTCAATAGCACGCTTACAAAGACATGAATGATACGGCTTATCATCCTCCGTTAACTTTCTACCGATAGAAAGGTTTCACATTCATTTCGCCGTAAGGGAGCTGTCAGCGATAGTGCAGAGACAAAGCGTGTATCTGTATGGATATATTCCAAAAACATCACTGCTCACAAGAGGTCGTGTAGAACGTCACCCACCCCGTTCCCTGCCGGATGCTCTACCGACTGGTAAAGATAATCTTGCAGAAGCAGTGCGGGAAGTTCTGCGTACACCGCAATAACGGCCGTCAGTGATTGGGCCTTTCTTCACCGGGGTGTTTAGGGCTTATTATAACCGAGTGAGCCACGCTGTTTTGCTCGCTGTGACGTAGGCTCTGCAGAACTTCGATAAACTAAGCCTCTTTTCAAGCAGCATTATTCACAAGTCCTTGACGCGTAAGTCGCGAATACGTGGCATTATTTGGTCAGCCAGAAGATAAGACAAAGTTGTGAAGAAATTAGCTCACGGGGTTTATGTTTGAATTTGACTTACGGATAAATCTCTAGGTTTAAGAACTGGACTTGTGCCTCATCTTTATTTACAAATATATTTCTTGTATTTCGCAGCTTCTCAAGTGAAGATCACCTGTGCTACGTTAAGGAACAGCGAGAGGTTCCGGCATTCAACAGAACTCGGTCTGGGATTGATACACTCACTCAGCTGATCGCTACACAGAGGGTTTGAGAATGGACGCAAGTGGAGTGCGTGCTTTGGCCTCCCTGCTCGTGCTCGTGTCGCACGTGCTGGCCCAGGATATGATGCTGTATGACAGCACCTTTCAGAGCGGACAGGCAGGACAGTTGAACGGTAAATGCACGTGTGCCAATATCACGAACTTGGAAAACGCGGCAAACAGGAGGATGCTGACGATGGAGCAGCGGTTCACGGCTCTCATCATGGAAGAGAGGAGACGAAATGAAAATCAGTCCGAAGAAATGCGGACTCTCAGCCATAGACTACATCACCTTAACAAACAATTCAACACGGTGCAAGACAAGGAAACAAAACAGTCAGCGGTCATCAAACACCTGCGAGATGAGATGGCTCGCCAGCAGAGCACCATGGACAACCTGCAGTCCGACGTCCAGAGGCTGCAGGCCTTGGTTGGGAACCTTACCAGTTCCCTAGGGTCCCTTAAACAAGCCCCCTCACAGACCCAGGCCCACGTTACCCCAACAGCGAAGGTGGAGACGACAGATGTCCCATTTGTGCCGCTTTTTCCAAAAGGTCAGTAGCTTTTTTACTTGTCACTGCTTTCTCCCCACCCCCTTCAGCACCACATTAGCCGTTTTTGTATCTGCTTCTGTTTTTACAGTAAGTTGATTGGGTGCATGTTAGATAGGCTTTTTATTTGCTCACAACATGAATCTATAACTTATCATCCCTGAAAAGAATCGTAGTAAAGGGTTTAGGGATACTTAACCACATTTGTGCATCCTTATGCCGATAAACATACTTTTAACTTACAGTTAACTTTCCCATTTACTTGCTACATGTGCAGCAGTATCAGAAACACGTTACATTCGACTGTAAAATTCCCACTAATTTTTTATACTCTTCTGTAGCTTTTGCCCCCACTGCTCAATACCCATGCTATTGCTTTTGTTGCTTTTAGATCCAGATATTTATGAATTTTATGTTAGTATTATTTTAATTTTGTTTTCATTTATGTTTTAATAGGCTCTAACGGTGCTATGCGCACCGGTATATTTTGTTGTTCCATGCACCATTTGTTTTGATTTTTTTCCCTCCTTGACAGTTTTTATGTTTTCTTTTGGTGTTCACTCTAACCTCCTGGAGATCTCACACGTTGAAGGTCAGCCATTACCCGTATATTATCACCTCTCCAAAACACAGAAAAATAACAGTTAGCATAGTCGATGTTGAAAACATGGAAATGTAATGCACTATCTGATATTGGGTTTTGGCTTCCAAGTTTCCGCCTACCCTTTGTAAGAAACGTCTTTACGAAGCTAAAGAATATAGATAGTCTTTGTTTCCCCTTCGATCGCCACACGGCAGATAATCTAAATCCCCCCAGGTAAGTAGTGTAATTACTCCGTCTGAGGCGTCTGCGTTAAGGAGATACCCGGAGAAGTGGAAAGCTTTTAAGTTTGACGTTGTAGCGAACTTAAGGTCAAAACGCCTGTCCAAGATAAATCGATTCCTTCAGCAAACAGGCTCAGAGATTTCTTTGTACAAAGTTAGCGAGAGGATAATTAATCTGCCTTGATTTAAAGCCCCAATATATCATGCCAAAAAGACTTTAAACGAAAGATTTTAGAAATATTGTCTACAGATTTGGAGCAGAAAAGTGTGTTATCATCGCCTGGGATGCTTTAGTTCAAATTAATACAAAGTTATTCGTTTAGGAGTTTTATCCGATAGCTATTTTCTAGTAATACGAATCAATTTCTAACAGAAACAGAAATTTAGCAACGTAATTATCGGTTTCTTTTTCCTACCTATTCTAGCAATGGGTGCTTTCGGTTATATGCAGTGGGCTGACACATTTGACAGACGTAGAAGCTTAAAATATTCTGCCTGGTTTCTCTTAAAAATTCTTGAAATTTTGTGAATTTGCCAATTGAAAAAAAAGCATACCATATTTGGCCTTTGTAGTTTTCCTATTCGCATAACGACAGAATGAAAAAAAGCGTCAAAATAGTACAGCTGCCGAATTATCCACCCTAATCGTGTACTCGCTATGTATCAGTGTTTTTTCAGTTATTCATCCAGATAAAAGTGGGCGATTGCGGAAGCGTTTGCTTTTGAAGGCAGATTATGAAAATTTGTCTCTTGGTAAAATGAGTTATTTTACACATTTCTCGTGCTGTTTGCATGTTACATTCATTTCGAGAACTTCTTTTGGGTTCAGTGGATCCGCAGCCAGACTGACAGCCAGAGGTGCCCGAGTTCTCGATTGCGAGCCACACATTCTACATTGCAGTCCGGGAACATGAATGATTTGAAATTTTTCAGGTTCCCCACCCCACTGGGTCCCAGTTACCAGGGCAGAGGCACGACAGACGTCCCGCGGCAAAAGTCAACAAAATGTAACACTAGTTTTTTCACATGAATTAAATCAAATATAAAGGAATATTGGGGATTTTTTCAAAGCAAAATATCAGAAGATTGCCCGAAGCAAATATTTGAGGATTTGACCCTAACGATGTTGTTGTAAGGTAAAATGGCGGGGTGGGGCGAAAAGACTCAGTCCAAAAAACGGTGAACCGAACCTTACTGTCCTGTGAACTGTGTGGACCATGCTGGGCCTTACCAAGAAGCCTTGTGCCACTTGTTTATAGAAAAAGTAGACAAGATTGGCGATACTTTCACGCCCATAAAGATCCAACAATCTAATTAATTTTAAGTGCTACAAAGTAGAAGACAAGAATAATAAAGACTTAAAGAGATTCGATCTTACATTCCCCAGTGTCATTGGGAGCCTCCCTGGACATCTGATGAAATGTTTTTCTTAGTCTTAACACGTGTGCCAAATTAAGCCTATCTGAAATTGTTTTATTGTCTAAAATTGTCGTCAGAAATATTTTTGAACTTGTTGCGCTTGAACAACGTCAAAACGAACATTTTAAAATTAACATTTTCACTGTAATTGATGAGGGAAAGCTTTTGCATGATAAAGAGAAAAGGGCATAGCAATGATGTCTTTTTCATACATTTATGTATCCATTAGATGCTGTGTAATGAAATAAAAAGTAATGCGCCTAAGTTTACACAATATAAAAAAAAAATAAAACGGCCCGTTTTGAACCGTACTTATGGACCATGTTCACTTTGTAAAGAAGGAAGTGTTGTGAGGCAGTTCGGTTATTTCTGGCCTAATACACCTTATCATTTTTGCATCGCTTTCAAAATGTCAAATTCTTGGTTTCCTTGCAGAACCTCTGTTGGGGTGGCGCAGACGAGATAGCTTGTGTTGCTAGTTTTTAACGTCTGTAAACGTACTGTCTGCCCTCCGAAATGTATTGACGTCGTAACATTCTCCATACACGAGGTTTTAACAACACACTTTGTCACAACGTACATAATGCGACAAAGCTTGGCGACAGTATAAGCTATATGACAACACTTAAATTAAGATGACATAAGAATATTTTCAAATGTCATTCCCAGCCAATTGCGAAGTACTCGAGATTGATAATAGGTTTCATGTCAAGTCGATGCTGGAGAATTCGTTCCAAGCACCGATGGACAATCCTATTGTTAGGACTGCATTAAGAGGTGATAGAGAAAGTGTTAGGTGATTGCCACCTGTGTCTACCTATGATACTGTGATCATGCAACCGTAAGGTCATTTGTCAACCTTCATCCCTTTGCCGCCTTGGCATTAATGGTCCTACAGTCCGGCAGTTACGACTATATTGTCCACAGATGACAGGTCTTAATATAAACTACATTAAAAAGGTACAGCAAATCGTATTAAAATCTTGAAATCTCTAGTGGGGCATTGGAAACGCGAGGGTATTACATCAACCGGCGCCAAACGGACAAATTGCTTACAAAATTGTGTTTGAATGAAACATCAAAACCAAATACTTGACAGTGAATTTAATGAGTTTTTCCTTTGAATCGTCATGTTCTGGAATTACTTGTCGCCTGGGAAATTATCTTGAGGTATCCAAAGGTATTGTTCGCAAAAAAAAAAAAAACAGAAGAAGGATGTTTACGTAAGGCCCATCAATCTCAAACTAAAGGGCTCCGGAGAATACGCCCGGTGCAACCAATAACTTCATTCTTGGGCACCCTTGCAGGAAAATATTGAAAGACGGGATGGCTCACCTATCTCCCAGCCAAGTCTGGGCCTGAATTTTAATTAAAAGCTTATTTTAACTCGGACCACCAACGCTGCCGCCGTAAACTGCAACCAAAGTAATGATCTCTCATGTCGTTGTTACTCAGAAATAATGGTTTCTCATATTCGCACCTGAGTCCCTTAGCGCTTGGGTGCATTGGCCTGTCGTTAATACAAACCACGTGCACCGTCTGAAGATGGAAGATAGTGCAAATTACTTAAGTAAATGTGTACTTACACTAGGCCAGATCCTAGATCTCATCATCACTTTTACTACCTTGCAAATCAATGCATAAAAACAATTTTTCCATTAATTGTTTAATTATGGTCGTCCCTCCTGATATTTTCTAGCATCGCCTACCGTTAAAAGCAACTGAACGTTGGAGATGGATCTAATATATGTCCGTATATTGAACCACCCGTTGTTCTGTTATGTTCAATCAAATGGAACACACCTCTTCGGCTATCACGTTTTAGGCAAATACGGCTGAGGAAGGCCCTCTTCATGTAGTCGATGCTTTAAACCGTGTGATAATGCTATCTCGCACCATATGCAAGATGGTTTTAAAAAAACTTAACATTGAAACAAATAACAGGCAGTAGAGAATTATTATTTTTGACATTTTTATTTCCTTACTGGATATGTGCACTCTTTTTTATTTTTGTCTACCAGTAGATATGTGAGTTATGACCACGTATTTCATCACTCATTTTTTTCACCAGGGGGATTGAATGATAGATGACTGTGGCCCAGGAAGAAGTTTAATAAAGGTGTCTATGGCTGAAGTCAGCTTTTTAATACATCGACCACTGCTTGATCAACAGCCCCAACAGTTGGTCTCATCTTACGGTCTTAGCTTATAGTTTTAATCGACAGGATGAATTATGGGCCCTCCAGTTTGCACTTATTTGACATTGATTCCTGATGACCTTGAAGAAATGCACTAGTCGCCTAACCTATGCTGTCGCGCAAATTAATTCTGATGATATACTGATATGTATTTACTGCATAATCTTCAATCACATATCTGTAATTTTAACAGAAACTGACAGCCCTCCAATATTATATCACATTACAAAGGCTAACGCTCTTAATACCCATGATTAGTGAAAATACCACCTTGCGCATTATCGGAGATCAATCTAATACTTGGCCGATCTCCTAACACTTGGTAAGTGTTAAGATGACATATATAAGTAATTGTGTGATAAGTGGTACCAGGAATTAAGACATAAGCCACTGTAATCTGTCTCGATAGTTTCCAACTTGATGCTTCAGATAAAATAGTCTTCCCAAGTTTTTTCTTTTTAGCTGTGTTTCATCATTTAATGTTATGAATCTTTTTATGGCAATGGTGATTTGGCATTATCCAGGTTTCTTCTCTTCCTGTCGTGGACAGGTTTTGTTCGGATAAGATCTTATTGAAAAGAATATCCCACACAGTAACAGAGATTTACATGCATTACTCAAAAGGCAGGGTTAGTTACTTTATAGACCCCCTTAATTTCACTTAAGTGCAACGCCCTTCTTTAGCGCTTTCACGTAGAGCTTGTCTGCACTTGATGAGATGCTTGTTGCTTGGTTTATCTACGGTTCAACTTATCAAATTATTTTCAGCCAATCTTTATCATATTGTTTTACATTTACCGCCGACAATAGCAGCGGCTGTTCTTATTGTATACACAAGGTACAAATACTTCTTTCTTTCTATGAAAAGAACATAATGCATTGCCAACGTGGTGTATTGAATTCGTAATTGCTACCTGCATAATTCAGCTTATCGGAATTTATTATACGCATTCGAGTATAAACTAGATCTGTTGTCTGTCAAGATTTTTTAATGCAATTTTCCGTTGGCATCTTTTCGACGACATACTCATTCAGCCTTGTTTCCTTTATTTACGCACTAATTTTCTTTTAGATTGCGAAGAGGTTTACAAGAATGGAGGTCTTAGATATCCAGGGGAATATTACATCATGATTCAGCCCTCGGACACCGACCACGCCTTCAAAGCCTGCTGCAGGATTACCAACGAGTCAGGTAAGCAAAGACTCCGGAATAATGTAATTGTTAATTCAGCTTGAAAAGAGATATCAAAAAGCTGTTATGTTGGCGCTACTCAAATGGCTTACAAACTGTGATAGGTAGAAACGGTGAAATGTCAGGTATGTTGTTTAAGCGGCTTGTAAAGGGTTTTAAAACATTAGTTTCCTTTTATTATGCGCCATAAATCACTGAGAAGTTAAATATGGAACCCGGATTAACGGGGAGTCTTAAAAGATTCTATATTTGTTCTCTTATGAGAGGAAGACTATCTCTGAATGTTATCTATTTAGAGACAAAATGCGGGTGCAAATTCGTTAATAATTGTGAAGATCAAAGAAAAGGTATGAGACGACTAAATATTGTTGGGGACTAAAAAACATCCTTAGAATGCTCATGGGCTTTTAATAACCTAAAATTAAAATGCGATTGTTTTAAACTAAATGGCAGGGATTGTGGGAGTTGAACTGAACATGCTTCAACCCACGTGATCGTTAATCTAATTTTCGTCAGGTGTATTTCGTTAGTAATTATGAAGATCAAAGAAAAGGTGTGAGACGACTAAATATTGCTGGGGACTAAAACATCCTTAGAATGCTCCTGGGCTTTAAATAACTTAAAATTAAAAAGCGGTTGTTTTAAACTAAATGGCAAGGAATTTGGGAGTGCTTCAACCCACGTGATCGTTAATCTAATTTTTGTCAGGTGCAAACGTTTTTCAGAGGAAATGTGATATTTGGATAAAACAGCGTCCATGTACAGTGTATGAGGAAACAGATGATATATTTATCCCTGACAACAGACCAGCAACAGTTCTTTTATCATACTAGGTCTCAAAACTTTCTTATTTTCTAACAAAAAAGTACCTTTTCTTTTGAAAAAAAATACCTAATGAAAAATTCTTCAACTCAGCTGCCCCCCCTCCCCTCCATCCCGCCATCTCAGCAAAACACCCCGGTCAGCAAGGTATCCAACTGACTTCGGTGAAGTTCAATCTATTTAACCTTTCGCTGCTGGTCAGTGTGAAGATATTTCACAGTCAACTGTTGCCTAACCCTCAGAACAGATTCCAGTCCATAAAAAACCAATTGATGATAAATCTTTCAGAGAGGTAATTTCTCGGATTTCGCGGCTTGATTGGCAGGCCTTTGAAAAGAAAGCTGTCCGTTTTTTTGTTTTTCTCGTAAATATGGAAATCGTTGGTGTTTTGTTACCTTTAATTGCTATAAAAGACGAGCAGGTTCGGAACTAGGGGAACTTGAGTTCGGTTTTGCAATTTCCTACTGTTAGAAATTGGTGAAACTACGTATAATTGGCATATTTTTAAGCTTATGGTATCCAGTTTAAAATATCGAGCGGCATATGAAAGTTATATTTAATCCACCTGCGTGAATTTTGAAATAGATGGGCATAGTTTTTCTTCTTATTGATTTCGACTATCAACTTTCACAAGTTACGTAAGCACAAAATGTTAAATCCGAGGTTGAGGTTACATGTACCAGACCGTTGTGGAAACTAGGAAAGAAGCAAAAATGATTTCAGCATAAGGATTTAGCCGTAGCATACTTTTATGTGCATGCTACCATGGCTAAAGCATCTTGTAGCTGCCATCAATAATGTTATTTAAGTACATCGATGTCTTTGCGCACAATTTTTTATTTACTATTAGCTAGGTGAATAGTGAACATATGTAGGATATCCGCACCTTCGTCTTTTGCCAAACCAGGCAGTCAATCGGTTCTTTTCTTCTTTTTTTATGTGGTTTGAACCTTTAATACATTTATAATGTAAAAACCAATGCGATATGATATCGAGTGTGATGTCGAAAGGGCAAGTTACCAGTAAAGCGGATTGACACATGTCCCAGGAAAGGGTTTGAATCGAAACGTTGAGGAGACTGCAATTTCACCACAAGAGTAAAAAGACGGAAATGTAATAATGATCATATCAGAATGACTTTTATAGTCATTTGTAAATCTTGATACGAGAGGCGTCGGTTTCCGAGACGTCTTTATTTAGTTATTGTACCATTTTCATTATTTCTATTATCAATAAGGCAAAGGTAAAACGAACTACTTAAAATGCCACGTCTGAGATGGGGCTCAAAAACGGGCATTTTGCATTGCGTGAGGCTGGGATGTTTTTTGTTATTTAATTTCTATAGTGATACCAAAAATAATAGCATGAATGCCAACACGCCTTACTGTCTCACGTGGTAGAGATTAGGACGGTTATTACTTCCAACCATGAGCTGCAGATTGATCAGGTCTAGTCGGCCGAAAAGAAAGTAGTAACCCTTTCATAAATGTCTCATAAATACACTTCAAGCGCATGTCATGTAACGTGACATATTCGAACAGCGTTTATGTTGCTTTTTTTAAATTCACAATGTTAAAGTGCAAGTGCTTTCTTAAGATTTTTATAACTCAGTCATTATTCAAAACATCCAGTTATTCCTGCGACGTAGTTCTGTCAAAAATTATCTTTCCAGATTTTCAAATCTGTACAATTTGTTTACATTTTTGTGTTTATTTGTTTATTCATTTAGGATGGACAGTCATTCAACGCAGGCAAGATGGATCTGTGAACTTCTTCCGCAAGTGGGAGGACTACAAAACTGGCTTTGGGGATCTGAAGGGAGAATTCTGGCTAGGAAACGATCACATCCACGATCTGACTTCACAAGGTATGGTATTCTCGAATGAAGTTACTTGCTCAGAGTTAAACTATCACTCAGTATCACGGGTGCAGCACACATGCGCATTTCTTCTCACTCTTGTATTTGATTTCTAGGACGGGCGAGATTGAGCTACATGCATATCCATGGGAGAGAGATATCCTTTATTTCTTAAACATACCCCGGCCGAAAAAAACACCACTCAAATGCCAAAATTGAGATTTGCTCACGGCAGATATTTTAAGGTTGATAACGTACTTGATTGTATAATTTTGACAGCGTGTTACTGGCCCCGAAAAAACATTTTAAGGTAAAATTAGCCTCCCCGCCATCGTAAATTAAGTTGTATAGTGGCCCCGTTGACACTATGGGGAAAGGGCTCGGGAAAAGGGCAGCTGTAAGTCCGCTGACGTGGTACAAGAGGCAAGCATACAGGAAGGAATAAGCAATAAAAATCTGCAAGACGCTTTCATGTATAAGATCTTTTTTAGTTCTGCAATGGGGTGCTTAGGAACATAAACATCGATTTTCTACTACTTCACACAAACATTTATCTCTAAAGGTTAGATAGTTAATTTTGGAAAGGGCGTATTTGCACCATCTGATTTTAGTTAAGATTATCCCCAAAACGCGTTAATCTTTATTATACTTTTAGGTGCTTATAAACTCCGCATCGAGATGGAGACTTGGGAAGGCAAATCGTACTACGCAGAATATGACAGCTTCAGCGTCGGAGCCGAGAGCGACCTCTATAAGCTGAGCGTGAAAGGTTACCATGGCAACGCTGGGGACTCTCTGACATCTTACTGGGAGAACCACGATGGACAGCCCTTCAGCACGGTGGACAGAGACAACGACGATCGTTACTATGACAACTGCGCCAAGCATTATCGCGGTGCCTGGTGGTTCAAGAGCTGCTTCGAATCTCACCTGAATGGGGTGTACTACCAGAAAGGAAAGCACAACAATTACTTTGTCCGCAACGGAGTCCAGTGGAATACTATTCACCTCCACTCGTCCCTCAAATATGCCATCATGATGGTGAAACCCAACGAAAGCCCCAGCATGATCACCAATGAGGTCCAGTAAACAGTTCAGAATCAGAAGGCGAAAAGGTCTGCAAAATCATTAGACGCGACAATCATTCATTCCGTGGTATACCACAGGGGAATCCTTGTAACACACTGCCAAGTTTAAGGAGGCTCTCTGAACCAAAAAGCGGGCCGTTCGTTCTCCCGTTCTTGTTTGTAGTATAACAATAGGGACCTGTGGCACCGAATTCGTAAATGCTGCTGAGACACATTTGGCACATGTCTATTACTGCTGATGACACTTAATTTTTGTACACTGAAATGTTCTAGGAAAATTTTGCACTTATGCCCGCAAAAATGTATAAAAGATTAGTAGTCTTGGTGTCATTGATGGCAAGGGTATCTTGCGTTAAGCGGTAGTCCGCTGTCGCATTGATACCCGAGTCGGTGTAAGCGGTTCAGGAAAGATGCTGGTGATGGAAAAATGAATTAATTTCACCAAAGCGAATGGTTATCTCTACGAAAGGTTGTATGACAAAAGAAAAAAAAGAGATCTTTGTAAATAGTTCCATTACGAATTGTTTATTAATGGTCATTAATGTTAAATTTGTATATAATTTATTTTGATCTTTTCAGATAAGTATAATGCAAGTTATATTATGTGAAAAATGAAAACGCAAATATGAGATTTATATACGATGGAAGAGGTTGAAATGAAATTAGTCAACAAAAATAGGAGCTTCGAAAAAGTGAAAGACATACACCATCTTCACAATTGCGTTAATAGCCAGATCCAACATATCATAACGTAATTTGAAGACAATGGTCCACTGAAAGAAACGGTGCTTATAGTGGAGTTGTCCGAGTTGTACATATCCAAATGTAAATAATTCTAGGCCTAAATGTTCATTTCCTATATTGTGATAAAAAGTAAAGTAGCAATAATGTGTACCGAAGGTAGAAATCGATCTGTACTAAGATTTTGGTCTCATTTTAATAAATGTTTTGTTTAAAAGGTTTGTTCAGTTTTTTTCCTGAAGTTCAGTTATCTCTCTCTCTCTCTCTCTCTCTCTCTCAGCAAAAGAACGAACTCGATGGACCACATTTGTCAATCTTCAACAGAACAGACAACATTTATTTCAAAGCAAAAATTCAACACACATTCATTAACATTCGCCCTTCGATACCATGAAGCACATAAATTTCTATTCAACTCGGCAAAATGTCAAAAACTTCAAGAACCGTTTGAACACAGCTCAGCTTCCCCCGTGGCACTGCACTGGCACAGAAATAATTATGACAAATCGTAGTTGTACCAAAAAACAACATATTCATTTGAGTATTCTCGCTAAAGCTGAGGGGATGTAATTGGGCGTGGAAGGCGCTTGTGTAGGGCAAAGGTGCCACGTATGTGTTGAACGAAAGAAAAGCGAGCCTGCCAACACTGCCATGTGAAACCTTTTTTTTCTTCGCGAATTGCGGAGTTTAATCAAAGGATTCAAAGTACCACTTTTGTGGAAATATTGTCTTGTTTAACTGACGTTAAAATGATGCTTTATGGCTGTCTACATACCTCAAATTCAGGTGTGTGTGTTTGTGTGTGTGCTTGGAGATGTATTATTAACTATTGCGTAGATAACTTAAAACGCACGACCACCCAAGTTTTTTTTTAAATAATGTGATACGCCTGTTTTAGTGCACCGCCTTAAGGGTATGACACTAAAACTGATGAGGCTTTTTCTTACGTGCTATTGCAAGGTAAATACTACAATGGTCAAGTGTTCTTGCTGGAATGGTGAGAGGAAATTATTCACGCAATGTAACTCAGCAGATATATAGAACTATTCAAACTGCAAATCCGAATTCGTTTGATGAACTCTGCTTCTCTGGCTCAAGGGGTAGTTGTCGGAATGCTTTAATTTGCTAGCAAAAACGTGCACCGTCTTGAAATAATGCAATCTTTCCTCTATATCGGTCTTTTAACATGGATAAACATACGCTTGTTAAGTTGTTTACTCTATTCTAATGTGTGCATTTCTGCACCTAATTAAGTTTAAGCCGTTGCGTTAAAATCGCACCTGTGCTACTTGGTCGAAAACTAAAATTGCGGCAGATGTGCTAACTTGAACAATACCCAGCAATGTTACTGCTGAGATAGTTTCTACGAAATGTTGGAAAGATTTCGATCAACAATTCTGAAGAATTTACTTGCTAAATTGTAGTGTTCACACAGATACTTGTGCTTATGTCTGAATATGAAAAAGAGCCATCTTAGCTACCAAGTACATCATCACGTGTGAATAACGCGGTGAACAGAAAAAAAGCTTAATATGTTAATATATCTCAATTTTTTTTCTATTATCTTTATGTAACATTTCATCAAATAATACTGTAAATTTTATATAATGTAAAATTTTGCTACGACAGCATATGTAACATTCTTGTGATCCTCAGTACAAAAATCGTTGTCAAAAACATAATACAGGAATTAACCCTACTGGTGTTTCACCCATTTATTGGGCCTACTTCTTAGAAACATTGTTTTTTTCTACAGATTGTCATTATGTTCTAAGTGCATCGGTATGTATTACTTATATCAATTCTTTGCCCTTTGAATATATCTCCCCAAACAACTGAAATATGGTTATTTTTACTCGCCTTCAGCCACGCTCCAGATATGTGACTTTTGGATTACAAACGGGATATTGCAAATACGGCCAATTTTTCATGAATTCAGAAAATCGTGTTCGAGGTATTACAGTGACACCTGATTGGTGTCGGATATTGCCCTTTGAAACTGTAATGATGGAATGAATAGATAATAAGGCAGTCCGAAAAAAACAAATTTTCTTGGAAACTACAAAACGCTTAACTCTGATACTTTGTTTTAATCATGACTGTTAGAAAAGCTCTTAACCCAAAACAACTTTTATGCGTCAGAGGCAGTATAATGTTGTTGTATTTTAGTGAATTTCTCACTGGATTATAGTGAATGATTTTGGAGTTGGGTGCTTTTTATTCACCTCATTTATACTGAGAAAGAGAAAGAGAGTTTGTCAATAAACACACCTGTACTCATAGTACATGCGTGAATAGATATCGCTAATTATTGATTGGTGTGTTACTTCACCCGATATACAGAGCTCACAGCTTGCTGTGCACTTTCACGGTGGGGATCAATACCTCCGTATACATGAATAAAACATGGGTTGTGCACGAACACGTCATTTCACTCTGATAGTAATGGTAAGGCGTCAAACTTAGTGTTAATCAAGATGACATATCAGGGCAACATCATGGGGCGTACATGTAGATGTACATTGGAATTGTGGTAACAGCAATCAGAGCAATCGCCATCCTCCACCTTTCTTCTGATCTGTGATGTCCGGTGCGAATAAGTACCTCATCGCTGCCCAGATGGACTGACCGCGCCCTACATAGAAAATAGCAGCGTATATAAAGGTATTATATACAGTTCTAAAATCAATCAGGTTTTCCTCGATTTTGACAAAAGAGCGAAGGAAACGTTGCTTAGAAATATGGTTTCATCGAACAGTCGGCAGATAAAAATACTGAATGTGAATTAGCAGCTCTAGGGTAAAAGTGTTTCCACAATTTTATAAACTGATTCAATTTAAATGAATTCACCACCAGAGAAAGACATAAGAACAACCAAACAGCTACCTTAAATTGTCTTCATTACTCCCCATTGGCTTGATCAGTTTAGCCTAATGGTTCACCTACTACCGTTTTTCTGTCTCTGTAGAGCAAACTTAAGCAATTTAACAGATTTTCACAGGCTACAAAGAAAGCAACATCTTCACTGAATGTACTACTGGCCAAGAGATGCGCCTGGAAGCATGTTGTAATGGATTTTTGGCCTAGATTTCACTGAAGTCGCTCGTCGTGGGCGTGACATTGGTTTCTCATTTTCTCGAATCCAAGGAAAGGACGGGTTTGCATGATTTAGGAAACGTCATCAAGTTCGACTGAGGGAAATGAAAAATTCATACCCATAATCACCCTAGAAGATGTAAACGATGGAAATGAGATTGAATATTTTATAATTTCATTCACATGCCTCTCAAACTGCAGCAATATGTAATTCTAATGGTACTGAAATGCATTATCCATCGCCAAGGTTTAATAACGCCTGGATAAAACGCAAATATAGACAACCTGCATTTAATCGGTATTAGACAGAAAGAGATCAGAATGCCAAGGTGGCCTAGAAAAAGGATATTCCAGACAGTGCTGAAAGTGGCCATCTTCATCGTGTCCATCCAAATGATTCTGATGATAGTATTTTCGTCGAAGCGTCTTCCGGACCAACAGAGCGGTTCACAACGGAAAAATGGCGCTCCTCAACGAGTTTGGCCGGCAATGAAGAAGCGGATCCCTTTAAACTACAAGGAAGCAGTAAAACTGTACAACGCTGCATGGGCTCTCAGGAACAAAAGGCCCAAAGACTGTGTGAAGCCAGTGTTTTCCAAGCATGATCTTCCTAGAGTGGCGTTGGCTAGCTATCCCGGGTCCGGGAACACTTGGGTACGACACTTGGTACAGCAAGCAACCGGTGGGTGAAAATGTCTTCCATCTTAAGATATTTGGTTTTTAATAGGGCTAAAACGTGATTTAAAATATACACACACCATTAAATATGTTTAAATTGTTTAAGGTAGTTTTTTATTTAATATATTTTACTTTATAGATGTATGTCTGGTGCCGATATTTTTTCTCGTGATAATGAAAAGGCTTTTACAAATACATGGCACATAACACCCCACCGTACAAAGGTAAAAATGAGAATGAAAATATATTTTGAGTAATACACCATGCCCATTGTTCTGAACACAAAAAAGGAGTGCGACATTCACGCTTGTTTAAAATAGCGGCTGTCACATGCACCATAAACGCGTTTCACAAAATGAAAAGAATGCCAAGAATTTAGTGATTCAAAACCACCTTTAACCGAAACCACAAGCTGTTAAATATCCATTATCTTCATCGGGGTCACTCTCAATGACAAGAAAATTAGCAAGAAGGTATATCAAGTACCTTGATGTTTTGGTTAAGTTTTGTAAGCATTAAAAGTGAAGCATTACAATTTGTATACACATTGTCTCTCTTGTCTTCTCATCAGTCATAGACTTCCTCCTTACTTAATTGTCATTTGCCGTGTTGTAACCATAATAAGTACCTGATGAAAAAGATTTGAAGGGTTTCAGAAATTGGAACCAGAACTGTGCCGCAATAAGCTTTTAAGTCTGAATATTCAAACTGTTAAGGACCTATGTTTAAACGTTTAACTAAGGGAAAGACGCAAATGAGTATGAAATTTAAGTTAGCTTAATACAGTGAGCTAAATACAGTACATCTATATTACTTTTTCTCCCTATGCGCTCTGATAGGTCCTGGCAGTCACTGTAAGCCTGTTGAATATACCTTTCACCAGAATGATTACTGTGCATAATTTTTTAGGTATTGTGACGGGCAGTGAGTACTTGGACATGGGTCTCTCCTCTGCGGGAATGATAGGGGAAGGTTACAATGGAAGCAATGCCATTATGATAAAGACACACGAGTTTGGGGCCGACAAAAGGAAGGGTTTTGACAAGGCAGTTTTGATTATTAGAAATCCATACGACGCCATGATGTCCGAGTTTCATCGGCGTCAAGGCGGCCATCTTGGACATGCCAAATCCAAGCACTTCACGGACGGTACAAGTAAGCTTGTGTGGCGACATTTCAAAGTATTTACAGTCTAGAGTTTTCCTGACCCTTTTCTTGTACTAAAATGAATAATGGGTTATTATTATTCGTAAAGATTTATTCTTTCATTCATTTTCAAAAATAAAAAACATTGAGCATGAAAATCTCTGGAATTTTCAAAAATAATAACAATATTCCCCGTTATTGTTATAAATGTTATTTGTTTATTTGTATATGAAAAGAAACAATCAAAAAGTTTTGCGCGCTCGTTGTTACAGTTTTAAGCCTGCTTGGGTCATCAATTATCTTAGCCTCGTTTCAATAACTGGATGTTCGTTGAATATACGCCTGGCTTTTAAATATTCGATGAAGTTTACTAACCTTCTTCGATGACAATAAAGTTTGTTTTGTTTTGTTTTCAGCCTGGCCAGAATATATACGGTTCGAAGCCAAGCGATGGCTGATGTTTAACCTGGACTGGTTGCACCTCTTCGAAAAACCATTGATGGTGTTGGCTTATAGTGATCTCTTAAAAAACACCCATGACACAGTGGTGCGTTTGACAAAATTCCTAAACATATCTGTCACCGAGGAACGCATTCAGTGCGTCTTAGAAAACAGCCAGGGAAAATTCCAGAGATATGCCCGGAAAGTGATAGATTTCGACCCATATAATAAATCAATGAGAAGAAAAATAGACGCATATTTGAATATTACAAATATTGCCCTAAATGTTCGAAAAGCAGAACTAGACGCGAGACACTCATTTGATGGTGTTCAAACACTGTGAACATGAGAAGATTTTTTTGTTTTTGTTTTTGAATAAAGAAAGTTTTGCTATTGATTACAATCATACGGCTTGAATATAATATATTTAATCTTACAACACTTCAACAATGCAACTGCATTGATTGGAAAAATCAAACGACAAATGTTGGCATGACGCATATGACGAGATAGAATTGCATTTTGTTCTAAGTAAACGAATTTTAAACTTTGGCCTAAACAGGTTTGCACATGGTATTTTATGATAATACGAAAGGTGAAGCTGACATAAGGTATTAAGGGTATTAAGGAAAACGTATCCAAGCATAGCGTTTTAGTGGAGTATTCTGCGTCGTTTTTGACTCAAAGGCAAGTAGCATGGAAAATCTCTGAAAAATGACAGCAACGGTATTGTTCTTTTAAAATAGGTTCCACAATCACCTAAGGCAAAAGCTCATAAGTTAATGATAATCATGTAAAGTAATGTATTTTTAAATAGTTATTTGAATACTCTAACACGGATCCTCTATCCATATGCTGTAAACAGTTAGTTCCTAAAACTACAATTTTACATGTAAATTTATCTTGCTGTTCAAAAGGTTGGCTTTTTAAGAAGAAATCAGCCTATAGTAATGGCAATTTGACTTGTGAGATGCCGCTGTGCCCTCGACGTATTGTCATCAAGAAAATAGTTACGTATTAATTCAACTCATACACCATATAAAACAGAATGTTGTTTTTTAGTAGAAGGATTAAAAAATTGATTGTATTATAGATATTTAGCACGCCTGTTGAATGAATTCTCATTTATCATTTTTAATGATGTTGGCGCAGTTTTAAATCCTTCATTATAAGTCAGTAATAACAGAGATCGTCTTTCTTTTCCTTTTACATATTAAAAGTAGAGTCCACGCGTGCAAACCGATAACAGTGATTGCATTTTTCACAAGATCCAACTGTCAATTCCTTTCTCGGTTTATTGCTGCGGAAAAACATCTCAGCTATCACACTCTTACAGCTTTACGTGCCAACCGTCAAATCATTATAGGCATACTCATACATTCATTGTACATAAATACATACATGCACTCGTGCTCGACTATACATATGTACATAAGCACACGTGAAACATGCATGTATGGTCTCTTTTTGAGCAGTGCTTGACATACAAATGAAGACTTTTACGTGTGATTGATTGTTTGATGATTGAAAAGAGAGAGAGAGAGAGAGAGAGAGAGAGAGAGATAATTAAAGAGATTCACTGAATACAACCGGTGTATATTGTGTTTTATCGTTCGTGTGAAATTCCCTTTACAGTTTATGTTTTAGCAACTTTCTTTATGTATTAATTATTTAGAGCATTATTTTGTGTACTAACAACGGCCGAACTTTATTCATACATTAAATATCAGGTCAAAGTCAAACAACAGAAACAGTTTCTTTGGAAACAAAAAACATCAGTCTTACAATGTATTGATCTTCATATGGTCAGAAGATGAGTATTCAGTGTGCCCTAATGAGCACCCAAGGTAAACGTCAAAGATATCATATATTGTTTACAACACGATTTGTCATCGCGTAAAAGATTGATTAGTCTTCCCCATATAAGTTGTCTGTTTGCGTGAGTTTGGGCTAGACACAGCGTTTTGCCACAATAATGCCACTCAGTTCCCGAGTGACGGTGTCCTTGCCGGTACCAAGGCAGGCCTCCAGCTACGACCCTGTGGGGTTAAACAGAGGATCAGGTAGGCCGTTATAAACGGATTTATGTTTACATTGTCGGTACAAGTCCGACTTCAGTATTGGAATCTCTGTTCACTGTACAGTGCACGCTCTTTTTTTTAAGAATAGGTATAATTATATAAAAATTTATAACTAAGAGAAAATATTATTGAATGACTGTGTAATCGACCAGCTGATTATTTACATCATCCAATAAAACAAATATTAATCCTGGTCTTTGGCGTGAACAGTAATCACTTAAGTTGAATCTTTATTTTACATCAACCTGACGTATTTTCTATACTATCATTAAAATGTTTCCTTTAGAAAATATAATATATAGAAAATAAAAAAATAGATCAAGCATTATGGGTTATTGGATAGATAACAGTACATTAAAGAAGTTTGAAAATTATATATATATATATATATATATATATATATATATATATATATATATATATATATATATATATATATATATAATAGAAAAGAAAACATTTTTTAAATCAGACAGTATGTCCAATGTGGGAATTCATGTCTTACAGACGGACAAGCAGTTAAAAAATACTGGCAGCGTCTGAAGAAAAACAGAAATATAAAGACGAAAAAAGACTTCAAACAACAGGATTTAAGGTGAGCTATTCTACAGCATTTCAGTTGAGAGAGAGAGAAAAAGAGTTAGTGAGAGCTTGCATCCATTGTGCATAAAACATTGTCTGTTACGTATTATCACATAACAAACACCTGCTATTGATTATTGCCAGTAATGTACTGAAACAGACTAAGTGACACATTTTTCACAGACGTGCATCAAGTCCTCCGTTTGCTACAGACAGAAACAAAGAGACGGAATGCGCTGTCGCTGAAAGATTGCTTACTAATCCTTTATCTTCGCCGAGTGGCCTCTTCTCTAACACAGCTGAGAGAGAACTTCGTCAGAAGAGAGGAAGCTTCGATGTTTATCCAGAATTTAGATCGGAGCTCGCTACTCAAAACAGGAGTTCAAACAACTGAGTTTAATTTGTCAGCTGGGAAGATAATACAATACCTTCATCTGTATGGTGCCTAACTCCCAAGATCTTTATTGGTTATTGCCATTTGTTTAGCTAATAATAGGCCTATAAGCAAATACTTTGAGAAAACTATTCAAATTGCAAGTCAAGTCGATTTACCCAGGAAACTTGGTTAGTCACGGATTTTGTTGAATGTGATAATGAAATAGAATTATTTCCAACAGTGACACGAATCTCTTTGATTATGCATTAACATGACTACCGATGTCGTCTTTTCCTTTTTTTCTTAATGTATTTTCATTATATGTATGTTGACTTGTAAACCCGGCCTGCAACTGCACTGGAAAGATTATGATAAGTAAAAGCGGTGCGGTGAAACTCTACTGTCTGCCCCTTGCTAAATATGCTTCAATTGATAACTGTGTTATCATGTTATTTTAGGTCTAAACGTTCAACTAGTCACAAGTTATCATTTTTGATAAGTCTTTTGTTTGCAGTAAATAGAGTAAAACAACATACATTGGCACAATTTTTGGATTTTGATTTATTTATTTTACATGTTAGGCCAGACAAAATGGATATGTTGGATAACGAGGCGATTCTCCGTAAACAGGATCGTTAAACAAAATTTATATTTTAAGATCGATTGGTGTTTTTTATATTATTCTTATTTTAGGTGTTAAATGCGGTGTTTGCGATATTCATGGATTCTATTATGAATTTCTCCTACCAACCAAACTAATAAAACATGATTTCTGTAAAATTCGGCTCAGTGTCTCGCGTTAACCAACTTATCAATTATTGTTCAGTGAATGTGTTTGTAGAGCTTGCACAGCACAATCCTGGTGACACACTCATTGTGTCAAATCAAGGAGTGTTTTCATCTCCTAAGATGGCTGTTACGGTATCACAAGGACTACTTAGCATCTGAAACAAATAATTTAAAAAAGGCAAAGACTGTCACAGTAATGTGTTTGTTGGCTTCACGAATAACACACATACTAGCACGACACGCGCGCGCACACACCTATCTGAATAACAATTCTGAAACTTTACACATGTACCTTAGCACACAAGTAATGTGTTCAGTTTAAAAAAAATCTGAAAGTACTTATTTTTGTCCTAATTTTTGGCGTTCTTAAAGTGCACCAAAGTGGTAAAATTTATGGAGCCTTGTCTTAATTATATGGATCCTAAATTTAATTGAATTTAGGTACTAAAGCAAGAGCACATACGTTCGCTTCATTGACCGAAACGTTCTTATTATTTTGTCTATTTTTGCACGCACTGATCTCTGCAGACGGGTTTTATTTCATGTAATCATTCGTCCGATTCCTTTCGTGTTATCTGCTGTAAGATCGCATGCATCGTTTGATTACGGCGGCCACTTGCCTCTCGTACTGGTGAATAACATGACACCCCTGATTAACGATCAATCGACCGAGTAACGGAGGATCAATTTAACGTGGAGGATGTTAAACAATAGCACTGCGTCGATGTTAGTCTTGGTGTTGTTGCAGAATGTTAAATTGGTTTGCGTAAAACAAATAAATAAATGAGATCTGAAGTGATCTGAGAGCGTAGAGACCAGTCCATATTCAACTTATTTCCTGGTTGGTAAATGACCGCCCAATGCAGTGTTTTACATATTGTTATTTTTGTGTTTAGACAGCGTAATGTACCAGGTAGCTTTCACATGGGATCTAAGTGAATATCGTCTAGAAAAAGGCACCCGATTCGCTTGAGACAGAGTGGAATTATATAGGGAAATGAATCTGCTATCAATTTATGCTGTTTAATGTGAAATAATTATAAATGGGAAATAATCAAAGAGATAAAACTTCAGTACTTTCTAACCAGTGGAAGGCATTTAGAATTTCTCTTTGTACAGAAAAGGTGATGATGTGTTGGTAATTTTTTAATAAAAAAAATTATAAAACCATTAAAATACTGGCAGTGCACATGTGCGGACATTAAAATCAACTAATGTTCTAATTTGCTTTTATCTACTTGAGAAATAAAATCAGCATGGTGGCAATTATCCTATTTTAGGCTGTTAGGATTTCTTTCTTTTTTTTCAAGTGTGTGCGTGTTATATTGGCTTTGGGTGGCTAAAAAGTCTATTGATCAGCTCCATCCCCATAACGCTCTACAGAACTTTCTAAACTAACACGGATGTCCAACGGGTTGCAAACAGTGAGTCGGCCACCAGAGGCGTCAGACCAGGCTGGCATCTTTCCTGTGCTTTAATCAATGCATAGTACTCAGACTATGTCACACCTTCTCTTATTATGTTGGACGAAGTGACAAAAGATTCCTTGGTGGCATTGCTTTTGCCGTAAGTGGCAATCTTTTGCCTTCTCTCGTGTCTAACTCCTCTATCCTTTGCATAAGCGTGGCTAGGCTGAAGTAACTTTCACTGATTAGGGTTGCCCAAAGAGGGTGGAGTACCCCCCCTCCCAACCTCCACTTCACGTGGTTTGCTTATCTCCTTTCTTTTCTTTGGTTGCGTTTTTGCGCACACAGATTTACAAATGTAGCATATTCCTCTGCTAGTTATTATACCAAGTAGTGGTATTTAATGCTGCTACTGCCAACATTTAAATGGAACAGCAATATTATGTTACGGTCAGAAAAGATAACCAAGAGACCAAAGCGTTCCTCTCAAGGGATTTTTTTCTAAATTAATTAAACTGAACAATCAGCAAAAGTGAGTCACGGCAAGATGCAGTCACGTTGCTTGAAAAGTGCTTCAATTCCGCGCCGTTCCACGGTTCTAGGCTCTTATCACGGCCTGTCAACTTTAATCTAATTCAACTTAAGTGGATTATCGGTCTAATCAAGCGACGACTAGTGTCCTATCTGGTACCTATCAATAATTCATCTCGGCCAAACCTCTGTAGGGCAGTGGAATACGCACGTGGTGAGATGTAATTAATAGAATCCTCCGTGTTCCAAGACAACGTGTAAATTATAAATGCGCTTCAAGCGGACAGCTGATTACGGGTTATGTAGAGAAGAACTGTTCTTATGGCATCAAACATGCCATTTGATAGATGAGTACGTTTAATAGTGATGCTTTTTATTGCGACTTGAAAAATAAAGCAGTTTATTCAGCGTTTGTCACTTGATTAATTGAAACTTTACTTATTTTCACTTTTATGACACAGAGAATTATCATTATTGTACTCTCATGATGTTGTCATACATACTGATATATGTAATTGTTTATGTACAGAGCTATATACAATTACTTTTATGTGTGGTGTGCAGTGTACTGATTATCAAAAAATTTCAAAATGACAAGCGAAAGCACGCCTTGTGATAGTTGGTTTGGCACATAATGATACACGTCCTGAGTGACTGGACTTCTCACTTAAAAAGATTATGATTTGGAATGTAAAAAAGAGTGGCAAAGTATAATGTAATAATGAAAAAGCATCTTTCAAGTAGAGAAATTGTGCAGTGACAAATCAGGTCTTTTTTATAGTCTGTGTAAAATAGCAAAAGGCATTTTGCTATAACTCATAGAAGCACTGTTTTGTCGCAGACGAACGCTAGGTGAGCAAGTTCACTCATGATGGAAAGATATACAGTCCGCACTCATGAGTCTAAGAAACGACGTCGATGTCGTCTGGACTCGACGCAGTAAAGGCTGCTCTACTGCGCACGTGCACTTCCAAAGAGTCGTCTGAATCAAAACTTTTGTTCCGCCTCTCTGGATCAGCGCCATCTGGTGGAGTCCATTTTTGAAACAATGGGATTGAGAAACCGTCGCCACACCCTTTCGGTGTTGAACCACGTGAAGTGGATTCACCTGAAATTGAGAATCGAAACAGTTTGAATAAGTTACAATTTATTTTATTTAGAAATATACTTTGTGAACCGAATAAAATGTTTTTTCATGCTTATTTGATTTTTTAATGTTCTGTGAATTATTTAATTATTGACAAATTCGCCCATTTGATAGATGCACACATATTGTTTTGGCATATTGGCGTTTTTGGCATTTTGGTGAAAATAATCACGCATCTTTGAATAATTGTATATTATAGTATACTCATTTCAACATAAGGATTAGAATGAGAGAAAAAAAACTGGGGTCAAAATACGCTGCAAAATTGAATTTCAAAACTTTTCAAAACGAGATAAAATTTACATTTTAAAAATATTTATAAAGCGTTTTAACCTATCTAAAATAATCTGAAGTATAGAATATAAAAATGTAATGATTATTGTAGTACCCGCCATAATAATCTTAGGAGCTCCGAAAGTGTAGGATTCCAAACCAACTTCTAGAGCACCGAAAGGGTACTTACTCACCAGGGTGGACGTTCATGTGGAACTTGAGCTCATACGCTTGCGAAAATGTCTTCCCACATACTGGGCATGAACACGGTTTCTCCTTGGCGTGAGTTCTGCGAACGTGACTGTCATGGGCTGCGTGAGAGGCGAACGCCTTGCCACAATGTTTACACTAAAATGAGAGCATTTCCTCTTAAAATTACCATACGAAACCTTCAGATTTACTTCGACGTGTGATCTGTATAATGGTCTGTTTGCGCTACGTGAGGAACGTTCTCGTAATTAGCGGAATTAAATTCATCTTTCAAGGGGTTACGGTGTAATACTCAACTTAAATAATGTTGGCTAAATGATAAATATGTAACAGAAGTTCATACAGAAATTTTCAACACTCCAAGGTAAAAAAGAACGACAACATCCCCGAATACGTACAAATGGCAGCATAAATGAGGTGATAAAGCACATAATGCTCTGCCTTTCACCGTGAGAGGAGTTACCATAGAGTATTACCAAAGTATAATGGTATAATTATAAGGAACAACAGTTATCAAAGCCAGTCTGAAATGCCTCACATGTTGATTTTCCGTTGTCTAAGTTCGAGTTATGGCAGTGTACACAGCTCGAGCATTGATACTTAAACATGAAAACATGTTCATAACTCGGGGCACTAACGTGACGCAACAACTCGCATAAGAGCATACAAAACGACTATAATTGGAGAGAGATCGATGCGTTTCTACATTGTTTCGACAAACTTAATAACCTTTTGATACATGTACGTGTATCCCGTACGTGTGATATAGGAATGGCAGAGCTCAAGAAGCTTAAGAATAAATATTCATCGATACATTATTTGCATATTTTCATAAAAATAATGTTGAGATATACTTATTTATTAGTTTCATTGTATATTTGAAAGACTGTGAACATATTTTAAGTGAGCTTGCCCTATCGGTACTTGACTCGATGTGTTCGACGCATTCTTTTTTATTGTCGAGACCTACGTTATATGTTATGTATGATGATATATACAGAATACCCAAATCCAAGTAAAATATCTGACAAGTAGCTTTTTACAAATAAAGGTCAATTTAAAAATACTAACGGAAAAACACGAGTACTCTATCACTCCTTTCGGCTGGCGGGCATTAATTACACTATAACAGGAAAAGGACTTTCCAGACACTTTTCAAAAACAAGAGACATTCCATGAAAAGATCAAATATTGTTGTTGGTGAAAACTGGTCTTTTATACATTCCTGCTTACCTTGAATGGTTTCTCCCCCGAATGCTGTCTTATATGGGTCCGTAAAATACTGGAGGCAGTGAAAGCTTTGTTGCAATACACACATTTATACGGACGCTCTCCGCTGTGTACCTGGCAAGATAAGAAACCACAAATTTACAACATGAACCATTACAGCTGATCAAGCAGAGCAGACTGCAAAGAATTTCCATGTTCAAAATTGTTCTGGAATATCAATAAAGTTTTCATATTTTACAGCTTATTAAAACGCAAAACATTTATCAACAAAAAAATATAAATACAAAATAATTATAAGTGAAGACGTATAAAGAGAATCAAAGGCAATCCCAAATTTTGATTAGAATTGAAAGTAAGATGATAAGTCGTGTCGTGACTCTTACATTAATAAGTAATTAGCTTACGCTACACCAGATTTTATACCGTAATCGTTTTTTACCGTGTGTTTGATGTCAAGTATAATATCACAGCAACAAAGCGGTATTTAAAGGCATCAAACCAAATGTTTCGGGAATCCGGGGGTCAAAGCGAGTCAAAATAAACGTGGATACAAATTAGTTTCATCTCCTTGGAGACCTGTTTCGTTTTAGCGACTTTCTTTTTAACGACTAGAAACTGAAAACAATTCATTGTCTAATACCGATTGAGCTCTGAACTTCTACCCTGGAGACAGAGACTGATGGAAAGTTATATATTTTTACAGGTGAATTTGATCAAAAAGATTGCAAAGCCGCAAAGTCAGGTGGAATCCTATGGGTATTGTGCCTTCACAGGCAAGCTGTTCACTTCCAATTAGTGTACATGGCACGCATAGTGTAGCAGAACAAAAACATTAATGAGATACAACAGTTTCAAGGGGATATACCAGCTCTCAATCTTATCAAATTATCAAAATTAACCAACATTTTATGCCAGGAAAGCAATCACTGCATCTGGCACGGGATTTTATGATTATTATTTAGCAAGAATTGTCTGATTTTTTTCATTGCACAGAATCTGCGGTTATTAGTATAAGAAAGAATGGAACGTTGACAAATAATGATTGTAATGCTTTATAGTGTGGATAATTAGGTTAAAACAAATTGAGGTACCACTTATTTCAGCGAAGAAAATATGTTCTTACCCTCATGTGCTTGTTCAGACTGGAGGACTGACTAAAGCTCTTGCCGCATACGGTACACTTGTGTGGACGATGCTTCTCATGTACGTGTAAAATGTGAATGCGTAGACGATCCCGTTTTTCAAATGACCTACAAAATTATGTGACAACAATATTGTAACATTGAAATTCTAATAACGTAATTTTTTCAGATTCATTTTCCATCGTTCATTAATAAACAACTATTCTAGAATCACGCCTTGACATTACGCCAATATAAACAAAATTTATTTGGATTATATGTGTTGCTAATAGTAAAAATGGTTCTTTAAAATGTCCGTCTAGCCACTTAACCAGAGTCCAGTCTGAATGCTACTTAACAGCAACAGCAGATCCTAATGAAATAAAGACCATCTTCAAAGAATTATTTTCAGATCTTAAATGCGTTACAGTTCAGACCCAGTTCCCTGGGGCCAGTTTTCCCAGCCTGGCCATTAGTACCATTCCGGGACCTTAACGGCCTCGGGGCGTTGACGTCGACGGGAATAAGTATTGCCAACGTTAGACATATACAAAACCGAAGGTGAAAAGTACCATTCAAATTAGTTCTAATTTCATTTGGACTGCAAAAATATCGGCCTTTCACGGTCATGGCTAATGTAGATAAAAACCAATAGATAATCGACGTGATTTTAGTCCGATAATCTATCTGGGTTGTTCCAATGATAATATTGCCAAAAATAACATAATTTTGCGTCAGAAATGTAAAATCATAAGCACCATAGAACCCATTCCAATAGCTGCCTAAGTGCAGAATTTAGTTATGTTCCTGTGGAGGATAATACATCAAGCAGTCTTGAAAAAAGAAGAAGAAAAAAACGGTTCCTTCAAAAATATTTCCACATAAAACTTGGCATTTAACTTGATTTGTGCTCTGTTGCAAAGTAACATTCTATTGACTAACATTACGGCTATCAAGTCCCTGATGCATTTGAAATGCATAATGAATTAGTTCAGTCTGTTTCATATATTGATATAAGTATACTTTACCTGTTGCATAGATTACAAGGGAACTTTCTGTCTCCCATATCAACACATCGTGTATATTTGAGATGCTTGTCCCTGTAATACTTGTAAGCAAACACTTTTCCGCATCGTTCACAAGTGTAACCCTCGCAATCTTAAACAGAAAGAAAAATATTTTACCATTAAAGCGTAGTCTCCCGATAAAATTATGATTTCTGCGATAAGAATTAAATAAAGAAAAAATAAAAATAAAAATAAACAAATTGAAATATCTAGCAACAATGAAAAAAATTGACATCAAGTTGAATAAGCTTTTATACATTGCACTACATTCTTTCGATGGCACAAAAATCCTTCATAAAAAGTTATATTTTCTCTTAAAAATAGCCAAAAGACATACTTTCTAATTCTTCGCTGTGAGTCCCGTCGGCCATTTCTTTCAGAGCGACTGGTATCCCCATGAACTGCAAATAGCAGTCCCCGTACCAGACGAGCAGCTCAGTGCCTTGTGGGATGTCCTTACAAGCCTCATAAAATATCTCCTTATCATTTTGAATGGCAATAAGGTTCTGTTCTTGTGCATAGCGGGCACAATTCACATACGCCATCCAATTCCCCGCGCTGCCTCGACCATCTACGAAGTAGTTCAGTTTTCCTTCTTGAAAAATCTGGGAAAACATGAGACAAATTGAAAATGGAGATTACTCATTTTGAACAGCTGATCAAAAATAATATTACAAGCATGTTTTTTAAAAAATTTTTTACATATGAATGCACGATACTGTCATCTATAACTTTTTTGAATAACATGTGTTTGGGGCAAAATGCGTTTATTCTGTGAACAACTAGAATTCAGCTGACGAAATTTTGCGTTCGCCGGGTGTCAACACGTCAGTGCAGTGATTCCGACCGACGTTAAGGCATAGGTAATTTACTTCATTTTCGTCCCTTGACGTTGTCCCGAGCTGTAGGATAATTATCTTAAAAGAGAATGTACCTCCCACATAAAGCTGTTATCGTCATGAGACTTAATTTCACTGGTGTTGACGATTTTTCCTTGAAATGGCCCATAGCGGGTTCCCTTGGCAATGACTGTCTTTTGGCAGAACACGCCATAGTGCACCGTTCCCGCGAAACTGGTTTGAAATATGGCAATGCCTGTAAATGAAAATACATTTATAAAATTATTCACAGTGTTTCTATAATTTTCTTGTGATAATCTTTTATGATCTACACTTTCATTAAATGAATGAGTCGATACTAAAAAAAGTTATCTTTAATAATTTACTTTTCATGAATTGGTATAAACCCTTATATTGCATAAATAATATTAGATTTTTTGACGTAAATTTATTGTTTCTTCTGTAAGGTGAAGGTGGCAATTATGATTCTTGCAAAACGTTGAACACGCCAGCTGTACCCCTGTATATTGTTTACACAATACATCGAATTTATAGTAATGATCAATCATTTAATTTGCAGAAATTTATAACATGACTATAGGCAGTAAAGTAAAACAAATGCAATACCAGCGCGGCTGACAATTTTCGAGGCAATCTTATTATAAATTAATCTTATAATCTCGCCTTGTTAAGACCTGTCAGAGCCTGTCAAGTGACAACCTCTCAACCGCGACGAAAACCGAGTGAGCAGCGTAATGTCATCTATTTCCTTAATGACATTTACTTTTTCGCGTTATAATAAGATAGACACGCGCTATTTTTGTCAAGTTACAGTGGTTTGGAAAGGGACTCTTCTGTCGTCATCGATACCTTGAGCAAAATCAAAACAAGTACTATTCTGGTAAATTTCTTTTGTATTGCAGTGTGTATATATTTAAAAAAGTATTCTTCCACTCTTTCAATCGAAATGGATATTTGTCTGCTATAACTATTATCATTAGGACGGATACATAAAAGGAAGTTGCGGTATACATGCATATGTGAAAATTTGATGTAAGCTTCTAAATAGTATAAGAATATGTATACAGCCACTGAATTAGCTAAAAGCATTATACAGATGTTGTATGAAAAGACATTAAAGACGACGAAAAGTTGATTTCACTTTGAATTAAAGGAATTACAATTTTTCCATTTTTCTTATAGCTGTCTGTTTAATGATGATGGACCTCTTTTTCAGCGACTAAACACTAAAGCGTTAAAAAAACCGTCAATATTATTCATTCGCTTTTATAATTTTTTACATTTAATTGCTTCATGTCTTAAGTTTGCTGTCAGTACCTCTCCTTTATGCAAGGCGAATTATTGTCATGTAAAAACAGAGGGCCGTACATCCTTATTAACGTATTCGAAAACCATCTGTAATTCCCATTAAACTTTTTTCATGCTGTCATAGTTTGCGATAACTTCACATTTTATTAAGAAACAAGCAGGGGCAAACAGTGTACAAATGTACATGTTTCTAAAATAGAATGTGCTGAAAAACGATTCTTTTAAAACCACCATTGCTTTGCTGTTACCTAAACACCTATATTGTCAAGTAAGTTGTATACCACTAGCAGACTTTTAACAAGTTCCTCCGTAAAATTCATTGAACCATGCAACGAGTTGTTCAATTAGTCTTTAATTTCAGAATTAGTCCACGGGAGCGACCCACGGGGTTAGGGGTACGTCTTATTTTAGCTTTGTAGGAAGTCATGCGTACCGTCAGGTAGATCAAGCGTGCTCGGATCTATGGGGCTGCTTATCGACGGCGATTTCAGCGCCGTGGTACCATATCCTTGTCCACTCTGCGACGTCTGACCAGCGGACAAAATGCGGTCAATACCTGAAATAAAACAGAATAGAAAATGATTCTGGTTAAAAGAGGCGAGAAAAAAATAATAGGAAGCATAAACAGAATTCCACCAATTGCCGCTAATTGGCGGAGAATAATTAATTATGAATACGGATGTCGATTTTAGATCAAGAAGTCAGGACTGGAAAGAATGACTTTTTACTTTGCCACTGTATTAGTGGACAAAAGTCTTCACAGTCATTTGAGAAAAAATGCTTAATTAGAAAGGACCGATACGTATTTCAATATTGGGATATTAATCCAGTCTCTAAAAGGAATGTTTAGATAATGCACTTTGTTCTCTTGTCTTCATTCTGTGTATTAATTTACATGAAATGAAATTTGACGATACTCTATCGTGTACTCCCAAATACTAGTATATAACACGCTCTTTCTTTTGCCGATTTTTAAAAATGATTATTTTCATTTATTTTATTTTATTTTTTGCACATTCATGCAAATGTATCAAGCCCGAAACACAGCCGCAGAGAAATGCATTCATTAAGTAGGTTTTTCGTGGGAAAAACGAACCAGGCCTCCGCCACAACATAATGATTTCCTATTTCATTTATAGCGGAGGTCCCACTTCGAGCCAGAACATCATGAAAGTCACAAAACAAAAATTAATAAAGTTAAATTTCCAGACAAATCGAACTTCGTTTTGATGGCAATATCGAAACAATAACAAAGGATTAGCAATGCCGAAACATAGCTGCTTCATGCTACCAAGTCAGTGTGAAAAGGCCGTGACCGAAAACGATTTTGGATACACTTATAGCATAATAACAGGTATGCTGTCAATAGCGGTAGCTTAAAGTCTCTCTTTGTCAATACAGAAACGGTGTATTCTAATTCAATCAAACATACATAAATGATGTCGATTTTTCTCTGTGCTTGTATGGATTCACTTTGTTTGCATAGATTTAAACCCACTATCAAATATTTATCAAAATAGAGTCCTTTGTGCCTGTTTCTTTCGGTTCCCGATAATTAATCGTCTAATTTATGCTTCTAATTAATTACGAAGTTCTTCTGGAGTCCAAGGAAAACAGCCTAGCCGTGCTTAAAACGCCACTATGCAGAGCACTGTTCGTAGATACCTAATTTGACGTAACGGGAAGGTTTTAATCTGATTGCTATATGTTAAGGTATTCATTTCTAGATTGATCTCTACAGGTCATTATGGATAGCATAAATACTGGAACACAGGACGATAACACTGATTGTATAACAGGGTGTGTAAACCCTGGGAGGGGTAATTTGGTACACTTGGAAGATACTGAAAATGACCAAGGGCTGACCAGCAGTTGTTAAAGTCTTCGGCCGCCATGGATGTCGAGTAGTTTTCGTGACGCAAAAGAATTGACAAAACAAAGAGAGTTCGTTAAACAAAACGGACATCTTCGACTCTGCATAATGAATTCCTGCATTAATGGTTGAATTTTAGAACTATTTTAAAATACTTGTTATTAATGTTTTACAGAAAATATATAGCAACTAAAGAAAAAATAAAAATGATATAGTGGATGATTAGGAATATAGGAATATTGTTTGGATTGAACACTGTATATTTTAATCAGAAGTAATAGTTTATTTAATTGCCACATACGGAGGGAAAATCTTAACGATGATATCCGCAACATGCCTATAACCTCAGTTAAGGTGATAAGGCATTCTGATTGATGCGCATTGCTTCTTCGTTTGCGGGATGCCTTTACATTTTCCCTTTGTTTTCTATCTAAATATCTAATACCTGATGAAGTAGGGATTGAATTCTTAAGGACTTGGTAATATCGATTTAATTGACTTAATGCCTCACTGCAAGTTCTGTTACGGAGAAGACTTGATCGATTCACCTTTCTTCTTTTGTTACAACACTCCGATGTGTTCCTCCGCCAACGGTAAAGTAGACATTCAATAGCGGTTAATCGGACAATTAAAGAATAAAAAGGAAACAGTTACAATTCAATGAGCAGGTGTAAAATAATTCTTCTGTTTGCTCTAATGACATGGCTCTACAAATAAAAATATTATTTAACTCAACGGAAAATCGATGTTCGGTGCTGTTGAGGGGTGTTTATAGAGCGCATAGCGTATAGACCCAGAGAAAAGAACAGTAATTGAAAATTATTGGCATTGTATAGTTAGAAGCGATCTCATTGACTCGACTCCCTACGTTCTCGCATTTGCGTGCTTCTTATCCGCTCAGGTAGCATTTTTAGGGATGGTTAACTTTTAATTAATTAGTCCGCTCATCTGGCCAGCTATAGGATCAATAAGTCGCAATCTTTAAGTTTCTGATTTAGCAGACGCTGCTGACAGGCGAGAAAGAAATCATGAAGATAGTCATCGTCTCTCAATTGGGAATGACCATACGAACAGCGTCCCCAGTGCTCATCTCAACGAGGGGAAAATGACCGCCATCACTAATGTTCGTTATGAGGCCGATAACTGTACCTTTCTTAGGCATGCCGGGTTCGATTTTTTCTTCCATTTTTTTCACACGTTTGATGAAGAGACACGAACATACCCAATCATTTATGAAAATACATTTAGATATATTTACTATGACTTTTCCTCCCCACCAAAGAAGTGTCGTGTTTTTTCTTGTGGTTGACCCGACAATTACGAACTTTCCGGTTTTTTCATTCGATGCAAGGTATCGGGTCGTTGCACCAACAACAAAGAAATTGCTCTTTTAGTAAGGTCAACATTTCATTGACGGCAAAATCGCTGGAGACACAGAATGCTCAGCATAATGAACCGTTTTATTTCCTTTTGAATACCTGCAAAACACGGCGATAATTAACTGTTACTGTACCATTATATTGCCGTCCCCCTAACTCGCTCTGCTGGCCCAAAGGAACCCGTCGTATTCAAGCAAACCAGTGGAGTCACCGTATAGAATAACTTTAAGTACACTTCATATTCTATACCGACGTAACTTCAAAGGGTTTGATTCGTACTATTCCGAAATTACAGATCCACGTATGTTATCTTAGGTAACAAAAGCCAGTCAATTGTTTGTTTTTGTTGGAGGACTTATTCTCTCAACAATAATTCCTGCTCTCTAGTGAGACTAAATAAGCTCTTCTCTAAGAATGGGATGTTTGTCCTTGTAAGCATTTAAATGGGCTTAATTGTACCGCCTTTCCTTAAAATCTGGAATTGAAAAATTGTCATCGTAATAGGTATTTTCTTATTTTGTCTGACAACCACTAAATACCCTCGGTGAATTTAACTTGCAACTATTTCAATAATTCTATGGAAAACTTCGAGTAACAAAACCGTCCGCACCAAGCTGAAATATCGCAGACAGTAACCAAACCTAACACAGAACCTGTATCAGCTCGGTTAGAAACTAAATTGTGCATCATAGGCCACGAGGTTCTTGGGTGCGGTTGTTATTATTTGTTTTAAGGACAAATAATTTATTGTGAGAATAAAGTAACTTTTCTTCGATCAGCAGCTAAAATTGAAATCGTTCATCTTCAATATTTCGATGTCTGTCTAGAATATCTTTATCAGGGAATGAGACTTTACAGGTGAATAATTTTTGTGTTTTTATGACGAATATTTGATATTCCAACTTCATCTACACAGGAGCCACCACTTAAATCTTAGTATTAAAATCATTCCACCTTCTTTGCTTTTGCATTGCATAGGTAGACATTTCCATTTTTTCCCCAAGTTTGATAAGGGCCTTTCTTCAATTTTAATTCATTCTATAAATGATGCACTCCGTGTCTCTCATTTTAAAGTGCTATCCTACCGTGTTGCGGATATGAGATAATAGTTTATATAAATCCCCTCCGAGTTAGACAAGGGCTAAGGGAGATCCACAGGAAGTGAGAGGAAATGGGAAATATCCCAATTCCTTCTTCGTGTGCTATTCTGGAACTCCTCTTGAATCGCTCCGAGAAAAGGAGCGAAAAAAAAGGCAAAAGGTGATTTTTAAGAAGATCGCACTTGTACAAAAGACAGCTGATGCAGCTGACAAAGTGCCCCGTGAAGCGTGCACTCTCGAAGGAGAGGGATTCTCGGAGGAGCTGCCCTTACTAAGGTAAACCCATTTCCGCCCAGAGCGTAAAAAGATCCACTGAAATCTCGGGCTGATTGTCCATTCACGGGGCATTTAGCTCAGCACTGTTTGACAATTTGTGATGCATGAAATGTCATTGATGTGAACCTGAATGTACCATGTTTTATCATCCTACTGTTCTAAGTAAGTTTAGATAGCATTAGAAAGTGATAAACGAGTCCTTACAAAGGCGAAAGAAATGTATCTAGTCCGTTGTGTAAATGTCGCTTTGACGCAACCACTTTCTTTATGTGTTTGCAATGAGATATAGCCACTCAATGCCAAAACAAAGATTCGCTTGTGAACGTGAATACAGTCAACTGGGTCTTCCTTTACACTGAAAGATGTTTTTCTTTTTTTAGCTCCTGGTTTCAGACTCCACAGGTCCCCGGAGAAACCCGCTCGCGTCTGCGGTCGGACACTTTTTGTGGCCGTCTCTTCTCGGCTCTTCAGCGTCTAAGGACGTAGGTGCGCGTAGCTCTAAATTTAAACGCGTATGAAAGCAGTTTCTGGCTAATTGCTTCTCAGGTGGGCTTTCTGAACAAGCTTCTGAGCGGCTATTTACAATATAGGCGGTCCTAAGGGAAGCATGAGTAAACTCTAGATACTTAATAGCGACAGAAGGGCTACTGTCATTCACTCGCCCAAGAGCTATGATGATTTTTTCCATTTCTTTTTACTGCAAAATGGAAATGATCTTTAAACAACCCTGTAAGCACACCATCAAATGAAAGACACTGGAAAGTATCTATGAGAAAGTTTTTCCTTGAGAACTTTGAACAAGGCACTTTTTGCGCATTGAAAAATAAAGAGAAAAAAGCTCCATCCATTCTCTAACCTTTGAGATCTAACTAAGAACGCTACGCCTACTTATGTTAATTAAGCTAGTACCCTCTTGTGGCCAAACAGAGCGTTCTCTGGTGGCCAAAATATCGTCGAAACAAAGACACAAATTGCCGTCTCAGCAGAGAATTTCTTGGGTAATCTGCTGGCCCACATGTGCGGCGGTCCGTACTCTATGAATTGTTAAACGGTATCTGATCAGAAACCAAGCCAACTTGGAAACTGTTCAAAATTCAGATGAACCAGATATTGCAGGTTTTCTGGAGGGTTGTTTGTTTGTATACAGTTTGTGCATGAAACGGATTTACCATGCCGTTGCCCTTAAAAATGATTTGTAAATACATCACGCCAAAATTTGATTTCCAGTAAATATGAAAATACTTTTTTTAAAATCTTAGTATGATTTAAAATAAAATAGTTTGGTAGAATTTGTTTTTGTCTTCCTGTGATATTTTACTTGAATTATTCGCTTGAAATCAATAGATCGTGTACCAGTTCATATATAAATTCGTCGATTTCTGGAGTGTCATAAAAACGTTGTCTTTACCTCACCAAAGCGATGCATTATCATATTTTATTTGTCCGTACTCTAAATGTTGAACGTCAATTAATACATGTATATTAATTAAATATCTTGTTTACAGAAACGACACAAACAGTTTCAAACTCAATCACTCAAAAACATATTTCCACTGGCATAATCGTTGTAACACACCGCATCTAAGAAAATCAAAATTGTAAACCAATTAAAAACTGACTGGAGCTACAAAAAACGAAGACAAATTCAGGAATCTATCATTTTCAATCACACCACCAAGCAAACAGATAACGAAGCCGTTTTATAATAAAACAATATTAAGTTTCAAACAGAATCTATCTCAATATCGAATTTAATTCACTATAAAGACTCCTACCGTGACTTATATCTGATATCCGCAAGCCGGAGAGGGCGTGCCCGGGAAGGTGGTCGTTTATCTTGTTGCGAGCATAACCGTACAAAATCATGTCCAAGTCTTCTTGGGAAAACATTGCCCCGCCAAACGGAGCTGGATTGGACAGCGGGAACCGTGGCTCGTGCAACCCCTGGGGTATGGCCGGTAGCGGGTAGGGGGCTGCGGGTGTCGTTGGGGGATGGCCGGCCATGGCGAGGCCCGGGGGAGAGGTGATTGGGGAACTCAGGCTCATAGCTGGTGGTGGCATGAGAGGGGTCGGGAAGCGGAACCGATCCAATCCTACCGGGCTGAAATGAAATAACAATTTAAAAGAATAGAAGAATATAAGTTTTATAGGTGTAAGTGATTTTACATCTTTAATTTTCTCAGCAAAAATTAGGATTAGTTATGAGTCGAATACACTGAACCATTTAAACAAATTTCTAAGCGGACAACTGCAAGCATTACTTAAGTGGAGTGCAATGTTTGTCTGTGTGTACATAATTCGTGGATATATTTATTTTGAAATATCTCTATTCTTATTTACATATTATATCTCTGTTTTCTTATCCGTGCTTCATCTTAAATTTCGTTGTTCTCATATCAGATAAAATATTATAATAACTTTTAATGTAATATATATCCAAAATCCAAAAACGGAAGAAATTATATTTCACTTATAATAGATTAGATATCTAATACAAATTACAAAGCGCATAAGAGAAGTGTTATTCAATATACATTTCGTAACTTGATCTACAAAGTAGCATGATTCTGAACAATTTGTAGGAAAGAAGTATTAGAAGTATTAGTTATTCAATATTTATCTTTTAATCAAAGAATTTCCATCTATGCTGCAAAGCTATAGAGACTGTACATTAGACCAACAAACGGCATGGAAACAATCGCGCTTTCAAAAATGACTTCTCGCTAATTTTTTTTTAAAGTTAATTTTGGTTGTTATTCTCATCTGCGACCTTAACCATCATCAGTTATTTTTCATTCCAAATTAATATCAACTTTTACAAGTAATGAGAAATACTGTAATTACGTGACAAGCAAAATGCTGATTACTTTAAACACGCCTTACCTTGAAAAGGCAGGAATTAAGCCCGGTGGAAAAGGAGATGGAAAGTGGAACGGCCGCGGATTGTCCATGATACCAATAGAGCGCACGTGCGGTCAAGCCCTCCAACAGCTCACAACGTGCTTTGAGACGCGAGGACGCAGGTCAAGCATCAAATAAGGGCACGTGCCGAAAGCATCCCATCAAATGCCTACCTGACACTAAATTACCAATAATATACTCTAATTACAGTCCGAGCATCGAGCCTGCCTTTACTTCATTTGTTTTGCCGACAAAGTGCGCATGCCTCAGTCCGACTTCTGCCTCCTGATTCGTTCAGTGTTTGTTTACGTGTGCAATGTATTGGAATGGGCGATATAATGTAGCAAAATTCTCCACGAGGTGTGGCCAATGCGGTTTTTGGACTCGGGCTCAGACAGTTGGATTCAAACTGAACGACATCCAAGTAGATCATCATTGAAGTGCGTGAATAATGAAGATTAAGTCTTCGGTTGACGCTAACGCTATGTACCTAAAATTTCTCTCACTAAAGCTGTTAATCAAAGAAAAAAAAACGCCTTAAATTTAATCCATAGATATCCAAGAATAAGTTTTGATCTCTGAGCATGACATTTGGTGGAGAGACGGAATAAGATTTAAGAAAGGACAGGGAAATGCGAGAACCATGAGGGCCAATCGGTATCCCACGTTTGGAGATGTGCAATCGGCATAAGTCCACCAACTCATTGATCTTTTGTTGGCAATAAATTCCATAAACCATTCCTAACATACAGTAGATTATAAAGAAGAGAAATTATGTGGGTCGATTTCGGCGGCCTTAACAAAATATTTTCATAAATGTCCTGTTTGATCGGAATGCGAACAAAGCGAATTTACAGTGAGAAACAGTTTACTTGATAAATATATCATCTTCATAGTACTCTTTGTGGGAGTGAAATAGCACATAGAATAAACATGGACAATCGGCGATGTAGAAGTGAATTACCTATTTGGATACAACAGATAAAGAACAGGCACTGAAGACATTGTTTCGAAGAGAAAATGTCTTAACGTACGGTATTGTACATGTACGGTATTGTACGATCAGTAAAGTCGCGAGTAAGTACGATTCGCTGATACTAGGCCTCATGCACAGTGAAGCAAACCGCGCCCGAAGTATTTTGATTGTGAATTTAAGAAAACGTCTCAACTTTTCCGAAGTTTTTAGGCATTTACGCAAAATGTATGTTTTAAGGAATTTCTAATAATCCTCTTAAAGCAGACGAGAATCTTCGTTAAGCTGGGCGTTATTCTCAAAAATGGAATCCATTTCAATCGTTCTAACGTTTCGCATGCAAACAAATTTTGATTTTTCACGTATGGAAAGTGAGATAAAAATAATTATTTGTATGAATATTAATATAAATGTTCCTATTATATTTTCGTGCAATTCCAAGTGCATTGGGTTTCCAGACAGAGGCATGCGTGAGTTCTAATATGACAACACCTGTTAAACGCGATAATAAACGTGTTGAATAACACAACATACATCTCTTCTATTGCAAATGCATTATATATGAGGCAAAGCAGACTAATTCAAAGCACCTGTCTAACCCCTTACGGCTCCTGGATTTCTAAAAAAGGACTCCCAATGTCGCCTTTTGTATATTTGTGACCGTTGTTGGAAGTAATGATCAGTTTTCAACGAATTTGGGAGGGATAGCAATAAGCTTTTTTTTTCTTGTTGATTGTGGTGCGATATTATAATTAGTATGCTCGGTAACAAGTTATGATTTTTTTCATTCGTTTATCATCAGTGCGCAGAAGTTTTAAACTAATTCTGTAAAAACTGTCACCCAATAATTCACCCGACAAATCTTCATGGGTGTCTATATTACTTTCATCTAATTCTATTCTCAGTTTTAATCATAGATGGACCCAATCACACTTTTTTTCAGCGGAGAACAAAAATCATGAAACGAATAGATTACTTTGATGAGAACTTGGTCACGAAAAACATAAGCAGCGGAAGATAGCAAGGATGATTCTGAATTTGCGTTTCTAAGTTTCCTCTCCTCGTGCGTAAATGACAGATGGGACCGGTGGTACCTACTTACACAGCTCATCGATTCCGTGCCCTTGATGACCTCTGCACGCGACAGCGGCGACGAAAGACAAGGAAAATCTGGAGCGAGCGATGATGATAATTAAGCAGGTCAGCACGCGGGACATGCCGGTTGCGGGGGGTTAATTAGCAGCGCTCGGTGCCCTTAACGACTAAATCAGCGTCCGGTGTAAGGAGGCCATGGCCCTGTACCCAGTGTCTACGACCTTGACACCCATCTTTCCTTGTCACTAGGAAGAGATTCTGGGTAACGGCCTGAGCAAGATGCCGCATAGTCAATAATGGACCCCCCCCACGGCAATACCCGTGACATATCTGTTATACCTGTGTATTATCTAGACCTAACACTTTTCGTGCGAAACGTGTCTGGTTCAGCTTCAAAAATCCGTATGGCACTTACTCATCAAAGGCACGTTGTCAATTACACTTTTTCTAGGAATAATTGTACTAAAATGATCGAGGGTTGTGTACTCCAACAAAGCCACTTCGCCGAGTTTTCCCTAATATGCATTTGGTGTTTCAATATTTCGCACGACAAAAGATACTAAAACTATAAAATTTCACTCCTTCCCAGACCCCTCTTTAGACTTCAACTCCGCTGACTGGGGCAGTGAAAAATTTCAATGAAATATCAGATTTTTAATAGACAAACTTTAAACAAAGGTGATAGCCCACCAGTCTTCTGTAATAAATTGATGAATAAATAAGTCTATAACATCTTTTTTGATTATCCTGAATGCGCTGTATCATAAACCTGTTAGGACGGGTTTATTTATATGCATAACGGTGAGAAACACGTTTTACCGGGGTCTGCCTTTACTCTGTTAAGATAACTGCGTAGGGACACTTAAAATCTCCTTTATTCTTGATCAATATTTTATTACTATTTTAAAATAAATCTTCATGGATTGCATATAATCTAATATTTTTTAACATTAAGAAGGCTGGTATATCTCTTTTTAATGAATCCTTAGAGCTGAATTTTTGAAAAGGAAATAAGTGCACGCTACATGCTACCTTGATGAATCTTAACCCTGTGAGATTTCGTACAATAAATAATACAAAATCATAAAATCTATTCAGTGTTAAAAGCCACTGGGCTGCTTTTGTATGTTTATCTGACTGATATAAATGAACATTCGTGCTCGGGAAGCGAGTGTGCTTTCTTCATCTGATGAATGGAAGTCGCTTTCTCCCCCCCCTCCCCCGACCGAAAGAACACCCAGAGTAGCCGAGGGCTCGTCAGCCCAAAGTGACAAATACACAAGCATAGCTGTTCGTGTCGGTCTGATCTTTCCTAGGGGTCGACATGTTTTGTGTTAGTCCCAGTGGAGCAGAACGAAAGAACGCTACAAGAGGTTAATATCTTAAGAAGCCCAAGTTGGAAAAAGACCATGCTAGAGCTAAGTGAGGTTAATGCTATTTTCACGTCTCGAACGTCCCCCTAATTCGGTTTGTAAAGGAAAGCTGTTGGCTTCCGAGCATCTTTTGTACTTCTTATGACGTTTCCGTATGTTTGCGAGCCTTTTTATTGACCCAGGCTTAAAAAACAATAAATGATGCATGGGAATGGTCTTGCTTTGGGTAGCTAATGTGCGTAGGGCCGCTCATTATGGAATACAAGGTTCCAGAAATGGGTAGTGGAAGGGACACTAAAAGCCATGTTGTTAAAGTGATTCTTTAATTTCGCATTTTAGTCAATTGTTTTGTTCTTTTCCTTTAGCTTTTCATCCTGAGATAACAATTTGATGAAGTGACGCTCATTATTTGAACTTGTTGTTTTGCTGTGTTTACAGATGGGATTTTAACAGATGCACAGTCTGGCTGCTGTAGGTTGAGAGAAATCGGAAGGCCTTTTCCTTGCCGCAGTGAATTTTCTTTTTTTTTTTTTTTTTTTGAAAATTGGCAAGTGTTTTCTTTACGGCAACGTTTCTCTGTTTCTCCCGCCATGTGCGATGTATTACAATTTCCTTTCAAAGAAATAAATGATACACTTACCTTAATAATCACTAAGAGCATTCAACACTTGATCTACCAGTTTCCACGTGTTTGCATGTGTTAAGTTCATCAGGCACCTTCCGGCAGAAGTACACTTCTATTCAAACGTACGCTAACCACAAACTTGTCACATATTGGGCCTAAGGATTTGGGCGACAATGATGGCATCGTCCTTAGAACTTACACATCGTGTTGTATTTTACCGTATCGACTTCCAGAATTTTGACAAAGCATATAGAGCTGAAAGATAATTAGAAGGAGGAATCTGCGCCAGGAGAGATAGAAAGACCGCACAATTAGATCTTCTTCCCCTTCATTAGACCAAGCTAGCCAAACTAATTTCAATTTGCGGCCCTGGGTTTCAGTGTGAAATTCAATTTTGGAGTTTGAGTCGGTGGCTGACACTTTTTCCTAAATTGCTTTCGATTTTGAATGTCTCTTCCACAGTCGCTGCCAAAAGAAAGCGGACCTGGGTGTGATTGGCCTCGGAAACGTCCTCGTCTCTAGCTCGAAAGCTATGTCCCAACTTGTTGTGTCTCGTTTGATAATTTGTTGGAATCATTGATAGAAAAGAAACTTGAGTATCAACAAAAAATTTTCAGAAAACCTCATTCCGGAAGTAAATCGCAATTGCAACAAATTAAAAAAAATTTATTCCGGAAGTAAATCGAAACAAACACATAGAGAAAATATGAGGTAATGATATTCTAACAGAAAAAAGATAGAACCAGTTACGCTGTAACCGATTATATTTATTGTGTGGGGTTAAAAAACTATTGTTACAGATCCAAATTATCACTCCTATTTTCTAGTGGGCAACTATTACAATATGCCATGGAATTTATACGTTTGGCAATTGGATAACTCAATGTAACGATTTATTCCATTTATTATTGTGAGGGTCCTCAATCCTAATACTATTCTCGGCTACGGTGTCAATCTGATAACAGAATTAGACGACCCTCCGTCTGGTCGCTAATGAACAACTATCACCAGGCAAATTGGATAGGAAAGAGACCTTATCGGATATTCTGCGCCATCGAAATTGTCTGGGAAAACGGTAGCGCAGCGTCTAAAACATGCGAGCGAAAATACCTCGAAGTTTTCCAAGTTAAAAAGCCAT